TCAGTGAGCAGTGTCTGTTGAGGTTCCTGGGCAGGAAGGCAGCCCCGGCTTGGTAGGAGTGCCAGTTGTGTGGAAGGGAAGTGACGAGACAAACTCAGAGCAAAAAGCCAGGAAAGGAGTGAGTGACTCTGACTCCTGTCCTAGGTTTCACAAGTCTCAGCAGGGAACCTCCACTGCTGAGTCAGCCTGTTAACCACTGGTCATTGCACTCCACTGTGCTTTGAGTGAAAGCCTCTCTTTCAAATGAGATGGCCGCAGCAGGCCACTCCACAGGTCGCGGTTTCAGTGACCTGCATAGCGTGGTCACTGAGTGCTGTGAGAAATGAGAGGCTTGGGCAAATCTGTATTCTTATAAAGGGCAGGGAAATCATGATAATATTTTATCTGAAGATTCTCTGGGTGGCAGGCGCTGTGAGAAGAGCTTTGCATTTAACCCTCAGTCCTCTCCAAGGAGGAGATAATGGTGGTGTCCTATTTCACAGATGAGATGCCAGAGAAAGGACTGGCAGGGGGCTTAGAGATCCCTGGAAGTACCCGGGTAGGTGCCAGGTCTGTGGAGGGTCTGGAAGAGCATCTGAAAGAGAGAGAATGTCTGGCCACTTGAGGCTTCACCACTTTTGCAGAGGGGAAACTAAGGCCAGAAGAGAGCAGCCTGTCAGGGCCTCCCAGCAGAGCAAAGCCTTGTCCAGGAGGTAGAGGGACTAATGCAGACAGATGCCGGTGACCTGAATGCAGGATCTTGGGATATGCATCAAGCATCTGGATCAGGGGCCCCATCTTTGCTGCAGAATCCCTGCTGGCCTGTGCAGGCAGGTGGGTGGTACTACTTCCCATCCCCCATCTGTTCCTTCTCCCCTGTGCCCAGCACCCTCAGAGTGGAAGCAGATGTTCTAATGCAGAGCAGCCACTGTCGCCCAGCACGTCACAATTGCTGCTTGCCTTCTGTGGGCCCAGCAACTGTGCCGCGAGACAAGGCTGCCAAGGTCTCTTCCGTGGTGGGAAGAGGTATGGCCCAGTGGGAACATCGAGACCACCCCAGGGAGCCTCTGTGGGCCCCTTTCGTCTCGCTCAGCTGGAGATGGAGTACCTGGTGGCGCCCTCCCTCCGTGGGCAAGAGACTCCTGCCGCCTTCTATTGACTGAGTGCCCCTACATGGTGCCTTTCTTTGTAGCAATCTGGAGACAGCTAGTGAAGGCCCCTCCATTGAGGACTGAGTGAGGGAATCTGGGTGTCTAGGCTCAGGAAACAAACTCCGAGCCGAGTGCCATCTTATATGCCAGGGGAGCCATCAGGCCCTGATGAGGAAGGGGCGCTGGGGGAGTGGAGAACGAGACAGTCGCCCCTCAGTCCCAGGGCACCTGGTTTGTGGGCTGCCTGAGAGCCCAGTGCTTGCCCCTCCTGTTCCACCCTGGTGCCATGGCCTCGGTCTGCTGTAACTGTTCCTGGGCCATGTCCCCTGTTCTGTCCCCGTGTTCTCCCTGCTTCCTGTCTGGCCATCAGCACCACACCCTGTCTTGCCACTCACTCCTTCCCATCTGAGTCATAACTGCCAGGACAAAGTCCAGGAATGGGGGTTCCCTGACCTTGGTTTATCTACCTGTCAAATGGGAGTCTTTCTCCCATGACTCCTGCTGGAGTTAGAGAAAGTCCTCCTAACTCTTAGAATGGGAGAGACTGGAAGGGGACAGGAAGATGGGCCCTCAGTTGGCTGGGACAGGGAGCAGGTGTCCTGGTTGCAACCCAGCTTGCCCAGGTGTGGCCTGTCTGGGTGTCTCCAGATCTGCTGCCAGGAAAATCAGATGCAAAGTGAGTTGGTGCTGCCGTCTCCACTGCTGGGCAGGGTCATGAAGGGCCTACACCCCCTATCAAGAGAGAGAGGTCAGCAGACCAGACGGGGAAGCTGGTGCCTGAGACGGACACAACCCTTACCCTAAACCGCAGGTCCCCTGTGTGCCCTGGACAACTGCCCTGTCTGAGTCTCGGCTCCCTGGCAGAGGGTGGCATGATTGATCTGACCTATCCCTTTACATCCCTGGCTTCCGCTCCCCTGCTGGCTTGCCAATTGTGGCGAAGATGCCTCTGCTCCAGAACACGCTCCCTTCCGTCTGCTCTGCAGGAGCAAGTGCTGGGTGGAAAGGACGGCCAGGCGATTACCCTGCCCTTATGTTAGCTTGCCTAGTGCTGCCCTCCCAGGCTGCAGGGATTTTGGGCCCCCAAGGGTGGAGACCTCATTCATTGGGCATTACCATTGGACCTTTGTAGTCCCCTGCTTGGGAGTGTGAGTGTAACAGGTCCTGGCTGCTCCCTCCCATGTGCAACCCAGTGCAGAGGAGGGGTCTGTTTGACCATAGTCCACACCCAGGGGATGCACTGAGGTGGGTGCCTCTAGTGCTAAGGAGCTAAACTGATGGAAAGGCTTGCCTACCTCCCTGACCAGCCTGCCCAGAGCCTGCACATTTGTCCCACCCCCAAGTTACCCCTATTCTGGGCACCAGGCCTGGGACAGTCCGAAGCTCAGCAACTCCAGGCAGCTGGTGGCATTTGTGAGGAGAGTTAATTCCCTTCTCAGGGAGGTTTCTGGAGTGTAGACATGCCCATGCTGTGTGAGGGCCACCACTTGGCCTCAGTTCCTCCTGGAAAATGTGGATCTCGTGCCGAGGTCAGCATTGAGTGTATACAGGCAGGTGGGTCTTCAGCAGAGCTGATGCCACTTGGGGGGTCATTGCAGAGCGTGGGACCAGCGTTGGTTTAGGAAGTCAGACAGTGAACCAAGAGACATGCACAGCTGGGGCTTGCAGACAACATGGCCCAGCTGCAGGACAGGGCACCGGGGACAACAGACACTGGTAAGGTGGGCCCCCCATGGAGGGGACTAAACTAAGTGACAGCAGCCTCTCAGTTTCCTCATTTGTCAGATGAGGTGAGATGAACCCCCATCTCAGGATTGCTCTGCCACTGTATTAGAGGACATGCTAGGTCCAGAATAGCACCTGGCACGTGGGAGGCCTCAGGGCTTGGCCATTATTACTGATGTTATTCCTGTTGCTCTCGCTAGTGTGTTAGCCCTTCATCCTCTGAGGTTGCCTAGACCAAACCTGAGAGATGTGGGGACCAGAATCCTCAAGTGTGGTCTCCCCACAGACTCCATCATCCACCCTGCTGAGCTGCTTGGTGGACTTGCTGCTGTGATTGGGAGGTGGGGACACATGAATGGGATGTGTGACAGGTATGCCGGGCGGAGAGAACCACATGGACAGAGTCCTGGAGGCAAGAGGCAGTGCTTAGCTGGTGCAGGTGTGGCCGACGGTGATGGGGCAGGAGAAGGGAGCAGTCTGGGCAAAGGCTGGGAGGGGAAGCCAGGCCCAACTGAGGTGCATTCTAACTGGAGTTCAGGTCAGAGAGCAGGGAAGGAAAGGGGTGAGACCCTGCTCCCAACCCCCGCGCCCCTCACTAGGGTGATGGGGTGGCTCTAGTCTTCGCAGGTCCCTGTGCACACTCCCTGGGGAAGGCTCCTAGACTGCACCCTTGAGACCTGGCCTGGTATCTGGGCTGGGACCTGGAAATCTTGCCCCCCCCACTTTTTTTTTTTTTAAAGATTTATTTATTTATTTATTTATACAAGCACTGGGTATAGTTAGAAGCGCGGGAGGGTGAGAGAATTCACCAGAGCCAGAGCGGGGGAACAGAACAGGCAGACTGATGAAGAAATACACTGCTGAGGGGAGCAGCGGGCGCCGCAGGAGAGATCTGCGCCATGTGGGACCCTCACCCCCAGGGATCGAACCGGCGCTGCAGAGGCTGCGGGCAGCTTCGCAGCCCAACACTCAACTGCTGCGCCACCAGGGGAGGCCCTGGAAATCTGCTTTTTAAAACACCTTTCAGGGCCTCCCCGGTGGCGCAGCGGTTGAGCGCTGGGTTGCGAAGCTGCCCGTAGCCTCTGCAGCGCCGGTTCGATCCCCGGCTGCTCCCCGGCCACCGGAGGAGAGTCCCACATGGCGTGCAGACCTCTCCTGCCGCCCGCTGCTCCCCTCAGCAGTGTACTTCGGTCCTTCTGCCTGCTCTGCTCCCAGCCCTGGCTCTGGTGAATTCTCTCACCCTCCCGCGCTTCTGACTGTACCCAGTGCTTGTATGTATGTATGTATGTATGTATGTATGTATAAATCAATAAATCTTTTTAAAAAAATAAATAAATAAAAACACCTTTCAGAGCATGATTCCCCAGTGTCTGAACCACCTTTTGGGGAGCATTGGGCAGATCAGGCATCATGGTCCTACATGTCCCCATGCCCCTCCAAATCCTGCCTGTGTGATCTCAGGCCAGGACTTTGCTTTTCTAGCTCAGTCGCAACTGTAAAGTAGCAGCAGAAATAGAACCTGTTAGTGGGATGGCCTGACAATCACAAGAAAGAGTGCCAGTGATTCCCTGCACCCTGGCCAGGTGGCAATGCAGGGTAGGGCCTCCAGGCCAGGGGAGTGTCCAGAATCAGTGTGTGTGACACAGGTCCTGGTCTCTACCTGCTCAGGAACAACATGGGCCCAGTGGAGAGAGGGCTGGGCCTTGGGCCATGTCCGGGAGGCAGGTATAGGACACTGCCCCAGCCCAGGTCCCCGAGTAGCTGTGACTTGGTGTTGGGGGAAGAGGGGCTGTTCCCAGACCATGTTGGTGAGCACCAGCTGCAGAGGGGTGAGCCTGCATGTGCAAGAATAACGGGTACCTCCAGAACTGGCCTTGAGTCACTGGCCAGGGAGTGGGCAGCCAGGATGTATAGAAGAGCTTGTGATAAGCAAAGGCCTGGGGAGAGTCCACCATGGAGCACAGGTGCATTCACCACCATAGCCCTGCCAGCTGTACCTCTGGTAGCCCTGCTGCCCACCAGGCCCAGCTACTTCCATCACATTGTGCTGTGGTTCTGCCTCCAGGGCTACAGGTGACTGGGCTGTCACTGGGCCTGTGTAGCCTACCTGGCCTGCTCCATGACCACCTGTACCCTCTGTTCCAGGTGCTGGGGAGTCGGGAAAGAGCACAATTGTCAAGCAGATGAAGTAAGTGCCATGTGTGGAAGGTAGCTCAAACATTGATTTCCCCTCTTCTTCCTCTGGACCTATACTCTGCCCACCCCCTCTCACCCAGAACCTTCTCAGAGGCAGTCATCTGTCCTCAGATCCCAGTGGGTCAGGGCAGTTTCCTTTCTGAAGTAGGCCCTGTAGGCCCCAGCTGGCCCACGTGGTCCTGGGAGGTCCCGTACTCTGTGGACCCTAATCCCGATCCCTGACTGTCAGGATCATCCACGAGGATGGCTACTCAGAGGAGGAGTGCCGGCAGTACCGGGCAGTGGTCTACAGCAACACCATCCAGTCCATCATGGCCATCGTCAAAGCCATGGGCAATCTACAGATTGACTTTGCAGATTCCTCCCGTGCGGTATGTGGTCTCCCCCCCACCCCTGCTGCCTCCCAAGTCTTGTCCTGGGGAACCTGTAAATATCCCAGCTTGGGCCCTATTTTGGAGGCCTTCCTGCCTCATAGGTGGGGTCAGGTGCACTCCTGGTTGACTCCCACATCGCTGTGCCCAGGACGATGCCAGGCAGCTGTTTGCGCTGTCTTGCACAGCCGAGGAGCAGGGTGTGCTCCCTGAGGACCTGTCCGGCGTCATCCGGAGGCTCTGGGCTGACCATGGTGTGCAGGCCTGTTTTGGCCGCTCTCGGGAGTACCAGCTCAATGACTCTGCTGCCTAGTGAGTACCTCTGGGGTCTTGACAGGGCAGGGGGTGCGGGGAGGTCTGGACTACAGGGCAGTCTCCATGGAGCTCTGTAGAAAGATGCCGCTCATTTGTGAAGCCAGTGACTATTAACCAAGGCCTTGGTGATTTTTGGTTTGGGGCGGGGGGCATGGTATTGAAAGCCCAGGGGGAAGGACAGGCAGGGCAGCACTTCCAGGCCAACTGAGTCTGCTCTGTCCTTCGATACAGTTGTTCTAGGGGACATTTGTGGCCAGCTCCTCTGTGCTAGTACCCGTGCAAGGCTTCAGCAATACAGTGATGAGTGGAACAGACAGGTCCCCAAGCAGTCACACCAGGGTGTCAGGGTCATGGTTGGGAGTGATGGAGGAGGGGACTCCAGGCAGATAGAAACCCTGGGGTAGCAGAGTGCTGGCTGTGCTTGAGGTCACAGGATGTCCAGGCTGGCTGGAGAGGGAAGTGTAAGGGCGCTGCCTGGCAGGTGACCAATGTGTATATAGTTTGAAGCCCTGGACCTCAGCTGTGACCCTCCGTGGTCCCAGACTGAGTCCAAGTCTCAGGTGGGGAATCACAGGGGTCCCAGAGGCATAATGCTGCTCTACATTATGTCTTTACCCACAGGGTAATGCTCTAAACTGCTTTCCTGAGGTACCTGTCATGTGGCAGGCCTAGAGGGCCTCATGTAGAAGCCACTGGGTACCCCACAGGCAAAAGAACATGGGCTCGTGGCCAGTACTGATGGCAGAAGGACTATGGGGGACATTCATGGGCTCTGGATGGTACCACCCAATAGGCTGCTGTCCCTGTACAACGCACCCCTCCACCTCTGCTTAAGCCCCTCCCTCAGTTTAGAACACCTTTCCTTCTGCCCATCCCATCCTGAGCCCACCCAGATAGGGGCAAGACCTTGGTGCAGGTGGGTAGGAATGGATCTTGCCTGGCCCTGAATCCCAAGCCCTGTCCCACTCATGCAGACAACCTCTCCCTACCCTCCTTCCATGGCCCTATCCCTGTGAGGCACACCCCTCTGCAGGACAGGCAGGATCACTGCCAAACACGGTGGGGCCTCCAGGCCTCAGCACCACCTTCCTGGAGGTCATGGAGGCTTAGGCCAGCAGAGTTTGCAGGACCTGTCAACCAGTGCTGCGTGGGCACCCAGAATCCCCAGGGGCAGGACAGACCCACCTCTGACTCACTTCCATCCATCCACTGTCCTGTCCTTCATTCCGTAGACTCCCAGCTCCCTCTGTGTGCCTGATCTGGGTGTAGGGACTTGGCAGTGAACATGGCCCCGCTGTCCCAGGCAGATACATGCCTTGGCAAGATCACCTGGGGGTGCGGAGTGGATTGAGATGCTACCCCAGCAGACAGGAATGCCCCAACCCCTCCCTCTTCATAGCCATCCTAGACTGCCAGTGAACCTGTTGGTGAGAAGAGAGAGGATAGTGGAGCCCTCCAAGAACTCTCTAAGAGGCCTCCAGGCTAGAGGTTCTCAGTAGGAGGTGGGGCACAGTATGCAGGTCACGGCACATGCGTCATGGTCCCCCATGGCCCTTCCTGTTTTTCTGTTCTGTCCCTGTGTCTCTGAGGTCATTTCCCTCTGGCCCAACTGCTAGTGGGAGCCAAAGACTGGCCCCGAAGCCCTCCCCAAGAACAAACCATCGGCACCAGGCAGCCACTCAGAAGCCAGGGGCCCAGGCCCCAGGGAAGCAAAGCAGGGATATTGAGACAGGCGAAGCTGGTCCCAGGGTCTGGTCCTAGCACTGATACTAATTAAAGGAGCTGGTAATGAGGAGCCCTTGGGAACCCTGTCCCATGGTGTGCCTTCTCCCTGAGGAGCCCCAGTTTTATTGGGTGCTAGGTAAAGAACCCACTGGGTCTGGCGGGCCCCAGCCTGTCCAGTCCCATATCAAGAGACACCGTGCTGTCTGGGCCAGGTGCCATAATTGCACCGATTAGTGTCCTGGTTCCCTCGCTGGAGGACTGATTGCCCCCTCCCATCTCCCTCCACTGCAGCTCCACCACCCTGGGTCCTGTCGGAGGCAGGCCTGGTACAGAACTGGGTGCCAGGACTTGACTCCCAGGCCATTCCATAGGTAGGAGGCAAGGGATTAGTTCAGGTTTTCCATCTGAGCACTGAACGAGCAGGCAAAGGTTAAAAAGAGAAGTTGGCCTGAGAAATGAGGGGACAGGAGGGCAGGGGGCCTTGAGCAGCAGGCCCAGGGTCCGGGTAAGGAGGCCCCACGCCGGTCCACATTGACCTGCCCCCACCCCCACCCCAGTTACCTGAATGACCTGGAGCGCATCGCACGGAATGACTACATCCCCACGCAGCAGGATGTGCTGCGGACCCGAGTGAAGACCACGGGCATCGTGGAGACGCACTTCACCTTCAAGGACCTGCACTTCAAGTGAGTGGGCGTGTGGGCAGGGTGGAAAGGAAGAAACTGCCATCTTTGGGGGTGGCTGAAGGAGGGACCTCACTCCAAGGCCTGCTGATAACTCTGTTGAGAGGAAGGACTGGTCCAGGATCCCCCAGTCCCACTGAGGTTCTCACAGCCTCTGCTGCTGCTGCCGCAGGTGGCCGTGGCCTGCCCTGCCCGCCAGCCCTGACCCTGCTGGTCCAGACATGCCCTGACCAGGGCTAAGGTGGCTGAACAAAGATGAGCCCATGAAGGCAGCCACCCACTCTGAGCAGGCCTTTGTTCTCAGTCAACCGTGAGATGGATCTGGGACCTTTCCCAGAACCCCTTTCTCTGGAGCTAAGGTGACCCTATTTCCACAGGATGTTTGATGTGGGCGGACAGCGGTCTGAGCGGAAAAAGTGGATCCATTGCTTTGAGGGCGTCACAGCCATCATCTTCTGCGTAGCCTTGAGCGCCTATGACCTGGTGCTAGCTGAGGATGAGGAGATGGTGAGAGGCCAAGAGACCACTGGAAAGGGTGGCGGGTGGGGGCAGTGGCTGGTGCTGACCACGCTGTCCTGCCCCCAGAACCGCATGCATGAGAGCATGAAGCTGTTTGACAGTATCTGCAACAACAAGTGGTTCACGGACACCTCCATCATCCTCTTCCTCAACAAGAAGGACCTGTTCGAGGAGAAGATCACACACAGTCCCCTGACCATCTGCTTCCCTGAGTACACAGGTGTGGGGTCTGGGCCTTTGGGGAGAAGCCGGTGGTGACCAGGTGGCCCACAGGCGCCCCCTGCTGGACAGAAGGGTAACCTCGGGACACTTGTGCAGGGGCTGGTGCCTCACTGATACTCACTTGCTTCCACTCATGGGGCCCTACTTAACACCCAGGCATGTCCCCCTGACAAGTGCACGTGGGCGTCTTCACACAGTTTGACACACACGTGCATGTGCACTCACAGTGTCATCCCTGTGCACATGTGTGCACACCTGTGCTTGCCCGTGCACACGTACCGAGCTTCTTGTCCATGTTGACTGGACCTGCCTATATCACACATGCAGCACAGATCTCTCCATTTGTCTCCCACAGGGGCAAACAAGTATGACGAGGCAGCCAGCTACATCCAGAGTAAGTTTGAGGACCTGAACAAGCGCAAGGACACCAAGGAGATCTACACGCACTTCACGTGTGCCACAGACACCAAGAACGTGCAGTTTGTGTTTGACGCCGTTACTGACGTCATCATTAAGAACAACCTGAAGGACTGCGGCCTCTTCTGAGGGGCAGCAGGGCCAGGCATTATGGTGAGCTAGAAGGGGTTGGGCAGGGGGCTGAGGAGAAACAAAATGGAGGCAGTAGGGGTAGTGAACTGGGCGCCCAGTAGACCAGAGAGCAAGGGGAAGTCGGGAGGGCGGGCGCCTGAGTGCAGGAAGTAGGAGCTAGCATAACTCTCCCTGGGCTCCGTTCTGCCCAGGGAGCAGAAGTGCCTGGCTGTGCTCCGGGACAGAATTAGGTTTCCAGCCTTCCAATGTTCTACTTGCCTTGGAGAGAACTCACCAGGCTGTTGGTCTAACCAGCAGGCTGGATCACGGAATGGGCCCAGCTGCCAACCACTCATTATGACCAGCTCTGCATTCATCCCTGCTATCTTTTGTGCGCCTGAGGGTCCTAGACTAGAGTGAGCCCCACCAGGCCAGGGCCAGATAAGACGGACTCTGCCAGTGCTGCAAACTTCCCTCCCCCATGTAACCCAGCAACAGACACTGGCTTCTCGGCTGCCAGGCCACTGTGTCCGTGGTAACAAGTGGGTGGGGTCATCCTCTAGCGAGGCAAGAGGAGAAACACACTGGCCACCTCCCAACCCATGTCCCCCACCTCCAGGAACGCCGCTGCCGACTCTGCTCTCCCCCGCCCGAGGAAGATGGGGGCAAGAGGACCATGTTCCTGCCTCTTCCCGCTCCTCACCCCTGGCCGCTTTTTCCCTCTTTCCATTCTCTGTTCTTGGCTCCCCCCATCTCCTCCCTCTGCTCCAGATGCCTGGGGAAGGGGTTGCCACAGGCCTCCCTGTTTGAAGCCCACCCTTGTCCCAGGTGCTGGGAATGGACTCGGTACCCCCCTCCTGGGCATCTGTTCTGGTTATAATCTTTGTCTTGTTTGTGATGGGGGAGGGGAACACATACTGAGTCTTGCAAGGCCTGTCTCTAGCGGGGCACCCACTTCTCCAGCCTGGGACCCCTGGCTTTGCCCATCACCATCCCCTGACCCAACCCAAGTCCAAATGTTTACAGGGAGCCTCCCTCCCACCCCACCCTCCCAACCGCTCGGAGGCCCCAAAGGTAAAAAGCACAAAGAAGCATGAGATGCCACCATTTCTGGAGGCCACAGTACACCTGCTCATTAATAGCTTTTTAAAAAAAAAAAAAAAAAGGAAAATACAGAAAAAAATAGACACAGCAGACATAGAAAACTTTTTAGAGAAAACTATTTAAAACAAAAAACTACCATATCCTGACCAGCGCCCACCCAGCCCCCTTCCTGTGATTCCGTGCCTTGAGTGTGTCTTCGTGTTTACACCTATCCCTCCGCTGGCTGCCCTCTGTGTGAGCGGCACCCATGCCCTGACCTCCACAGAATCGGGTTCCAAGGGCTGTTCCAGACAACTGCCAATGTCACTGCGGGGCCCATCCCAAAGGCCCTGGGCCCTGGCTCCATTAACCTAAATGTAGCTCCTTAGCGCTAATCTAGGAACCGCCGCTGCCTGCTGAGGGGCCCTATCCCTCATACCCTCGCCCTAGGCCTGGATCCTTCAGCGTTGAACACTTCCTTGCTTTTTTCACATGTTTTATGGAATTGTTCACCTGGTTTGAAATAATAAAATGTAGAAAGAAAAATACTGAGAACTGCTTGGCATTCTTCTCTCCCATGGGTAGAGGGGGCCAGACCAAGATGTGACAGATGATTTGCATCTGAACCCTCACTTGTGACAGGGCTCTGGGTCCTCAGCTCTCCAGGTCACACTCAGGCCCAGTGTGTGGCGCTCGTGTTTCCCCACTTGACCTAGTCGTCTTGCATGCTCCCCCCTCTTCCCAGCCCCTCTTGGGTCTGAGGCAGCCTTCACGCCTTGCTGGACCAGCAGGGCACATCTAAGGGATTCTTCCACATGGTGTGTGGGAGGGGCATCTAATGCACATGATAAATGTGACTTTTCACCTTCCAGCCCCAAAGCTGAGAGGGTGTGAGTTGGGGTCAGGTTGCCGGGGAGCTCAGCCCTTGCACACCCTCCCTTCTGCCAACCTGAGATGTTGTCCAGAACCCTGCCCCTTGAACAGAAGCAAGGGGCTTAACTTAACAAAGGAACGGGGGTGGGGGGGGTAATGAAGCATGATCAGGAAGGTGTCTGCCCCAGGGGTTCCCTCCAAACCTGAAAGTGGGGAGGACACATCAGGGGACTGCTGAATTTAGTTGCATTGGGATGGGGGCTTGAAATGCAGAAGAATCCGTGAGCCTAGGGAAGTGCACGCGCGCTGCTGGAGAAGCGAACGCAAGGCTTCAGACTTGGGGGGCGGGGCGGGTGCCTGTGGGGTGAGCCTGAGCACCAGGCAAGGCTTCTGGACTTTCTTCCCTGGACACTGGAGGCTGAACCTATTGCAAGGGCTGGTGAAAGGCCGGCCAAATGCGGGGCTCGAGTGGGTGGGGCTCGGAGGAGCGCTCTTCCGCCTGTGGCCGCCAGAGGGCGCCTCAGCCCGCGCTCGGCCCCGCGGAGTCGGTCAGAGACTGACGTCATCGGGTCCTGCGGAGGCCGCGGGGCACAAAGGCAGCTTTGTATGGCGACGGTGACTCTGCTCCTGCGGCCAGACAAAGCGGCTGGGGTCGGGGTCGGAGGCGGAGGCCGGGGAGGGTGAGGGGAGAGGGAAGGAAGATGGGGCCGGGGGCCCGGGATCCAGCCTCCGCACACCTGCCGGTCCCCCCACCCCCATCCGCGGCCTGGGGCCCCAGGGCTGGCAGGAGATGAGAGGCTGCTGCCGCCCCGTCGGAAGGAGATCAACGCCCCCAGCCCCGGTCTCCGCCCAAGTTCCTCGGGCCCTTCCTGCTATCCCTGCCTCCGAGGGCCCTGAGGGCGCCCCCCCCCCCGCTCCCCCCCCTCCCCGCTCCCCCCCTCCCCGGGCCTCCAACCGACTGACTAGGATCCTGCCCCCAACCCAAGATCTCTGACTTCCTTCAGTGGTCGGGTCTGGACCCGGACCCCGCTGAGCCCCAGATTTGCAGGCGGGGCAGGAGCTCCAGGGCCTTGATGCCTGCCCAGCAGGAAGCAGGCACCGGAGATGGTTCCTTCCTTCCTTCCATCCTGAGGAGGAACCTTTCACAGAGGGGCCATTGAGGGGCTGACTTGGTCTGCCTGCCGCACCCAGGGCCTCCCTCCCTGGGTGGACCATGCTAAGGATCCTGGCCAGGATCCCCTTGTACCCGGCTTGGCAGTGGGTCTGGGTGGGGTGCTGCTGGAAAGCAGGGCTTCTCTGGGTGCAGACAGCTAGGCCCCCACCTGCCCTTGACCCTCCTACCCTTGTTCTGGCTTCCAAGGCATAAGGCTCCATTGTCCCAGCACTTGCGGGGGTGGCCTCTCAATTCCTCCTTGTTTGTCAGTTGGGAAATTCCCAGCCATTGGGGGTGGCAGGCAGGATGGCGGATCCCCAGGTGTCTTGTACCCCAACTGGAGGGACTCCATGAACATGAATTGGAGATCCCCCACTGCCTGGAGCTGTCCAGGGCTAGACCTCAGCTTGCTTTCATCCCTGGGAGCAGCTGAGTGAGGGAAACCAAAGATTCAGTGCTCCCGGGCTCTGTATCCCCCAGAGCTCTCCCAACTTAAGAAGGTCCCTCCATCTTCTGGCCCCACATGGACAGCTGCAGCTGTGAGGCCCAGGACCCTTAGCCAGACAGGCAGAGCCAGGCAGAAAGCCTGGGCTCCTGCTCCCAGACCAAGCCTGTGGTCCCAGGATTCAGCAGGCTGTCTCTAGCCAGTTAAGACTGCCGTGAGACTGAGCCACCTCCTAGCAGGCCCACCCCACTCCAAATAGTTGCTCAGGCTACTGATGTGGTGGCAGCCTTGGTATTTTTAACCCGTCTGGGGGCTAGAGAAACAGCTGGGAAGAGAAAAAGAGAAACGTTCCCTCTAAGAATCAGAGGTCTGAAGAGGCAAGGTATAGGGGAGGAGCCAGCAGGCAGCTTTGCCCATACACCCCTCAGCTCGGGAGTAGAAGTCTAAGTGCCAGGTGCAGAGTGAGGAGGGGGCCCCATTAAATGGGGCCTCTGAGGCTACAGGGGCAGCAAGTCCTGGAAGAACCCTCCCCCGTGTTCCAGGGCATCCCCACGGTGCCTCCTCATGTCAGGAAGACCTCCGTTCCCCTCAGAGTCCCTGAGAATCATCCCAAGAGTCAGTTCCAAGCCAGCCCCCAAGGATGGAGGATCCAAGTCCTGACCCCAGTCATCTGGCCGTGCCATATCCAACCAGTTGCACTGGGAGTCAGGGAAGAAGCAGGGTCAGGCCTGCAGCTTCTCCTGGCTGAGTTCTGGGTCCAGGCCCAGACAACTGACCCCAATTCTTGTGTCTATTGCCCTAAAAGAGAGCCTAGGGGCCCTCATCCCTGCCATGGAGCTATGCATCTCCCCCAAGACCCCTTGAACACCCAGAGGGGAATCCAGCCCCCATCACACACCCAAGGAGGGCCTCAAGCCAGTTGGTCTGTGCGCAGCCATGTAGCCATGTGACAGCAAGGGTGTGTCCCTGCCTGCCAGCTGCTCTGCTCCTCAGGCAATTCCACAGGGGAGGGAACCAGTGTCTAAGGGGCAGGGGTCTCCCCTTTAACCTCCCCTCCTCAGCTTCTCCCCTTGTGAGGGATGCCACCCCATAGGTGATATTGGTTAGGAGAAAATTTAAGTGGATAATTCTTCCCATTGACTGCCTTCTGACCTCACTGTGGGGTGGGTGGAGGGAGTCAAGTCTGAGGGACAGGCATAGGGTCATGGAGATGCCCAAGATAGCCGGAGTCCATTCTCTGTTCTCCATCAGCACCTCAGCTCCACCTAGGTGAGCAGGGCCGGGCAGGTGGAAGGGTTCTGGCAGCCACGCCCTCTCCTGCCTCCTTGTACCTGTCTTCTGCTGGTGCCCAGGGGGCCCAGGGATGAAAGCCACTGGGGAGGGGGAGAGAAGGTTGTGTGGACCCGGAGCCCAGCAGAGAGCTGAATCTGGGCTTCACAGAGGAAGTGTATGTAGCAGATAAAGACCAGTCCAGCAGCTGGCAAAGGGAGGGCCTAGTGGGTGAAGTGCACAGCCTGAGCAAAGTCCTGATCAAGGAAGAACTGAACTAATAACTTCCAGAAGTGGGATAGCTCTGTGTGTGTGTGTGTGTGTGTGTGTGTGTGTGTGTCTATAGTAGGTGAAGGGGTCTGGCTTCCAGCAGCAGAGGGAGGAGGTGGGGCCTTGGCCCATCTTAAGGCTGAGAGTGATGGAAAGGCTACCCTCTTTGGGATGCGGCTCTGGGAGGAGGGATGTGGGCTTGGACACTGCTTGGGGTGGGGTGGGGGTGCGTGAGGCTGGAGACTTGTGCAATGAGACTGAGGTGTCCCCAATTGCTGGGTGGGTGGGGGGGAGAAGGTTCAAGTGGAAGGTCCAGGAAGTCCTGGTTCTGGGAACCAGGGATGGGGGGTCATGGGGGAGTGTGGGGGACGGGGATGGGGACTGGAAAGGAATGGCACCTAACAAAGGGCCCCAGGAAGCTGCACTGAGAGAGACAGCCTTGATGGATAGGCCTTGAGGCCCTCAGGTGTGTATGCTGTGGGATGCCCAGTGCTGAGGTGGCAACAAGAGTGCACCCCCGTGTACCCTCACAGTGTGCCAGATGCCTGGGGCACCATTTCCAACCCAGGGCAAGGAAGGAGAGTGATCCAAGAGGCTTACTCTCCCCCGAGGACACACAGCTGGTGAACAGTGAGGGGCAGAGTCGGGATTCAACCCCACCCCACCCCTCCGGAGCTACCAAGGGGGTTGATCCCTGGGCTAGGCTCCAGCACACCCCTGCCAGAACCTCTAGAACCCCCTAATCTGCACTCCTGAGAGCCTTGCCCCAAACCAAGAAGGGAGTACAGCACTATGCTAATGTATGTTAATAAGCATAGAGTGCCTGGGAGTCAACTTTTGCAGCATTCCTGGCACCCCTGCCCCCCTCCCCACAACCCCGCTAGGAGAAGGAGGTGAGAGGGAGGCCCCACCCCCCTACTTCCCCCTCCCCCACCCCCCCTGCTGGGCAATGAAGAAAACAGGAGTGAAGAGCTGTGATGTGGCTGGTTGAGGGGGGGGCTCCCCCAGCCCAGAGGGGCTGACCTCAGCCGGGGAGGAATGTGCAGGAGGCGGAGGGCAGGGGCGGAGCGGGTGGGGGTAGGGCCACAGCTAGAGGCCCAGGATTCCTGGTGGCCCCTCCCTCAGCCCCTCCACCTCTTCTCTGACATGGCCCTCAGAAGGGAAGGGGAACGAGCAAGGAGGGGAGGAGCTGATCTTTCCAAAAAGGTGGGCCAGGGGTTCCCTGGGAGCCTGGAGACCAGAAGGGATGGGTGGGGGAAGTGCCCCAACAGGCGATCCCTCTGGGGTGGAAGTAGATGGTCAGGGCAGTTGGGCTTCAGTTCTCCAAGGCCCACTCCCACCCCCCAGCACGCATGCCTACCTCCTCAGGATAGCCCATCCTTGCACTCACTGGGCCAGAACAGGGGAAGGTGGTGGCGTTGGTGCCACCAGCCTTAATGGCTAAAGCAGGTGTGAGTAGGAAGCCAAAGACTGACCCAGCCCAGGCTGGGCACTGCGAGGGTTGGCTACAACCTTCCTCAGAGGGATGGCCTACCCAGCCACACCACCAGTGGCCAGGCAGGGGGCCAGGGCTTACCCAGCTGGTGATGAGGAGCGGGGAGGCAGGTGCTGGGACTTGGCACAACAAACCCGTCATTTCCAGAAGGAAAAACCACGGCCTTGGCAGGCTGTGCCACTGACAGTCAGGATAAAGGCCTAGGGACCTGGGGTGGCCCTTAGGGCAGGGATGCAGGCAGGAGTAGGGACCCCATTTGGCCTTCGCTTGTTTTCTGTCCAGAGTCCCTGAGGGACAACCAGTGCCCCAGTGGGCCCCACAGCCAATGATGCTGTTCCCAGCAAGCTGGTTCCACAAGGCCCCCACCCAGACCTGGCCTATACACTTGGGCCTGGGGCTAAGGGTCTAAAGGTCTAAAGGAGACCTTGTGGGGACAGGGACAACTTGAGTTCCATCCCTGGGACTCTCCTTCCTGCTCAGGGCAGGGGTGTGTGTGTGGGGGGGGGCATCTGGGGGGAGGGAAGGCCTTGCAAAGGGCTCAGATGCACAGGGACAACCTAGTTCCTTAAGCCTAGGGTTGAACCTTAGGGTCCTAGACAGATAGTAGGGGGTCCTGGTCTATTTCCCAGTAAGGGCACAGGACTGAGGGAGGCTGAAGGAGGCTAGATCCTGGGTCTGAAGAACTAAAGGCAGTGGGGGCAGATAGGGGGCACAGCAGGAATGGGTGGGGGCCTCAAAGGCACTTGCTGATCTTGGCAGCTTGGGTGGAAAATTGTAAACAGCCAAAGAATTTTGTTTGCTTGCATGTAGCCAGAGGAGGCTGCCCAGGTCTAAGGCGAAAGAGCCTGGAAGGGGGGAAAGCTGCATCCCGGAAGCCTGGGAGCTCAGGCAGGGTGTGCCCCTCCATTTCCACTCCTGAAGGCCCCTGGTCCTCCCACTGACCCCCCACCCCTCCTCCCGCCAGCCAGCCAGGCCAGGAACACCAGGTCCCGAGGCTCAGGAAAGAGGGGCATGGCCCCACCCTGGCTGGGCACAGACACTTCTAGTCCAGGGCACTTGGCAGGAGATGGGCAGCAGAACTGTGAGTACCTGAAGTGTCCACACAGCCTCCCTGACCCCCGAGGTGCTGCCGCTGAGCCTTGGGGAGGTTGGAGAAAGATGCCTTCTGGGAGATGAGGGCGGAAGCCCATCCTCAAGCCCTGGAGTGGGCGCCACTAGGTCCTTGTCAACACTCAGCCTCTCCAAAGAAGTAGCCCTTGCAATATAGAGAGGGCCTATCTGTCAGACCCAGTTTCAGGCCAAGGTATAGGCTTGAGGCTGAGGTGTAGGAACCTCATTCTCTGTAGAGCCCCCGAGCAACTTGCTCTGTGTTTGGTGGGGCTGTTCTCCCTATTTCAACCAGGGAGGAATGTCTGGAGGTAGGGAGGTCAGAGAAGTGGGGCCAGCGATGGGACCAGGTCTCTGTGGCCCTCACCCAGCCGCGCTGAAGTGAGACTTGCCGAGCCTCCTGCCTGCGCCGCCTGCCCCCCTCTGGCCCTCCTCTCCCCTGACTGGCTGTCATCTCAGCCACTGCCAGCCAGGTGGCAGAAGCACTAAGTGGCCAAGTGGTGAAGTGGTGAAGGCTGGGGCTGGGTCTTGAGGGTTCATCAGATTCCCCTGACTTCGATCCTGATCCTCCCATCCCAGCCAGCTCCTGGGAACTGAGGTGGCAGCTGAGCCCCCTGTTATCCCCCTCCAGCTCCCCAGCTGTGGAGGGACAGGTGAGGAGCCCCTACCCCTGGGTGTGCCTCTGACCAGCTGGGCTGTCCCTTTGTAAGAGCCCCGTGAGGCTGTGGGGGGATCTCGATTGCTCTTCCTCCTTTGCCTTGACTGGCCTCCCCACTTCCAAGACCACCGATTGGGGCATGAGTCCCAATAGGGGAGGGGTCATCCCTACCCCCTCCTTTGTGCCTGCTCCATTCCGGCCCAGTCACCATCTCCAGCCGGTCCCGGCTGCCTGCCCGGTCACCCGATCCGCCCCATAAACTGGTTCGCGTGTGGGGCGGTGGCAGGCTTGGTGGGGGCGGGGCGGGGGCTGCTCCTTAAAGGAGCCGTCAGAGGGTGCCCTGAGGGCCCCTTAAGCTTCTGCCCTTCTCCTGGACAGGCAGGGGCTAGGGTGGGGAGGCACTGCAGCAGGAGTCCTCAGTGGAGTGTGGGAAGGGAGCCATCCCGAAGAGGCAAGTGTCACCAGAGGGAAGGAGGGAGGTGGCAGTCCTGGTGTGGAGGGCGCTGGGGCTGGAGCTGGATAGAGTATGAGGAGGGGCGATCTGGAACATGCCACAGCAGCTGTTCCCCTTGCTTGAACCCACCCAGGACCTTGCCCCATGCCAGGGCCCCTGTGCCTGGCACTTGCCCAGGCAGTTTCTGAAAAGGACAGGGAGTGTTACAGCCAGATCCTGGCCCCATCTGAGGGGTCCAGGAAAGGGCTGTGACTTTGAGAGGTGGAGGAGCAAAGAAGGGGAAACCTTGAGGGCGAGGGCAGGGGAGGGAGAGGCTGAGGGAGACTGGAGGCTGAGTTAGGAGAGATCATCCTTCCACACCAGCCCCCAGTTCTGGAGGGAGGCTGCTTCAGGCTCTTGGTTCTCCACATTTAATTCCTTTTGTGTCTGAAGCCTGCTTTTCTGCATGTGACCTCAGTTCTACTCCTCTGTGGTAGGGAGAGAGGTCAAGCTCAAAGCTGGAGCTGCTGGATCAGCCCGTGGCCACATTCCCCCAGGAAACCGAGTCTTAGGCCCAGCCCCAGGGGCCAGTCTCCTGGACAGCACTTTTCCCTCTGAGAAATGGGTTTCCGGCTGGCCGTTGGGTGGAGGGCTAGGGTTGATGCTGCAGTTGTATTTGCTCACCTGCAAGTCCAGAGAGATGCTCATCCACTGGTGTGTGCACACCGATATCCAAATGTATACAAAGCGTATATACCACATAGACACGCACACGCTGAACATGCAATACCACGTAGCCCTGAAAGCCACATATCTGTATGTGTGGTACAACACGCCTGCCGCGCAGTCTCACATAGACTAAATGTGTGTATGCACACGTGTGTGACTGGACACACGAAGGGATACTCAAAAACATTCACATGCGTAGGCACCCACATCGTCAGCTCCAACCCCAAAGGTGCCTCTGCTTCTCTGTGGCCCGTGGGTGCACAGCCACGTCCAGAGGCATGACCCCCTCTGTTAGCCTCTCCGGTGACTGGCTTGTTCTGCTCATTGCACTTGGCACACTCTGAGATGACTGCACCGATCTCGTTCTTATTGGCATGCTGCCCCCTCCTGCATGGGGACCTTGTCTCTGTTCCGCACCCCATCCCAGGCTGGCATGAGTAGGTGCACAGAGTTTGTGAATTAGTGTCTGTGAGTGTGTATAAGGGAGGGCTGGTTACTGGGGAGGGTGACGTGGTGGTGGGGTGGGTGTCTGCCAGTGCGGGGTTGACCCCGTGGGTGTGCCCAGCGTGGGTGTGTCTGTGATTGTGGCCAGGCAGGGCACCCTCTGAGCCAGGGGAGGGCTCCCAAGCGGAATGCGACCCCCCAGCCTCTTTCCCCTAGGGGTTGTAATCCGATCCCTAGGGACTCCCCCTTAGCCTTCCTCCCTCACCCTCCCTGCAACTCCTTCTCCAGATCCCGGGGCAGAGTCCAGGGCGGCTCAAAGCTCCTCCACACATGCCCGCTGAACCCTGAGCGCCCTGAAACGCTGGGATGGGGCGGGCTGAGGCAGCCGCCATGATCCTGGGCCTGGCCCTGCTCTGGGCAGCGGTGCTGGAGGGTACCACCCCCAACCCCCCACGCCTTCGGCTCTCTTTCCAAGGTAGGTGCACCTTGCAGGTGAGAGGACCCAGCTCAGGGTGGGCAGGAAGGGAGCCCTGTGTGGGTAGGGGCCACTGTGTTTGCTGTTGCCCTAGGTGTGTACCAATGAGCCTGCTTTGGATGGGGGCATTCTAGAGCCAGCTCCAGCTAACCCTGTCCTGGCTTCAGCCCCCAACTACTCTACCCACATTCTCGAGTGGGTCGAAGACCCTTTTGTTCCCGTGGCAACAGACTGTGCTGCTGTCCCATTCCTTACCCTCTCTGCCACGCCCCTGCGGCAGTCAGAACAACTGCAAAGTGTGGGGACCATCAGAACCCCCTTCCACACCTCCTACACAGGAGAATGGCTGCTGGGGGTACTGGCCACTGTGTCACTAAGCGCAGGCTGGTAGCAGAGAATCCTTAGCCTGATTTGGGTGCTGCGGTTCCAGCTGTTCCTATGCGCCTAGCCTCCCCCAGAACCCTGCCTTCCACAAGCCTGGCCTCTCAATGTGTCCGCCTAGAGATACTTGTCCGAGCACGCCAAGCTAAACCTGCTTTCCCTGAGTGGGGGAACAAGGGGTGCTGCACTGCTCACATGGGAAGCTTCACACCTGGGTGGGTCTGTCTTCCTGAGTGTGAACTCACACATGTGTAAATTCGCCTGTGTGGGGACCCGCTCACAGTCCAGCTGTGAGAGGGAGACAGTAGATAGGGCTGGGGCAAGCTCTAGCATGACTGAGTCCCCAGCGCTGCCCCCTCCCCACAGAGCTCCAGGCCCGGCATGGTCTCCGGACGTTCAGGCTCGAACGGACCTGCTGTTACGAAGCTTTGCTGGTGGATGAGGAGCGGGGACGCCTGTTTGTGGGGGCAGAAAATCATGTGGCCTCCCTCAGCCTGGACAACATCAGCAAGAGGGCAAAGAAGGTGCCAGGGACCCCCAGCCTCAGCGCCGCCCAGGGAATGCCCTAGGACCTTGTCCCAGACTGCCTGGAGAGACCCAGGGGGATGCTCCCCCCAATGAAGACCTTCTGTCTCAGAGAACAGCCCGAGTCCCTGACCTGTGTTCCCCTGCCCCCCCATAGCTGGCCTGGCCGGCCCCTGTGGAATGGCGAGAGGAGTGCAACTGGGCAGGGAAGGACATTGGTGTGAGTGCTGGCTGCCCGGGATGGGAGCGGGGAGGCTCAGCCCCTCATGCTATGGAGGGTGCGGTACGAAGACAGAGGCCTGCCTGTTCTGGCTGGGATGAGGGCAGGGGGGTGGAGGTGGCTGGAGTCTGGAGGTAGTGAGTCAGGGTGGGGGTTCATGGGATTCGGGGCCTCTTTCTTAGTCACAGAGGGGCTAGGCAGGCCTCTGTTTTCCCATGGATCCTTTCTGGTGAGAGCTGGGCCGGGCTGGTCACCAAAGGCACCCAGGTCTCCGTAGCCCATGTTTCTACAAGCCCGTGATGCATGAAAGAAGGGGGAGGGGTGCCCCCAGTGAGCTAAGTGCCCTTAAGATCACCTCCCTGGGGAGCCCTCATCTCCCTGCCCCTGCCTGCCCACCAGACCGAGTGCATGAACTTTGTGAAGCTGCTGCATGCCTACAACCGCACCCACCTGCTGGCTTGTGGCACAGGGGCCTTCCATCCAACCTGTGCATTTGTGGAGGTGGGCCACCAGCCGGAGGTAAGGCCAAATCACGAGCCAGAGGTAAGGGAGGGAGGCTGGAAGAGTAAGGAAGACCTGGCAGTACCAACACCCCCTGCTTCCCAGGAGCCGGTGCTCCAGCTGGACCTGCGAAGGCTAGAGGATGGCAAAGGGAAGAGTCCTTACGACCCCAGGCATCGGGCCGCATCGGTACTGGTGGGTGAGTTCAAAGGCTGGCATCCAGCAGAGACAGGAGCCTCACAAAGTCCCAAGACCCACCTCAGAGCCCCAGGGATACCCACAGTCTCACCAACTACCCAAGACCCCCCGAGGCTCCACGGGCTTTTCCACCCTGGGAGCCTCCAGCTCGGCTGAGCAGCCCTTGCTCTGTCTGCAGGGGAAGAGCTGTACTCAGGGGTGGCCGCAGACCTCATGGGCCGGGACTTTACCATCTTCCGAAGCCTGGGCCGCCGTCCAAGTCTCCGAACAGAGCCACACGACTCCCGCTGGCTGAATGGTGAAAGGCTGGTGGGACTGTGAGGAGGGGCCTCCGTCCCTCAGGGCGCATGCTGAGGGGAGCCCATATAGAAAGAGAGCAGTGGGCAGCCAGGTTGCAGCAAATGCTTTCCAGGCATCAGGCCCTGGCTGGACACTGGGGTGGCAGGGAAGACAAGGCAGCTGTCACCCACACTCTTTGAATTCACAGACCATAACAAATACACAGTAAGATCAATTCCAGTGGCCATGAGGCCAATAAGAGACTAGAGATGAAGGGAAAAGAAACTAGGTGATGGCAGGAGGGTTGAGGAAAGAAAACCACTCTGCTGAGGAGAGGTGTGAGCTAATTCCCACAGCACTGCAGGATTCAGAGAAGAGTCCAGGCAGCGGGAACAACTAGTGCTAAGGCAGCAATAATGGGCGTCACTGGTGGCACAGGGGTTTTAAAGACAGCACTGTTAGGCTATCCCAGCCACTGCAGCATGAGTTCAATCCCCGGCGGGCCAGGGAGCTACCCACATGGCACTACAGACCTCTCCTGACTCGCCCGCTGCTCCCCTCAGCAGTGTATTTCAGTAGATCCACCTGTTCTGCTCCCCACTCTCTCTGGTGTATCCTCTCACCCCCTACACCTTTGGCTTACACCCCAGCTCTTATATGCATAAATAAATAAATCTTCTTTTTTAAAAAAAGGTAGCAATAATCTAGGGGCCTAGACTGGCAGGGGCCAGGGTAGTGATGGGACCCAGGAGAGTGTTTGAAGCGTGGGGGAGGGTGTTGGTGTACTGGGGTATCTGCTTCCTGCTAGAGAGGAAGATTCTTGAGTAAAAGTTAAACCCAATACCCCCAATGTCAGGATGAGGTCAGAAGCCTGCGGCTAACCATAGACCTCCTCACGGCGGGCATGCCCAGATAGCCACAGTCTTTGTTGCCCTCTTGTGGCTGCCTCTGGGATTGCAGTCCTTGGATTCTTTCTGCGAGGGCCATTTGAACTCCTGAAGGGTGGGTGGTCAGATGCCGCCAGGGGTCCCAGGGCAGGTACAAAGAGAAGGGGAGGCAGCGGATGCATCTTGAGGCAGGGAATGGGGTCAGACCTCTGCTGACCCCACACCTCTTGCTGTGGTCAGAGCCCAAGTTCGTCAAAGTTTTTTGGATCCCAGAGAATGAGAATCCAGATGATGACAAGATCTATTTCTTCTTCCGCGAGTTGGCAGTGGAAGCCTCCCCTGCTCTGGGCCGCCAGACCGTGTCCCGTGTTGGCCAGATCTGCCGGGTGAGGAGATGCCGAGCCACATCCATTGATCAGGTCCTTCACCCTTTGCGCAACCCTGAGGTCCCTCTCTCATTCCCTCTTATTGACTCCTGCAGAATGATGTGGGTGGCCAGCGCAGCCTGGTCAACAAATGGACCACGTTCCTGAAGGCTCGGCTGGTGTGCTCAGTGCCCGGCACAGAGGGTGACACGCACTTCGATCAGCTCCGTGAGTGCCCGACATGGAGGATGGCGTAGCGGGGAGGGAGGTTTTGTGCCCTCTCCCAACCTGACCTCTTTCCCACAGAGGACGTGTTCCTGCTGTCCTCGCGGGACCGCTGGAACCCCCTGCTCTATGCTGTCTTCTCTACATCCAGGTGAGGGGTGCAAGGTAGCAGGGCAAAGCCAGCGAGGCTTCCCTGAGACCCTCACTCCGCTCATGTCTTCGCCTGCAGTGGCATCTTCCAGGGCTCTGCAGTGTGCGTGTACAGCATGAACGACGTGCGGCGGGCCTTCCTGGGACCCTTTGCACACAAGGAGGGGCCCACGCACCAGTGGGTGTCCTACCAGGGCCGAGTTCCTTACCCCCGGCCCGGTATGGTGCGTATCTCAGGGCATCCCTCCATGACCCACTTCAAGGCCTCAGGAGGGGGAACTTGGCCTGGGGTCTCAGTGGATGTGGTTTCTTCCTTCTGTTATGGGGGGAAACATCATTCTCATCAGACAGGGCTCCTCAGGGGAAGGTCATGTTTTCTTCCTCAGAGGAGGCTGGGTCTCCTCTCTCAGCAGGGTTCTGTCCAATACTGGCCCCCACACAAGCATACTCTGCAGGTTCCCAGGCGTCTCTTGCGGAATGCCCATCAGGCCCTTATACCCACATCCCTGCCATGCCTCTTTCCCACCCCCCAGTGCCCCAGCAAGACCTTTGGAACCTTCAGCTCCACCAAGGACTTTCCTGATGACGTCATCCAGTTTGCCCGGAACCACCCCCTTATGTACAATTCCATCCTGCCCGTGGGGGGCCGTCCTCTCTTCCTACAAGTGGGTGCTGGCTACACCTTCACCCAGATCACTGCAGACCGTGTAGCAGCTGCTGATGGACATTACGACGTCCTCTTCATTGGCACAGGTCAGGGTCCTGTTGTGAACACCCACAAGACCAGTCCAGGCTCTTTGGCCTGTTAGTAGGAAGCTCCCCCTTTTCAGTCCTGTCTCCACATCGTTGCCTTGGCTGTGCCCCCTCTCCTTCTGGATGCTGCTGATTGTTCCAACTCGCATTCTTCAGGGACATAACCATGGCTGAGGGTGGGGGCTCCAGCGGTGAGGAGACCCTGGCCCTAAGTGTAAGGTACTCACTCACCCCTTCTCATCCCCGCAGATGCTGGCACAGTGCTGAAGATAATCTCGGTACCCAAGGGCGGCCGGCCTAATGCTGAGGGGCTGCTCCTGGAGGAGCTGCATGTTTTTGAGGTGAGTTTTCCCACCTCTCCCCTGTCCCCCGAGGTACTCCCACACACTGAGCCCTGATTCCAGCACCTTTCTTCCCATTCAGGACTCATCCGCTGTCACCAGCATGCAGATCTCCTCCAAAAGGGTAAGTGACTGGAAGGCTTGGGGGCAGAATGAACCCAGCACATTCCCAGGTGCCCCCACCTCAAGCCCTCCCTTGGTAGTTGAAGGCCTGGGTTTGGGTACAGGCTCTGCCTTCACTAGATTCTGGGACCTGAGACCTCAGTGTCCCCATCTGTCAAGTGTGGGGAGGGAATCTCTGACCGATGGGAATGGGACACAGGCTGCCCTTGGTCAGCCCCGAGCCCCTCGTGCCCCCTAGCACCAGCTGTACATAGCCTCGAGGAGCGGGGTGGCCCAGATCCCGTTGCACCGCTGTGCTGCCCATGGCCGCGCCTGTGCCGAATGCTGCCTGGCACGTGACCCTTACTGCGCCTGGGACGGGGCCACATGCACGCGCTTCCAGCCCAGCGCCAAGAGGTGGGCAGGGGCCTGGAGAACAAGCGGGTGGGAGTCGAAGGGTCTTTGGCCTGTCCTGGGCTAGAAGTAGGGTTCCTTTTCACGAGGCTCCAATGTTTACCCCCAGGCGGTTCCGGCGACAAGATGTAAGGAATGGAGACCCCAGCACTCTGTGCTCTGGGGGTGAGTGCCCTAATTGACCTCCCCCTCAACCCTTGAAGACTTCCCACCCTGCCCCTGCTTTGCCTGCATCTGACATCCCCCTTCCCACCAGACTCGTCTCATCCTGTGCTGCTAGAACGGAAGGTGTTTGGCGTGGAGGGTGGTAGCACCTTCCTGGAATGTGAGCCCCGCTCTCTGCAGGCCCGCGTGGAGTGGACCTTCCAGCGTGCAGGGGAGGCGGCCAGTACCCAGGTGGGCCTCCCCACTCTCCTGCCTGCCAACCAGGCCCTTGTCCCTTCCCTTCTTTCAAAAGAAGCCCAGCCCAGACTATTAAGAAACCTTGGCCTACCACCCACTTCAAACCGTGCCCAGGGAGGCTTTGCCCTATTAGACCACCCCTTAAGTCTAGTTTGGACCCTTACCTGCACTCCACATCCCACTGAGGACCCGCTAGGTGCTGCACTGCGCCCCCTTTAAGCCCCTCCCCACATACACACATCGGAGAGAAGCGCCCCCTGCCCCCTTTTATGGAGGCTTCCCCACATTTGGCTGAACCCTGCCCCGTTTGGGTTCCCACTTGAAAATCCGCGGCCCTCATGCACAGCACCCGCGCCCGCTTGGCCCACGTTGGCCCTTTACCTCTCCTAGGGCCAAGGAGCCCAGTTTCTGACCATGACGCCCCTGCCCTGTGGCCCGGCCCGCAGGTGCCCGCGGAGGAGCGCGCGGAGCGCACCACGGGGGGGCTGCTGCTGCGCCGGCTGCGGCGCGCGGACGCGGGCGTGTACCTGTGCGCGGCGGTGGAGCAGGGCTACTCGCAGCCGCTGCGGCGCCTGGCACTGCACGTGCTGAGCGCTGCGCATGCTGAGAGGCTGGCACGGACCGAGGAGGCTGCGCCTGCTGTGCCGCCGGGGCCCAAGCTCTGGTACCGGGACTTCCTGCAGCTGGTGGAGCCGGGCGGCGGCGGAGGCGCCAGCGCCCTGCGAATGTGTCGCCCGCAGCTGGCTCCGGGACCACCGTCCCTCGAGGCGCGGAGGAAGGGCCGCAACCGGCGGACGCACGCCCCAGAGCTGCGTGCTGAGCGGGGGCCGCGCAGCGCAGGGCACTGGTGATTCGCCGTCCCAGGCCAGGGACTGGGCAGGAGATGACCGGGGACAAGGGGACAGACAGACCCTGGGAGAGCGTGGAGAGCTTTGCGCCAGGGGCACTGTGGTCCCCAACTGACGGAGACACCGACCGACAGGCCCTGGCAGAGGGGCAGCTGCGCCAGCTTATTTATTAACAGAGGATAACCCTTGAATGTAGCCCCCAGAGGGGCGTCCCAGGCCGGGCACAGGGTCAGGTTGGTCAGGGCAGAGAAGCAGGGCTCCAGAGCAACGACCTGGGGGAGGGAGGTGCTGGGAAGTGCCCACCCTGGGGAAGGACTTCCTCCTTGGGCAAAGAGCAGAAAGCTGTGAACAGGCTGGGCTGTTGGGGGCAGGGTGGGGTAGGCCGACTGTACTAATGCAATAAACACTTTATCAGCCAGCTGGAATGGCCCCAGCAGATAACCGTTGGTCTGAGGTCTTGCTGTGTGGCCTTGGACACCTTCCGGCAGTCTTAGGACCTCAGTTTCTTCTGCTGTGGATGCTGTGGTCAGGGATAAATGTAGTCTCCTGGTGACAGTGAATCGTGCAGGGCCTTTGGGGATACTGATATGCACAGTATATTCTGAATAATACAATTTCTGGGCTAGTGCTGTGAAGAATGTAAAACTGGGTGATGTGCAAAAGAATGTGAGCAAAAGGCCTCGCCAAGGGGGTGACATTTGAGCTAAACAACAAGGAGTGAACTTTGGGAATAGCTGTGGGCAGAGCATTCCAGGAGGGAAAAGCCGGAGCAAAGTTTCTGAGGCAGAAACAAACCTGTATGATTGAGGAAATTCAAGGAGGCCATTGGAGTGATGGGTTTGGGATGTTTTAGGAGCTCCAGTCCCCTCTCCCCCATCTTGTTTTGTCCAACTTAGGCTAGAGGGACACCGGAGTCCAAAAGTAGTGTGAGCCCACTTCCTCCCCTCAAGGCTAAGTGGCGTCGTGTATTCTCACTGGCCTCTTGTGACCCGTATGTCCTTGTGGACAGAGGAGGGAGGATCAAATCCTGCACTGGGCTAAGGGCTTCAGACTCGTATTTCCAGTCTCACATGTGTGGAGCCAGGGAGGAACATTCCTATTCCTGTTTTACGCATGAGAAAACTGAGATTGGAGAGAGGGCAAGTTTTCCCCAAGCTTAGTAACAGAAATACCAGCATTTGACCTAGGTCAGTCCACTGACCAGCATGGGTATCCGTGTATGGGGGTGTCTGCCTTCAGAGAGACACCTGGACTGCAATTGTCCATCACCCCAGACCCTAGAGCCAGCCACCACACATTGATGGGTGCTTGTCCCACACTTGCTCCGAGAAGAGACATTCTGGCTGTGGGTATGGGTGTTCGTGATGGAGGTCCACAGGGCCGCTCTGCCTGTCCTAGCTGCCATGTGGGATAGCCCATAGCCAGACACTGAGCCTGAAGCAGCTTGCCTGGAAGACCTGAGGCCTAGGCACATGTAGGGGTGGCAGGGTTCCCTGGGGAAGCTCCTGCGGAGCATGTAGTAGTAGAGATGTGATTTTATCTGGGTTCTTGTCACCAGGTATATAGTCCACTCTGGCCCATGTGGGACATTCTGCCCCTTTCATGACTGAGAGCTGTCCCTCTAAATATAACCCAGTGGGCTGAGCTCAGGCCTATTTTAGGCTTAGGCTGGGAGGTGGGCAGGCCTTGCCCAGTCTCTCAAAGGAGTCACTGCTGCCTCTATCCTGTCCTGCTACTGGGTGCTATCACCGGCCCCTTGACTGCCCACCATCCACCATGCCAGAGGAGACCCGGGAAGGTAGGAGATGACTGTGAGAGAGGGAAAGTCCCAGTGCTATGAGCCTGTGGGCCTTGCAGAAACCTGCCCTTTGTCCCACTGACCTGGCTTCCTTGACTAGTCACCCGTCTCCTAGTCCCACCTCCAGTAAAGTCCCAGCTCCCAGGAAAGGAATAGGCTACCATGCCCTGAACCCCTCTTGAGCTCAGGCCCTTTCATCCTGCTAGAGACAGCAGGAAAGGATATGGGGGAGCAACCCAGTAAGGTGGGTCAACTATAGGCTGTGCCTGTGTGGATGTAGGCTGAGCAGCTGCCTGACCAGGTCAACTTTTCTTCTAGGGAGGAAGCTGGGTTCGGGGATAGGCTGAGGTTCCAGGGAGCATTTGGGCACATGGCCCAGGGAGTGGGAGTGGATAGGCCTCTGGCCTTTAACTTGGGCCCAAGTGCCCCCAACTGACTAAAGTTTAGGATTCCTTGGCTGCCAGACTGACTGCTTGTTAAGACTTCGGTGGCCCCTCACCTAACTGCATGTAAGAAGCACAGCAGCTCAGGGGGCCAGAGCAGGAACCCGGGGATCTTCAGGGACAGTGCTCCACCCTCCCACTGGTCAACTCCCCCCACCAAATTTTCAACATTTTACACTGGGTGGGAGGGATGCGTCTCCTGGTGATAGTGGTGAATGGTGTTTGCCTCCTTTTGGGATCTTAACAATGACATTTATTGTGTTTTTCTTGGTAAAAGACATTCCAAATTCAATTTAGAAAGTATGGGAAAAGCACAGCCCAGTGCAAAAAGGAAATTTAATTACTCCTAACCCATCACCCAGATTGGCAGCATCTGTTTTTGTTTACTTACTTTGTGCACATCAGGGGCCAGTTTCAGGCAAATCATGATGGTTGTCACTACTGCTCTGAAGGGACTGACCCAGAGAGTCCAGTCACTTTTGCTCCTATCAGTTATCCCCTCAATGCCTCCCATTTTGTTACCCAGCTTCCATTTGGGCATGTGGGGGTCTTAAGGAGCCAAGATTTTTTTAAAAAATCAAGCCAGGGGTCTTCTTGGTGGTACAGGGGTTAAGGAGCACTATGAAGCTATCGCCAGCCACTGCAGCATAAGTTCGATTTCCAGGCCAACCAGGGAGGTGACCCACATGGTGCAGCAGACCTCTCCTTTGTCACTCGCTGCTCCCCTCAGCAGTGTATTTTTCAGTAAATCTGCCTGTTCTGCTCCCCATGTTATCTCTGGTGAATCCTCTCACCCCCCACACCTCTGGCTTACACCCCAGCTCTTGTATGCATAAATAAATAAATCTTTAAGAAAAAAAATCAAGCCAAAGAACAACCAGAAGAAAACATAACATTTAGAAATCACAAAATAAATGTCTCAATGGGCTCAAAAATAAGTAATTAAAGTCACAAGACAATTACCAGACTCCACTGACTAAATGGGCAGAGGCAGTGATGGATAATTAGAAAGTCACATGCATTGGGCAGACCCTGCTAGGCAAGGAAATAAAACTGCTCAAGAAAGGCCTCTCATCATCCAACTTAGCAAATATATGTGCACAAGCATGTCTATACATTTCTTTCCAATGCCTGACAGTGGTGATGTACCCTTTGGGGGCTGTGAGAGCCATTCTGGAGGACAATTTGATGATAGCTTACAAAAAAGTCCTTACTCTTTGCTTAAGTAATTCTGCTTCTGGGAATCAGTTCTTAATAACTATTGGGAAATTGGGAAAAAACTTTATGCTGAATGATATCCTTTTCTAGGGTTTTTTTTTTTTTACTTCCGAAAGGAATTGAAAACAACCTACAAGCCTAGGCAGCCTCCAGGGGATGCTGGGAGACCTCAGAGGCTTGTGAAACAGTTTGAAGGCAGAGGCAGAGCCCCTGTTGTGATGCTGAGTGAAAACAGTAGGGGTCACAGAAGCACAGCAGAATCCAGAGTGAGGCCAGGAGAGAAAGGAGAAGTACCCTAATGGCTAGAACCAGGCTTCCTTCACTACAGACCCGAGGAAGGTGCTAGGCACTGCATCTGGCCTGTGGGGAAATCTGATTGCAGAAGAGGCAGGAATGAGGACCTCCCTGGTGGCGCAAGGGGTTAAGTCTCAACACTGTCAAGCTATCAGCAGCCACTGCAGCACGGAATTTGATCCCCAGCCAGGGAGCTGAACCACATGGCGCAGCAGACCTCTCCTGTCTTACCCACTGCTCCCCTCAGCAGTGTATTTCCGTCAATCCACCTGTTCTCTTCCCCACTCTGTTGAATCTTCTTGTCCCCTGCACCTCTGGCCTATAACCCAGTTCTTGTATGTATAAATAAATATATCTTTAGGGCCTCCCTGGTGGCGCAGGCGGTTGAGCGCCACACTGTGGAGCTGACAGCAGCCTCTGCAGCGTGGGTACAATCCCGGCCAGCCAGCGAGAATCCCACATGGTGAGGCAGACCTCTCCTGTCTCGCCCGCTGCTCCCCTCAGCAGTGTATTTCATCAGTCTGCCTGTTCTGTTTCCCGCTCTGTCTCTGGTGAATCCTCTCACCCTCCCACGCATCTGGCCTGTACCCAGGTTCTTGTATAAATAAATAAATCTTTAAAAATCAATCAATCGATCAATCAATCTTTAAAAAAAAAAAGGCAGGGGGGCCTCCCTGGTGGCACAAGGGGTAAGCACAGCACTGAGAAGCTATCAGCAGCCTCTGTAGCACAAATTCAATCCCCGGCCAGGTAGATTCAATTCAATCAATCCCCGACCCACATGGCGCAGCAGACCTCTCCTGTCTTGCCCGCTGCTCCCCTCAGCTGTGTATTTCAGTAGATCTGCCTGTTCTGCTCCCCACTCTGTCTCTGGTGAATCCTCTCACCGCCCCCACCCCGCACCTCTGGCCTGTTCCCTAGTTCTTGTATGCATAAATAAATAAATCTTTAAAAAAAAAAAAAAAAAGAGGCAGGAATGAATTTCCTGAGCTGCAAATTTAGTCTCCCAAGGCTGCTAAACTTCGGAGAAGTGAGCAAGTGGAGGAAACCCTGAAAGTTCTTGAGGTGCTTGGAAATAAACACTGAGCAAGTCAAGTGCTCCTCCTGCTACTGCGTGCAAGCTTATGGGGTCCTGGGGTCCTCTTGGCTCAAAATCAAGGGTCATTCCTGAGTTGGTTTTAGGGGATTAGGAGCCAAATGCCCCTTTGTCCTGTCCCCCATCTTCTCTGAGTTCCTGTTGCCACTGGAGGCCACCCAGAAGGGAGGAGGTGTCCTGCTGGCTGAATCAACCCAACTGCCCCTGCAGACACCACGACATCGACCTTGAGCCCGAGGAACAGGGCACCACTGGCCCCCAACCACGTGCAGGAGGTGCGCCTGCACCCAGTGGAGTCCATCAGTGACCTGCACAGCGGAGGTGAGGGGGCATGGGAGTGGGACAAATGTACTGGAAGAACAGAAAGCAGAAGTACCCACCACCTTCTTGATGCCCTATTTGCCCACAGGGTCACTGCGCCCCTATCTGGCCGATGAGGCACAGTCATGGGACGAGCTGCTGGGCATCCTGCCACCGTCACTGTGTACCCAGGCCGGCTGCAGCCCTGGCCGGGGGGGCTTCCTGATGCTACTGGCGCTGCTGGTGCTCACCTGCCTGGCGCTCGCTGTCCTGGCTGTCTACTTGAGTGGTAAGGTTGGCACAGAAAGCCAGTGGGAACCAAGGGCAAGGAGATGGGGCCAGGAGGCGTTTTTTTCTTTTAATATTTTGAAAGGACAGGTTTAGCAGGAAAAGGAGAAAAAGTCACCTACATAGTCACAGGTGGGCAGGAGAGCTGCCCCAGGAGGCCTTTCTGCACTGTTGAGGGGAGCCACTGTAGAGGATGAGACAGTGAAGGGTGGGGAAGGGATCTGTGGGCACCCTCTGGTGCTGGCTGGGTGGGTGGTGGGATGGCAGTGGTCTCACAACCTCCCATCCCTGTCTGTCCACAGTGCTGCAGAGCGAATCATTACGCATACTGGTGCACACACTGCGTACACAGGAGGAGGTGCTGCTTAAACTCCGGCTGGCCAGCCTCAGCCAGCTGCGGAGGCTCAACTCCACTGAGGCCCAAGCACCCAGCTGAGATGCCACTTGGAACTGGGGCCTGCTCTGTGTGAGAGAGAGAATAAAATGGTCCCTGGCAGGTTTCTCCTCTCCCCCTGCTGCTCCACACTGCTGCCTTAGTGAGGTTTTGTACAACAATCTGATCTGACCCCACAGCTGCCCGCCTGTCCTGACTTCTTCAGGCCAGACCTAGCCAAGCCTTCTGGTGCCAAGGCCCCAGGAAGCGACACCAGCCTCCTGACTGCTCCCATGGCCTGTCAGCACCCTCTACCTCCCCCAGATAGCAGGTTCAGAGCTCTAGAAATAGCTGCTCCCACCCCAATCACCCAAACTAAGCCAAGTCTCTCAGTGGGGGGTCTAGCTTCAGTTCTCAAAAAGACAAGCTGGGCTGGGGTGGGGGTGGGGGGACCTGGAGAGAAGCTGTATTAAAGGGCAAAGGTGAGATGGCAATGGAGGAGGACCCAAGCCTAGGGTGGTGGACGGGGAGTGACGGCAGGAAGAACACCAAGATGCCAGGGCTGCAGAAGGCTGAGCATTCAGTTTAATTATCTCTAATCATCTTCACAAACCACAAATTCATCCCCATAATCCCTGCCTCCCCACCTGCTATGGTGGCATCTGTCCAGATGCTGTCCCCCCAAAGGAAACGGTTCATCCCAGGGGAGCAAGACCTGAGAAAGGAGAGAAAGGAAGGGAGACACCCCCACCCCGCCTGTCCCACAGCCTGGGGACAGGCACACATCTGCCCTGAGACAGGAAAGGAAGAGGACACATGGCTAAGTGCAGGGACAAAGGGTCAGGGCCCCAAGTGGCCTGGCCTCAGCCACCCACTCCCATGTCTGTCCCACTGTTTTTGGTTTTGTCATTAAAAAAATAAAGTGACAATTCCTGGCAGGAACCAGGTGTTGCACTGTCTTCTGTTAAAAATACGGGCAAGGGTGTGGACAGTTTCCACTTCAGCAGGTCCAGCCTCACAGGACGTCCGCCCGCTTGTCCCGCATGCGGCTGCGCGCCTTGGTCCGGGCTTTGAAGGCGGCAGCGTTGTACAGGTGCTGGAGCGGAAGTGACAGTGAGGCTCTGGCGGGGGGAGGGGGGGCAGGGCTTCTCCTCCAGTCCCCGTGGAGTTCCAGACCTCCAGGCCACAGAAATGGAGGAAGGGTAAAGGTGCCCAAGGGTGCAAACCTTCTCAAAGCGTGAGATCTTGCAGGCCTTCAGGGCGGTGGCATCCAGCACCAGCACAGGGCCCAGGCCAAAGATGTCACGGAGTAGCTCATTGTTCTGGGGGCAAAGAGAGCAGTGAGCTCAGGCCAATGCAAAGTAGCCAACGGGGTGCCCGGCCCTCTCCGCCTCCCCACCTGAAGATGGTGGTGCATGCCCGAACCCAGCACGTCCTTGAAGGCAGCATAGATCCGGCGCCGAGCCCAGCTGTCCACGTAGAGCACCTCAAGTCCGAAGCGGACTGTCTCTTCCTCATACTCGCCACCCTGCAGGGTAGAAGGCCCATGTGACCGGGCTTGCAGCTGTGCCTGGGGACACACTCTCACCAGGACACAGATGTCCTCACACACACCTCAACAAAATGCAGCACAGCACGGAAGGTGGAGCGTTGCCGCCGGCGGTCAGCCTTGGCACGGTACTTGTTACTGTCGGTGGCCAGGGTGCGTAGGGTCCCACAGAGGGTCTCCAAGTCCTCGTAAATGAAGTCTTCCTGCAGTGAGAGTGTTGGAGGGTGGGTGAGGAGCGTCCTGAGCACTGTGGGGTTGCCCAAGCCCTTCCTTTCACTGAGCAAGTCATTTCCTTCTCTGCCTGGCCCCTGGGCCCCTATCAGCCCCTGTTTGGGCCTAACGCAACTACTTAGGTGTCCCCTCCCAGAACAGGCTGTAGGATAATTCCTCGCCCTTGGGTCCAGGGCCCAGCTGCACAGAGCAGGCCCAGCAAAGCAGCGGCCAGGGGCCTGCTCCTCACCATTCCCTGAAGGGATGCCTTGCAGGTTTTTTTTTGTTTTGTTTTGTTTTTTTTTTTTTTGGGACCCTCGCTAGTGGCTGGGGATCGAACTGGCACTGGGCCAGCGCTCAACCACTGCGCCACCAGGGGAGGCCCAATGCCTTGCAGCTTTTGAGTCTGTTGTGTTATCTCCCCTTCACACTGCCCTGATTTCTGCGGCATCCCCTGCATCTAGCCTGGGATGAGCAGGTGGTGTTAGCAGGCACCCTTCCTCCCACCCTACTGTCTCTCGCACCTCAAGGTCCCGGGCAAGCTCAAAAAGCAGGGCGATGGTCTCGCCGGCTGCCATCCGCAGGTTCACACTTTCACTAGACAAGAGTTGGGGCAGCCGGGGCAGTTGCCTGGGGAGAAGGCAGGATGAGTTATGGATGTAAGTTGGGGGGATCTCTTCATCTTTCCCCTCCCACTCCCACTAGGCAGTTGGCCCTACCTGTCCAGAATCTGGGTGATGTGGGTGCTGGGACAGATGGTGAGTAGCAATGCCCAGGCTTGTAGCGCAGCACAGAGCAGGCCATGCAGGCTGGCAGGGACCACAGGGGCTGCAGAGCTACCCAGACCACAGGACCGGCTGAAAACACCTTCCAAGCAGGAAAGGCAAGACACCAGGTCCTATGGGCACAGGGAGGCAGGGGAATGGCTCAGGGGCAGGAGTGAGGACCTAGGTGCTTTGCTCCCTTGTTGAAAGGCCACTTACCTGGACATCATCAGCAGCCACGTAGCAACCCAGACCAAGAGTGGAAGCACACTGTTGGAGGAGGCAAAGCCAGACCACAGTCAGAGGGTGACTCCCAGTCATGGCTCACTCTCAGAGTAGGGGAGCCCAGAGGCTGATAGAACCCACTCTCTGCTTTGGGATTTGGGATTTGTCAGGAGGCAAGGGAACACTCACGTGGAGTCGGGCAGCAGGGCTAGCTGTGCTGTCACTGAGCACAGAGACCAGCAGGGGCTTCAGGCTGCAGAATAACTCCTCGCCCTTGGGTCCAGGGCCCAACTGCACACAGAGCAGGCCTAGCACGGCAGCGGCCAGGGCCTGTTCCTCACCCTTCCCTGTAGGGATGCTTTCCAGTCAGTCCATACAACAGGGGTGAGCATTCAGCCAGTTCAGGCCCCTGATGAGCCCCAGGACCAACCTTTCTTGAGGCACTTTTCTAAGGCATCGGTCAATGTGAGGCTGCGTTCCAGCAAGAAGTCGGGGAGTAGGTGGGACGCCAGGGTCAGGCGGAGGTTCTCAAGTGCACTTTGCCGGGTCTTGGCACTGGGGGATGAAGAGGAGAGTGATGTGGCCCGGCCCCAAGAAGGTCACTGTTGGGATGGGCTAAGCAGGGACATGGGTGTAGGGATCAGCTGGCAGTCAGGGTTACCTCTTGTCTGTAAGGCAGTCCACACATTCTTTCAACTTCTCCTCAAGGTCTTCCTGCTGGCCCTGCTCATCCACGGCATCCCCCCCTGCAATGCCAGCTGGTCAGCCCTGCTTCTTGCCCTAGCCCACAGAGCCCCCACCGAATCCCTGCCAAACCCCACTAGCTCTCACCAAGGTTGTCCTCTGCAGCAGTGCTCAGAAGGCTGGGGCATTCACTGGTGGTGCTGCGTGCCTCACTGGCTGCCTCATCTTCACTGGAACCTGAGTCAGCCTGGGTACTGCTTCGGGTACCTAAGGGTGATACAGAGGACTTGGCCTGCCTCCATTCATAAGTGACAGTTGGGACTACCTTACCCAGTCTCAGGACCCCACAAGCAGAATATTGCCCTTCTCAGAGGTGGGAAAACTGAGGCTAAGGTGGAAAGCATGGGGATTGATGCCAGGGATGCTAAGCCAGGAATCAGGAGAAAGGGAATGAGGTGTATCTGCTGGAGAGCCTCAGGTGCCTGGCCCAGCCCGGGAAAACCCAGTAGGTTCAGTGAGCAGAGCCTCCCTGAGACCAGAGGCTGCTTCAAGGAGATTAAGAGCCAGATTGGGAACTTCTTAGTGGCGCAGGCGGTTAAGAGCTGTACTGCGAGGCTGTCCGCAGCCTCTGCAGCGCAGGTATGATCCCGGCCAGCCAGCGATAATCCCACATGGCGCAGCAGACCTCTGCTGGCTCACCCGCTGCTCCCCTCAGCAGTGTATTTCTGTCAGTGCATTTCTGCCTGCTCAGTTCCCCACTCTGTCTCTGGTGAATCCTCTCACCCTCCCACACATCTGGCCTGTACCCTGGTTCTTGTATAAATAAATAAATCTAAAAAAAAAAGCCAGATTGAGGTAGCAGACTGAGGTAGCAGAGGTTGCACAGGCCCCAACTAGGCCTATGGCCCATGCTGGACTGGGAGAACATGCAGACAAATACAAGGGGAGCTTAGTCACCAGTCCATGACCCAAAGTGGCCAGGGCAAGGTCATAGGGCCTAAGTTATAGAGAAGTGTCAGGGTTCAAACCCCAGATTTACTTGTTAACAAGGATGTAACCAAGTCAGCTGCCTAGCCTTCAAAGCCTGAGTTTCTCCATCTGTGAAACAAACATGCAAAAGCACCTCTTCTGGGTAGGGCAAGTGAAGACAAAGAATAAACAGGTGATTCGTTATGGTCCTTCTGTGTGCCAACAAGATCACCAGGTAACCCATTTGTCCCGGGGGCAGAAGCCCAGTTCCTAGTGGATTTGGATGAGTACCCCAGGCTTCAAGCGTATTGTCTTTTGAGCTCCCCTTGGTCCATCCATCCCTGGCCTTCAGCCATGGGTGGGCAGAGCACACACAGGCTTCTCTTGACCTTGGCAAGTACACAAAGTGGCCCCTGACTAGATGAGCCCCTGAAAACAAGTAAACAAAGGGGAGCATCAGGGTCAGCAGAGCTGCCCAGGGGTTCTGTCCAGTGTCAGGGGCTAACTTTGGCCAACGCAGCTGCCGCAGCAGAGCTTCAGACACGTTCTGGTCACCAGGCTGGCCCAACCTCTCAGGAACCACCTAGCCCGTGTCTCTGTTGAACAAAGTACAGCACATCAGTCTGTGCTCTCTCTACCTGCTAAAGGAGTCCAGCCTTCCCTCGTCTGTGCAGCTATGCCAGGGACCCTCCAGATGCCATGCCTCACACAACTGCTCCCTCCACATGGAGCTCTCTTCTTCACCCTCTCAGGACTCACTCACAAGACCCTCCCTGAAGGGTCCTTAGTTCCTAAGTCTGGCACCGGCACCACTCGGTGAATCTGTCCCCCAGCTCCTTCTGGAATGCTGCTAGCCACTTAGATGTCTCTCCTACCCAAGCCATTTAGGGCGGTGGTGGGGTCTGAGATGTGCCATCAGGCACCCATCCTTGCGGTGTAAACATACATGTTTACTGCACCAGGACCCGCTTCTGGTCAACGCAGATAAGCGAGTCTCAGCTCTGCCTCTGACTCCATGGCATTCTTCCACCCTTCAGGGTCAGGTTTGCCCCGGCCCAAATCCTGCATTTTCCAGATGGCTCCCTCAGTTGTCCTGGGCAGACCTCCCACCAACTTCCCAGGACCTTCCAGGAAGGCATCAAACTAGGAGAGGTGGCAGGATTCTGGTTTTCGGAGGGTTGGTTCACCACAGTAGGTGACTGGGGTGGAGGAGCAATGGGGAACCCAGACCCACAGGTGTCCGGTGGGCTGGGGCCGCGAGGCGCGGCTTCTGCTGCGGCAAGCTCCGCGCTCAAGTTGGGCACACACGTGGTCGCTGCCTTCTGGGGCACGTGTGGCCGTGGGACAGCTGCCGGTCGCGGCTCCGGGTTGGTGGAGAGGGGGTCCCCACCCCAGGGCCCATGAGGACGAGGTCCCACGCTGGGCGCCCGCTCGCCTCTTGTCAGCCGCCCGGCGCCCTCCACTCACCGGCTCCGCGGCGCCGGCCGCCCTGGCGGGGCGCGCGTCCCTTGCGCGCGCGGGGCATGTCGGGAACCGGGCGCGGCGGGCGCGCGCGGGGTCAGGGGCCCGGCGGGCGGGGGCTCCAGGTCAGCGAGACACCGGCCTGTACGGTGAGCTGAGACTTGGGCAGACGACGGGAGCCACAAGCCGCGCGCGCCACCATCTTCGCGAGGGGCCCCGCCCTGCCGAACGAGTTGAAGCGCCCAGCCCTCCCAGACGGGTCGCCGGGAAGGCGAGTTCCCGGCCACACCGTTCACACCCACATCCCCGCTGCCAAAACTGCTGTTCCCAAGGGGCTGAGCGCGCAGATCACCGCCTGCCGGCAGGGCACACAGCACCCCGGGAATTGTAGTCGGCTCCCGGGACCTAGACGCCCACTGTGCTTTAGCTGAACTATGCACCCACAAAGCCATGCCTCCCTCCACCACCACGTGCACACGGGCACATTGGTAAACTCTGCAGCTGGCCCCATGGAGCCGCCCACGGGGCAGAACCAGCATCTCTGGACACTTGCCTGGGTACTCGTGATGGGAAGGCCGTGGGTCCTGTTAGAATAGGGGAACAGCCACCAACTCTCAGGCAGTGAAAAAAAAAGACTTTATGATGAAAGCAGAGTACGGACAATAGCTTAGCAATGACAGACCTCAGCCAAAATCTTTTTGGGACCCAACTACCCCTGAACAGACATCCTGTGACCTCTCCGTGGATCCAGTGAGATATAAAAGTAGAGCTCCTGGATGGCAACCCTAATCATTTTGGAAGCCTGACTCCCGAGGGCCACTTCCTTCTCAGGAGGAGCAGGTGGTCTCAGAGGGCCTCTGGTTTTCAAATGATCTAAATGTTTCTTCTGGTTACTCCCATTCCCCAGGGGTCACATAAGTGGGGTATGTGCATAGGATGATTGGCTGTAAGCTAAAAGCAGTGAATGGGGCACAGTCCTCCTGTCAGGACTGGGAAAATGCAGGGTCTAGAGAGTCAGGGCAGGTCATCCGGGCTTTATGCTGCTTCTTTATTTTTTTTTTAAGATTTACTTATTTATACAAGCACTGGGTACAGTCAGAAGCGCGGGTGGGTGAGAGAATTCACCAGAGCCAGAGCGGGGAACAGAACAGGCAGAGTGACGAAGTACACTGCTGAGGGGAGCAGCGGGCACGGCAGGAGAGGTCTGTGCACCAGGTGGGCACTTGCCTCACCTGGCGGCCAGGGATCCAACCGGCGCTACAAAGGCTGCGGGCAGCTTCGCAGCCCAGTGCTCAACTGCTGCGCCACCGTGGAGGCCCATTATGCTGCTTCTTTGGACTCAGGCCTGGCTCGAGGCCCAACGTTGGGTTCCTGACAAGTAGGACCAGTCCAGCCCCAGTAACAGTGGCACCCAAAGGATTCCCAAGCTCCAGGGCTGCCATCTGGCTGCAGATGCAGGAAGGCTTCCAGTTGTCCTGGGTCTCGCCTGGCACAGCGCCCATGGCCATGGCACCGCTGGAGACTACAGGACATGGCCGCTCTGGTGACGTTGATCACATAAGGGCCCAGGGTGTCCACTAGGTAGTCATGGAGACGCCAGCACTCCTTCTGAAGAAAGGGGTGGGATGTATCAGTGTTCCTTCTCCAGGGCCCTGACATGGTCTCTACCCTGCCAGGGCCCCAACATGGGCTGTGTGGCAAGCTGATGGGGTGATAATCACCTCAGAGCTGGAGAAGCTCAGGTCTCCCCAGAGCACCACGCCGGCTGCCCCCAGAGCTGCAGTCACGCCAATGGTGTGCACAAGGTCATCCTGGAGGCAGAAAGCTGCTGCCAGATCCATCCTGGCCTGCCTCTCTATCTATCTTCAAGAAGCTTTCCTGGCTCACTGACAACAATCTGATTCCACCTCTAGAGTCAGGCTAATTGGCACCGAGCCTCTGAATGGCTTCTCAGAACTTGACACTCAGAGAACGTGCCACCCCAGCACAAGGGCTCCAAAGGCTGGGCTTTGCCTTCCCCCTCAAGATCTAGGGCAGACATATCTCCTCATCAGATGCTCCAGGACAGGTCTGTCCCTTCAGAACGAGATCAGGGGCTCTCCCTCAAATCCCTCTGGGAAATGCCTTCTCCTCAGACTATTTCAGTACAAGACCATGCCTCCCAACTCAGAACCCGGGACTCAGCTTTCACTCACCTGAGACAGGAACCTTCCAGAGTGCCGGTGTGTGAGACGGGTATAAGCCAGGACAGGCAGGGGATGTGGGTGCCCAACAAGGGCCATACGGAAGGCTTCCTCTAGGCGGTGCCAGACAAATACCTGGTGGTGGGCAGGTGGCAACCTCGGTGGGAGGTAGATGCTGGGGAAGAGGGCACTAGAGGCAGCCCAGAGCCAATGCAGTTGGGTGTTGCGGGCAAGGGTAGCTTCATGGCACCGGCCTGTGTAATTGGAAGTCGCACCATGCCAGCCATTGCCACAGGCTGGGAAGCGATAGAAGCCCCAGAACCCATAGGGCTGCAGGGCCTGACCCAGCCGCAGTGTGTCCTCCATCAGTGAACGTGCTGCCTGTTCAAAGCCAGTGTGGGCTTTGTGGAGCTGCTCCTTGGGGTCCAAATGGGGGTATACCTGCTGTGCCCAAGCCCATGAGGCTTCTCGATATACTCTGCGGCGGCCCCAGTTCCCGGCCCAGAGTGGATACCACTCTTCCCAGTCCAGTACTGCCAGGCCAGCAAAGCCAGGTCTCAGTCTGCGGTGGATCTGATAGGCAACTTTTACCAGGTGGTGGTGAAGAGGCACAGCCTGAGGGATGCCCCCATTGTGAGCTGTGCCCCTGGGTCCAAGGTAAGGATAGAGGCCAAGCTGGTTCTTGTAGAAGATGGTGATGTTCTGGCCATGGAAATGCTGGCCATGGTTGGCTATGATGCCCAGGGCCTCTAATGGAAGGGGCACCCCAAAGTGGGCTTTACAGTGTGCTGAGGGTACATTCCACAGCACCAAGAAGGGGCGTTGAGGGGCCTGAAGCAGGGGCTGGCCACACCCCAGGCACAGGGCCAGGCTTAGCACCAAGGCCTGGCCTACCTGCATGGTCATGCCCCAGGGATGGAAACCTGTAGGAGAAAGGTGGGTGTGAGTTTAGAGGCCATGGCCAGGGCCACATGTTCCATACAGCAGAAAACCTGGGTAAACTCCCCCTGATCCTTCCCACAAACACAGGGAGTGGGGAAAGCATGGTCCCCCAGAAGACCTATAGGCTCTCAAAGCAGCCTACTTCAGGCTGGCCTGGGCAGCTCCGCTCCTGTACCAGTCATCTCTGTCATATCACCACTGCGCCCTCTGATACTCCCCCCATCCACAGCGCTCACCAATTTCCTTCTTTCTCTGCCCACCTTGTATCCTGCCAAGAACACTCAGCCTACTACCTTTCCTGGCTTAATTCTTATGCTGCACTGAGGTCTCTGCTGTGACAGCACCTCTCCTGGGAGGTATCCTAGATCTACAGGTGGAGTGACGGCACCTGGACTCCCACTGTCCCAGCATGGATCCCACTACTCTCTGCCTCTCTCCCTGTCTATCTGTCCCCTTGAATTGAGACCCTGTCTATCTCCCCATTGCCTGTGCTCAGTCTGGGGCATGACAGCAAGTATTCAATTCACTCAATGAGTGAGTGAATGTGGAAAGGAACAGACACCTTGTCCCCTGAGCCTGGTAGAGTGGGATGGGCAAAGGGCAAATGCCCTCTATCCATGATTCTGGGTCCAGAGTAGATCTGGGGGCTCCTATAGGGATAGGGAACCTAATCAGGGAGGTAAGGGTGGGAGCCAACAAATAAACTGTCACAGCCACACCCAAAAGAAGCCTTTATTCAGCCACACTGACTGCTCTGAGCCAGAGCCATGGAGTCATCTCTTGACCCCACTGGCATTCAGGAAGCATGCCCAAGCTAAAGCTGACTCCAGGGACTAGGGGGCTGAGGCTGGTAATGTCCTGGGCAGTCCACTGACCCAGAAATACAGTGCCTTTCCCTGGGTGGCTCTCAGATGTCCTTCTCCATCCAGAATATGGGACATCCTCTCAGGTTTTGGTACTGTGATTTCAGCAGGCTTTGTGGAAGAGGTCCTGCTGGGGATGGGGGTACGGTGGTCTTGGGCCTAGGAAGGGGAGGGGGCGGTGGCAATGATGGCCCCTTCGGGATTTTTAGGGCATCGTGGACAGACAGCCTAGAAGTAGGGGTCTTGCAGCGTGGCCGGGGGGAGGGGATACTGGGGAAGGCACTGAGCAGGGTGGCAGGCAGTCGTTGGCTGGTAAAGACCAGGCCCTGCACAGGCTCACCCAGCTGGTATCCCAGATGGGTGTAGAAGTGCAGTTGGTCATGGGTGGTGAGGTGTAGCCGGTGGAAGCCCCGGGACCGAGCAAAGACCTCCAGGCCCTCCATGAGCCTGCGGCCAAAGCCACGGCCCCTTAGGGCCCGAGCCACCACCACTGTCTCTACTAGGAGGCTCTGGGGCCTGTCCAGCACCCGTGACAGGCGGGCATGACCCACTACAATGGGTGCTGCCTTGGGTGTGGGACCAGGGCCCAGAAGCATCAGGCAGAGGGGGAAGGAGTCTGAGGACTGGCCCAAAGAGTGCAGGCGGGAGGCACGGCTGCGCGGCCACTGCTCATTGATCAGGTCGGCACAGGCATCCAAGAGCTCAGGTCGGCAGTGCACAGGCTCCAGGGTCAGCTCAGCCAGGTTTGGGGCTGGGATCTCCTTTGGCTGATGTGCGGGATCCAGGGTCAGTTCAGTTGAGCCAAGACTGAGAGTCATCTCTGGATGGCTTGAGGAACCCAGGGTCAGCTTAGTTAGCCAGGGGCTCAGGGTCAGCTCTGGCTGATACACAGGATCCAGGCTCAGTTGAGTCAGGCTGGGAGCCAAGGTCACCTCCTGCTGGGCTGCAGATGGCTCAGTGCCAGGCTGGGGGGTTAAAGACATGGTCTCCAGGCAGTGGCATCTTCTCAGACCACAAGGGTGCTTGTCCTGTGGACAACAGCCATGCTGGGCTGTGCTAGGAGGGCAGATGGGATTTGGGCAGGGAGAAGCTGACAGAGTGCAAGGGGTGGGGGTGCCATGCATCCTGGAACTGGGGAGTGGTGGGATACACTGAGCTCCCATACTTACCTGATGGGAAGCAGGGGGAACCTGGAGAGACCCATTCCCTGTACCTGAGGGAGCTGACTCTGGTGGAGAACAGAAGGGATGGGCCCAGGGTGTGCCATATTTTGCAATGGATAGGGGCTGAGGGCAATGGCTGAGGCAGAACCCAAGAGCTCCAGTGCCAGCCTGTTCTGGTTACAACTTTATCCTCGAAGGACAATTGATCCATCCCCTACAGCACGGCAGCTAGCTGGCTGTTAGACAGGGCATAAAAAACCAGACACCATGATACTCTGCTTAAAGCCATACGAGGCTCCCTTTGGAGGGAACAGAGCTGCCCCCAGGGGCTCCCTGTCTCTCCCTTCTCCCTACATCCCAGGCCCCAGCAATTTTGATTACCTGGGTCACCACTCAATCACCCATCAGACAGTTTTCCTCTCTCTGGACTACCTCCTCCACCTGGCACACAAAGCCCATGACCCCTTCCCCAACTACCCAACTGAAGACATTTTGATTGGGCATGGACCCAACTGTCCCTTCAGCTAGGGTCCCAGTAGCACTAAAAAAGCGCCTGGCTCACAGCCACACAGCTATGTCTCTTGCAGGCCTGGTTCCCCACTGGTCTGAGTTTCTTAAGTACCCTAGATAAGGACCACAGCTTCCTTCCTAAATCCACAGAGGAATCCAACGGCCACAAACGTTCAGGGCCTGAACCGCCTGTGCCCAAACACCAGTGTTTGCCCATCCCACCCCAGGCCCTGCTGGCAGAGAGGTTTATGCTGGGGGATTTCTGGAGGTGGGGCGCGGCTGAGCCCTATCCTATTCACCTGCTTCAGCGGGCTTGCGCTGGCTCCCCTTCCCTACCTCCTCTGGAAGGCCCCTTGCACTTGAGGCCAATTCTATTTACAGTGGTCAGTACAGGCAGCCCCCTCCCCTCACATCATCTCCCACGCAGAGGGCTAAAAGCCCCTCACCTTCATCTGCCACCTCCGTCCGCAACAGCCGTACCCTTTCACCAAGAGGAAGCTTAGGATCCGCCTTTAGGTCTGGAGCCCCAAACTTGCCCGCGGGCTTAACCCCTTTAGTGCTGACCCCACCCACTAAGGGCGGGGCTCCTAGGTCCCCTGAGGCAGCACCCTGTCTCCTGTCTAGGTTTCCCCCTTCTCCCACTACCTCCCCAAATGTGTTTTGGGGGTGGGGGCTTGGGGAGCTTGACTCTAGGTGGGTGTGGCTCGACATGCACTGGGAGGGCACAGCAGCAGGGGGGCGCGCGGGGCGGCACGGTCACCGCGGACCACGGGCGCGAGCGGACGGGGAGCGCGAGGACAATGAGGACTGACGCGCCGCGTATCGGGGCCGGGGGCGGTACTGACATGTTAAAACTGGGCTCCGGGATGCTCCTCGTCCACGCTCCGCACTGACGGGCTCTCCCTCGGCCTCCCGCACGAGCGCCTCAGTCTGCCCGCGCGGCCCCTAGCGGTACGGCGGACACACTGCAGCCCTCCCGCTCTGCGTGCGAGGATTCCAGCGCGGCCAAGCTCCGCCCCCGGGCGTGACGTCATAACGCCGTCCGGACGCACACTCGGTCTCGGCTCTGGCGCCGCGGCCGCCCTTCCGCCCCTGCCCTTCGTTGACTTTGCCCCGCCCTCCCCGGCTTCAAGCGCGTCGAGTCTCTGGCTCCTCGCGTCACCCTTAAGTCCCGCCTCGTTTCCGCTCCGCCGAGGCCCGGCCGAAAGCGATTGGACGTGGCCTCCGTCCGGTGCAGGCCACTCCCCCAGCTGGGGTTTCTGCCGCGCCCCGCCCCGCCCGCGCGCTGACGGGGTCATCCCCTGGCTCGTCTTTGTCCTGCCTCCCGCTGGCCTCCTGCCCCCGTCAGTCCAGCGTGGAAGCTCGCGGGTCGAGCTTCCTCCTAAAACTTGGGCCCCACCTGGAAGCAACTGCTCTCGAACAGAGAACAGATCTGAGTGATAGAGTCGTGCCTGTCCTGCACCCTCTGGATCCCGGCGCGCATACATTTTTGGCACCCAATAAACAGCCCTTGAAGTAAGAATCACGTCTGCTTTATTGTCGTGGCTGGTGACGCTGATTAGATTAGATTAGGGCAGCTTACCATCTGCACACGGTAGGAGCGCAAAGATTCTACCTCGGTAACCAGACCGATTGGGTTTGATTTTGCAGCTTCTCCTTTTTCTGGCTGTGCGATCTTAGGCAAAGGGCTGACCCTTCTGTTTTTACCTCCGTTTCCTCATAGTGCTGTGGTAGGAGGGACTGAGTTAGCCTACTTGAAAATGCTCAGCATTGGACTTAGTCGTTAAAAGTAGGCACTCGGTGAATATCAGTTCTGGTGGTTGCTGTGGTTTAAAGACTGGCTGAGTGTCTCTGGAGATGTTTCTGACCCTGCCAGGTGAATGTCTGAACAGAGTGGATGGTGTCTGCCTGTGACACTAACTCTTAATGCTACTCCCTTGGTCCGTGAGCATGTGTGCATTTACAGGGCATAGGCTCATGACTGAGGCTGAGTATACTCTTGATTATGATCATCACTTGTGTGACTGTGTCTTAAGAAAGTTGTGGCCAGGCCCAGAGTGCATTAGGTGCTGGAAGTGTGCATCCCAGTGTGTGGTCAGTCACCACACGTCCTGCTGCTCACACCATGCTCCCCTCCAGCCGCGGTAGCAGCGACATTTGAACTCCACAGCCATCCGCATCAGATCTTCAAGTGAGAGGTCACCATGTAGGGTTGGGGGTCCACCATTAGGCCTTCGATAGATGGAGAAACTGGCGGGGTTGAGGAAGAGGAGGGCCTCAGGATGGCTGGGGCGCCGGGTACAGCGGCCATGGCCTGAGCACAGGGCTTGACTGCACAGAAGAGCCCCACTGGTCACATTCAGGATAAATGGTCCCAGTGTGGTGTCCACATACTTCTTGATGGCTTGGCAAGATTCCTGGGTGGGAGGGTGAACATCAGGGACACCATAGTCGTTCATGGGTCCACCTAGGGGACTGAGGCACTCACCTGCCAGCCAGCCAAGGCTGTGGGGTCCAAAGGGTGGGCTATGGTTTCCCCAGTCAACAAGGCAGCCCTTCCCCACCCCCTGAGCTCACCTTGGTTCTTGTGTTCTCCCAGCTCACCCAGAGTACCACTCCGGCTGCACCCTGGGCTGCACTCTCCCCAAGGCTGTGCTCCAGCTCATCCTAGGGAAGGGGACAGCATAAGTCTATGGGGGCTTCCTCCCCACAGATTACCGCAACACCATTGGATGGGACAAATGATTCATAAGCCCCTCTGGAGCTGCTCTGTTCCTGGTGGGCAGAGGCAAATCCATCCCCATTCTAGCCTGTGAGTGGCATGCAGGTGGGAATTACATCTTTCCGATGAATGCTGAATTGTCTGTGCTTAGCAGTTTGGCACACAGTAGTGTTCAGAGAACTTTGGAATGAATGAATAAAAGTGCTCAAGGCTGGGCCTCCCTGGTGGTACAAGGGGTTAAGACGCAGCACTATGAAGCTATCTGCGGCTGCTTCAGCAAGAGTTTCCCCAGCCAGGAAGTGGTGACCCACATGGTGACCCATATGGTGCAGTGGACCTCTCCTGGCTCTCCCGCTGCTCCCTTCAGCAGTGTATTTCAGTCAATCCACCTGTTCTGTTCCATACTCTGTCTCTGGTAGGGCCTGTGGCCTATACCCCAGTTTTTGTATGCATAAATAAATAAATCAATAATAAAAAAAGTACTCAAGGCTAACGTGGCCTAAGGCTGTGTCCTCCATTACTGAACCTAATGCCTGACAGGGTAGGCTATAAGACAGGTGGGTCCTAGAAGGAAACTCACCAGGGGCAGAAAATGATTTGTCATTTCATAGAAGATCTGGAGGTAAGGCAGCACTGGCAGATCAGGGTTCCCAACACCCTCGGCCACACGGAATGCCTCACCCACACGGTGCCGCACGAACATCTGTGACTTTCCTGTGCCCTTCAGCACCGCAGGCATGTAGATACTGGGGTAGAGGGCATAGCTTTGGTTCCACAGCCATCCCAGCTGGTCATTCTGGACACGGATGTCCGGCAGGCACTGGCCTGTGTAGTTGGGTCTTAGAAAGTCATAGTTGTAGCAGTCAGGGAAGTTATAGAAGCCCCAGAGGCCATGAGGCCGCAGTGCCTGCCCCAGCTTGAGAGTTCCCTCCATCCATGCCCGTGCAGCTCCCTGGAACTCGTCCTGGGCTGCTGCATCCACCCGAGGCGCTGGCCAGTGGGGGTGCTGCTCCTGTACCAGTGCCCGTGAGCGCTGCCGATAAATATCCTTGGTGTCCCAGTTGAAGGCCCAGCGTGGGCGCCATGCCTCCCAGTCAATAACTGCCAGCCCTGAGAAGTTGAACTCAGGCATTGCAGCTAGGATGTCCTGGAATGTGTGGGCCAGGTGGACATCCAGACTGGCATTCTGAGGCAGGCCACCAAACACGGGTTCCCCAGTGGATGTGTAGTAGGGGTAGGTGCCGAGCTGGGAACTGTAGAAAATGGTCATGTTAGGGCCACGGAAGGTCTGTCCTGGGTTGGCTACCACATCAAAAACACTGACATCCACATCCACGTTGTGCTTCTGCAGGCACCACTGGGTGTTTGCATTCCATATGGTGATGAAGGGCTGGTTGGGCACCGAAGGGCCCCTGAAGCCTTGGGCCATGCCGAACAAGGTCAGGAGGAAGATGCAGATGGGATGCAGATGGGCTGCCATGACACAGGGATGGTTTAGGGAAACCTGGCCAGAGGAGGCAGATCAGAGAGCTGGCCTTGAACTCTGGCCTCTGCTCAGGGCAGGCAGGTCAAACCCCTTATTCATTAATCCACTCTACTCTGGCATCAGGTTAACACAGATCTGTAAGGCTCAGGAAGGTCAGAGGGCAAAGGAGATGCATTGAGGCACTGCCTCTGGAGGGGTCTCTGCCCTCAGTCTCCCATAGGCCTTGCTCTGGCCAAGGCTTGCCCACTCCCCAAGAGCCACGGAAGTCATGGTATCTGTTCTGAGAAAAGCAGTAGAGAGCTGGGCCCTCCATTCCCAGGCTGATCTAATGTGTATGGTGGGGGGAGGGGAGGAAGGCTTCCTTCTCTTCCCCTGAGAATATTGGCCATTAGAGGAGGGATGGTCAGTGAACAAAGACAGGCTGGCCCAGCCCTCCTGTACACCCGCCACTTGTCCCTGCTGACCTCAGAGCTGAAGGGTCTCATCTTCCGAACTTCCTGACTGCAGGGTGAGGGCCTAGGCAGGCTCAGTAAGATTCAGTTCCTCAACTTTGGCTCCAGCTGCATCAGAGACTCTGAGAGCAAGAAGCTGCAGCTGGAAATTCTGAGCTTTTGTAGGGTCACCCCACCCAGTCTGGGGGCGGGCAGAGGGGCTGGCCCTGGATTGGAGGGCTGAACTAGGGAGCAGTCATCTGTATCCTTAGCAAAGTGCCCTGGGTAGGGGGTGGGGCTAGGCCGGAAGTGGCCCCTCCTGCCCTGTCAGCACTGGGGTGGGGCTTCGGTTTTAATTTGGGCCTTGGGGCAGGGAGCAGTACAGGGGGGCTGTTTGGGTGGTGGGTCTCTTTGTGGTGCTGAAGTATAGGTGCCAGGGAATGGACTTGCCCTGCACACCTTCATCATGACGGTCCTGACCCTTAGGCACTTTTGCTGTTGAAGGCCTGCTCTTCAAAAAAATATGTAACTGTTGGCTTAAAGACAAATGTAATCCAGAGTGGGCATATTAATATATATTGATTATATATATTTTACTTCTGATTAATAAAAGCAAAATTAAAGCACTTTTTGGGCCCTTAGAAGGGTTGGGGGCCATGGCTCTGTGCCTACCAGAGCAGTCACTCCTGCTTGAGGGATCTGTTTCTGAAACGCACTGAAATCAGGGCTGTGGTGTTACCCTTTGGACATATGTTGGGTGAGTGCTTCTGTCTTATGAAGCCCCAGCTAGTGACCATCTGGTCTGCACAACTCCAGTAGTGTATGTGTGTGTGTGCCGCCAAGTACTGAGACTGTGTGACCCTGTGTGTGACCATGACTGTGACTGCGGTTACAAGCACAGGGTACCATGACCACATGCTTGTTCATTCCTCTGTTTTCACTTGTTTGCTGCTCCAGAGCTGGTGATTGAGACCTGTCGGGCCCAGGCTTGCCTGCCAGCGTGGGGTGAGGGACTATCAAGCCTCTGGCCCAGGTGAAAGTCTGAGTCTGAGCCCCCTCCAACCTCCCCAGTGATCACTGGTGCAGTGACACAGCTGGCTACCAGAGGGGCTTGGTTTTCCAGAATGGCTAGGATGGAGAAGCTGGTGGAGCTAAAGGGGAGGGGGCGTCCAGAGTGCTGGGGACTGTGGGCACATCAGCCACAACCTGTTCTAGCCTGAGGTGTAGGCACTGCTCCTGTTCAGGAAGCAGGGTCCCAGAGTGGTGACCTTTAGGCCCAGAGAGCCTGGCACAGCTCCCAAAGGCTGTGGAGACAGAAGACGCCCTTTCCGTGAGGCTCATGCTACCTCCTGGGTCCCTAGACACCGAATGCTGCAATTGGCACATTTAGTCAGCATCCTCTAGCTGGCCTCAGTCCAGGAAGAAGCTCTGGTAGTGGAATAACAGGAAGAAGCTGGGGGTGCCTGAACCCCTCCCCCACCCAGGGTTCTGTCCACAGGCCTGTTACTGCCAGGTTGGGCTGGTTGGATTGGTACAAGTGGGGTGTGTGTGTGCGCCTGGAGTTAGTCCAGCTTCAGGGTCCAGCCCTGCCTGCTTGCTCTGGCTGTGCATGCCTCAGCCCTGAGCCACCTCCCTGGCCGCTCCCTTACCTGCCCCACAGGACAGCTCTTGCTGGGGAAGTGAGGTGATCAGATTTGTACGAAGGGTTCACAGCTAGGTGGGTACAGTTTACAGCTGTGTAGTGTCACCCTTGCAGTGAGCTTCCCCCTCTCCTTCCAAAATTCATGGTAGACTGTTCTTCTTGAAGCAACCTCTCCAGAAGCCTCGTGTCGGGCTGCTCTCCTTACCACTTGGCTGCTACTGAGTTTGTCTCCCCAGTGCCAGTGTTTCCTAAGGCAGGGGCTGAGCTAACACTGACAAGGACAGGCTGAGAGGGGCAGGGACCCACCCAGAGTGACTCCCTTCAGACAGAGCCGGTGAGGCAGGTCAGAGCTGTTCTGACTGCCCCAGGTGCTCGTCTCTCCCCTGGGACAGCTGGGGCTAGCCATGTCCTCTCATCTTTGATGTCCCTGTTCCCAGGTTCAGGATGTTGCATTCTAACCCCATCATACGTCTCTGCGGTGTGTAAGTGACTAGACCTCAGGATTCAGGACCCAGGTACCCAGGGAGGTACCTGCTTACCTCCCTCCCATCATACCCAGTGGAGGATTGTAATCCAGATGGGGGAGGTGTGTGGTGACTGTTCACTGCCCCGCAGAGCAGAAAGGCAAGGAGATCCATCCCTGCTTGTGAGAACAGCAGGGAGGTCTGGCTACTTGCCCAGCCAGGGAAGATCAAACATCCACTTCCCCTTTTCTCCCTGGGCTGGGCAAGGCGAGGCCTCTTGTACGGATCCAGCTGGGGATACAGGGCCAAGCAAAAGCCCAATGAATTCTGTCTCTCACACAAGGTTGGGGCCAAGTCCTTTCTGGTCAATGTGGAGAACACAAGATCCTTGGTGTTGGGATAGAATGTGAGTCCCTCCACTCCCAGTGGCCCCTGCCCCAGAAGAATAACTGCAGAGAAGGGTATTCCTGGGCCCCCAGGCCCCAGTGAACACATTTTACAATGAGATGTTCCTGGCAAGCATCTCGGTGGACAAGATTTGCACTAAAGCCTCATGGAAGACCACAGAGTCTTTCTCATACACCCTGGCCTTCATGTACACAGTCCAAGCACAGAAGCAGCTGTTTTATATTTAATTTACAAAAGAAATTCCAAGAAGATGATGATGATGATAATAATAATTAAACTATCCAGGGGCAGGGGAGTAGGGTCAGATCCTCCCTGGTCCAGCTGTGCCCCTCGTACTCTCTCCAGGGAGAGAAGGGGCTTCCCAGGGGACTGCCCCTCCCCCTTAGAACAGGGGGATGAGAGCTGATATGGACACCCTGCTGGGTATCCCAGGGGCTCTGCCCCTTCCCGGCTCCAGTTTGTCCACCCCTTGTAGGCTCTGACATGCCTGACAGAGCCCTTGTAGCAGAGGCCAGCTTGCATGGCAGCCAGGAGAGACCCCTACAGAGTTCAGGTGAGAACCAGGGCTGCCAGAGCTAGTAGGCTGATGAGGTGGGACGCAGGCCAGGCCCCACTGGCATCCCCAGCTGCTCTTCTGAGGTCCCATTGGCACTGTTCGCCACCCCAGCCTAAGTAACACTGGCAGCGAAAGTGTGTTTGCAGGTAGTTGCGGTCTGCCCGGCTGAGCTCCCCCTCTGGATGTAGCTGGGGTTCACCAGATACTTGACCAGGCACTAGGCGGAAACTACTGGCACTGAGGTGCAGGAAGGTATCGGTGCTGGGATCTCGGCGCACACAGCGTCCATGGCCATGGCACTGGGTCCAGCTGCAATACTGGGCAGCCCAGGACACGTTGACAACATAGGGGGCCAGCAGTCGACTCAGATAATCCTTGAGGTACTGGCAGGTCTCCTGGGGGCAAAGATCAGGGTTCAGGGTCAGTCGCCTCAGCCCACAGGCTGAAATGGAAATTCTGTGTGCAGGGAACACATGCCTAAGCCCTTACTGTTGCTACTTCCGCAGAAGGGAATGGGGGCAGAGACATTGCTCAGCAGGGCAGGAGGGGAAGGGTGCAACTTAACAGCTGCTCAGGATTGCATGTCCCCTTTTCTGGGAGCAGGGAAGAGATCTCTTGTTTTCTCTATTGGGACAGAGGGATGCCTTGGGTGAGAGACAGACAAGGGGGGCAGACTATGTTTGCCCACTTTGAGGTTGGTAGCCAAAAACCCAACTCTTTGTCCCTTTACTCGGTTCCAGTGGGCTTGATGGGTGTGACTTACATTGCTGGTGGTGTACGCTGCATCACCCCAAAGAATGACACCGGCTGCTCCCAGGGCTGCACTCTCGCCAATGGTGGAGATGAGATCCATCTGTGGGAAGGGGATGGTCACTGGGGAAGACTGAGACCGCAGGGCTCGAGGGACAAACAAGCCAGCCCGCCGACTTGGTGACCAATATCTCAGTCCTCCCACCGCCTTTTTTTTCTTACATTTTATTTATTTTTTAAAGATTTATTCTATTTATTTATGCATACCAGAGCTGGGTAGGTATAGGCTAGAGGTGTGGGGGGCGGGTGGTGGTAAGAGGATTCACCAGAGACAGAGTGGGGAACAGAACAGGCAGACTGACAGAAGTACACTGCTGAGGGGAGCAGCGGGTGAGTCAGGAGAGGTCTGCTGCGCCATGTGGGTCAGCTCCTTGGTCGGTCAGGGACTGAACTCATGACTATGGATAACTTCATAGTGCTGTGACTTAACCCCTTGTGCCACCAGGGAGGCCATTTTTCCCCCCCACATTTTTTATATTTTTCCATTCTAAAAGGACAGGTTTATTAGGAAAAGGAGAAAAAGAGAAGCACTGGCATAGTCACAGGCAGCAGATCTGCCAGTCCTCCCCTTTTGCCCCCAGACAAAGGCTCTGTTTCATTTTCTCCTAAAAGTTTAAGCCATTTCCATCTACACTTTGCATCCGTTTCCCAAGCCAAGGATCCACTTGAGCCTAGGTCATAACTATCAGGATGAACTTCAAAGTCAGAACGCCTATGTCCAAATCCTGGATGTGCTGGGAAGCTTTTGGAACATTTGTCAGCATCTCTGGGCCTCAGTTTTCCTATCTGCAAAGTGGGGATAATGGTGCCACCCTTCCATGAGGCTACAGAGAGAATAAGGTGAGGGGATTTATAGTAGCCAGTACCATAGGGTAGGAGGTTCCCAGCAACTGAGGAAGAAAGCAGAAGGTCATGGGAGGCACATACCTCACTGAGCCCCGTGAGCTTGCGGCTGTAGGTGGGTCTCGTGAAGACGTAGACCGGCAATGCATGGTTCTTGTGGTGGGTGTTAGCCACACGAAGAGCCTCTTGAACACGGAAGCTGACAAAATTGCGGCCATGGGCAGAGGAAGCGAGTGTCTCCTCCAGGTAGACAGAGGGGAAGAGGGCTGTGCTCTCAGCCCACAGCCAGGCCAGCTGGTCGTTTCGGGAAACCTCAACATCAGGGCAGCGGCCTGTGTAGCTCTCCCAGTTCTGCACATAATCATGGTTGTAACAGTCTGGGAAGAGGTAGAAGCCCCAGAGGTGCCGAGGTCGCACTGCCTTGACAAAGCGCAGTGTCTCCAGCATAAACTGCCGGGCAGCAAACTCAAACTCGTATTGTGCTTCCTTGACTACGCGGTCTGATGGCCAGTCAGGGTGTCGACTGGCCACCAACTGGCGTGATAACCGACGGTACACATCTTTGTCCTGCCAGTTGCGCACCCACACAGGCCGCCAGTCTTCCCAGTCGATGACTGCCAGCCCTGTAGACTCCTGCGAACGAATGTAGTGCTCCACATGTTCCTGCAGCATCTTCAGGTGTGCCCAGTGGCTGCCATTCTGTGGCACACCACCATGCACAGACTTCCCGGCCGAATCAATGCGTGGATACAGGCCCAGCCGGTCGCGGTAGAAGATGGTGATATTCTGGTTCACAAAACCCTCATTAGGTGAGGCCTGCACATCAAAGGCTTTTAGGTCCTTTTGGTCCAGTGGTACTTTGAGGCGTGGGCCACAGTCCTGTGTGGGCACGTCCCAAGCTACCACAAAGGGCCGGCCCGTGAAAATGGGTGGTGCTGTGGGCTTGAGCTCTGAGGCCCATGCCACCGCCAACACCAGGGCCAATGTGACGGTGGGGCCCAGGCCTGCCCACATGCTGGGGGCCGCAGGAAGACAGTGTCACCTGCTTGACACCAGCTCAGGAACTGGGGGAAGGATGGGAGAGAGCAAGTCAGTCTGGAGAATCCTGGAGGTGACAACTGCAAACCCATCCACACTCCCAAAGGCCATGCTCCATGGCTCACTGTGCTCAGGGCTGTTCTGATCCTGTTACGCAGTTGTAACTGTTTTGAGACTATAGGACATGGAGGGGCAGGCAAGATGCCCTGGGGACTCACTGCCAGGAACATAGGGATCCTTCTTGGGGCAGGTGGCCTATGACCGGGCAGGGACTTCGGTTAGGTCTGTGATCCCTCTGAGAATTGGACAAACTGGGCCATGGACTCACTGCCCAGAGACAGATGCATGCCTGCTTATGGCCCAATACAGGATTTGAGAGTCCTAAACCCTAGACCCATTCTGCACCCCGTGAAGAACTCAAGGTCCAAGGAAAGGACAGCATTTGTGTAAGGCAGGGCACAGCTAGCCCACGCAGAGGCCAGCAAGCTGAAAGCTGAGGAGCTGGTATACGTGTGGTGTCCGCCCAGAAGAGCGAGGCTGTCAGCACTTTGTCTCTGTCTCGAGCTCACCAAGCACTTTCCCAAGCTTGGTGGAGGCCCTGTGGGGACAAAGGGGCAGCAGGATATCCCCTGGCGGCGCCCGCAGACCGCCCTTCCCTTCCCAGCCACCGGGAATAAGCGCGCGTGCCCGCCCCGCCGGCCGGCAGGTCCGGGGCAAAGCGCACTCCGCTTGGCCTTTGTGCGGGACCCCGCCCCCGCCCCGCACGTGGGGCCAGAGTCTGGCCGGCTGGGGGTAGGGTCTCTGGGCCACTTCTCAGGGAGCACCCGCCGGGGTGCAGCACCCAGCCCGCCGGGACAGAGCCGCCGGGCTTGCACCGCCCGCCCTCACCTCGCTCGGGGCGCCGCCGGGACCCGCGCCATGGCCACCGCCATCCCCGGCCAGCCCGCTCCGGCCGATCTCTCCGGCCCGGCCCCGGCTCGGCGCCTCTCTGGCTCCGCCCCCCGCCCCTCCGGCCCTTTAAGAATCCAGCGCGGAGGTGGGCACAGGCGGGCTGGCGGCCGGGGCGGGAAGGGGTGCCCTGCTTTTGAGCCGTTGGTGGAGTGTTGCCGGCTCCGAGGCCCCCAGATCCTCCGCCAAGGGGCATGGCCACCCACTCGGGACCTGGAGGCCCCTCCGAACGGGGCGCTCTTCCGGAGTCTCAGCCGCGAGCGTCATCAGCCTAAGGGGTCACCCCCGCGCAGCCCGCCTCCAGTGGTACAGTCCGCTCCGCTCCGCGCGGCGGCCAGCCCCTTAAAGGGACAGCAGAAGGGCCGGGAAGGGGGATAAAGGAGGTAGGAGGTTCCCCGGCCCTGCCGAAGGGAGTTGCTGTGGGAGCTCCGCGGCCCCCCCAAGGCCTTGGTCAGGACAGCAGCTCAGGTGGCTCCGCTCCCTGAGCGTTGACCCTAGTCCTGGGGCCTTTCGGTGGTGGAAAGAGGAACGGTGACCAGAGCCGCTCCACCGCTCCCGGGACACTTAATTCCTCACCCGCTACAGATCGGGGCTCCCCTCCCCCCGCCCCCGAGACGGGAGGTCCCGCCCCTTGCCAGACTCGGGGAGGGGGCTAAGCACCCGCCTCCAATCCTCCCAGGGCGGGGTCCAGGCGGTGGTTGCCCTGGCAACAGGCGCTTTGGGGCACAGCATGGCCTGCGGGGGTGGGGGGCCAATAAGCTCTCTGAGGCCTGGGGGTAGGACTCCGCCCGGGTCTTCGACCTGCATCTGGGACAGGCCCATCCTGTCTCTTCCTGAACCGTCTCTGGGAGGTCTGTGGGAAACCCCCGCGCCCCCCCCACCCCCGCTCCCCGCTTTCTTTCAGCACTGAGAAAGCTGCCACCCTTGCATAAATTCCTACCCCGACCACAGAGAAAGTTGGCATGGCCTGAGGGGCTCCTCCGGGTCTCCTAAATCACTTGGCCCGCAAGCCCCTCTCGCCTGGGAACAACTTGGAGCTGGAGCCGGGCGAAACCCAGGCTCCTTTCTAGATTGCTCCTTCATATGGGGCTCAGCGCCCTAAAGGGCTCCGGTCTGCACTGTCTGCCCATTCCCAGCCCGCATACCTGGGAGAAGAGAAGGGGCGCTGCAGTGAGCGCATTTAGGGTGGTACAGACTAGTAGTCTGCGCTCACCTGTGAGGGGGGTCCGTTGGCTCAGTAAGTCGACTTCCCTCCTTCCTGGGAAGAGAGACTCTTCAGCCAAGCTATTTGCACCAGCTGCTGCCCGTGGGCAGCCCTTGATAAAACCCATCCCCTCCCACCCGACCCGCCTCCCACCCCAGCCCTTTCTCCTCACTTCCTGCTGCCCCTCTGAGCGGAAAGGGCCAGAACGGGAGGGAGGGAGGGGGCTGCTTGACCGTTTCCCTCCAGCGTGCCTTGCTGACTGCCCTCCCCACCCTTCCCCAATAGATTGTGGCCTGGGGGAACTGTGCCAAGTGACAGGAAGTCTCTGGAACACAGCTCGGGTGCCAGCCTCCTCACACATGTAGCTTCCATAACACCTTAGGGTTCTTTAGCTCTTCTCAACAACCTTCCCTTCCCCAGGATGTGAGTGGATGGGCCCCATGGTGGTGCTTTGGGGAGCTACTGGAGAGGGTATTCTAGTACCCCCCAAAGCTGGTGGTAAAAAGGGATGCGTTCTGGGGTGGGGGTGGGGGGTTAGGGGAACTTCCAGGAAGGAACCCAGTTGATTTTTTTTTCCCACTGAGCATGGAAGTGTCCCATGTGTGACACAGTGGATAAAGTGTTAATGCGTGTGATAGTATGGGAACAGTATGAGGGGAAGGGCAGGGATGGGAGAGTTCTGCAGGGTGTTAGTGCTAGTGCTAGTTCTGCTAGTGGACACTCCTGGGTGGATTTCACTGATTTACTGCAGAACAGGGGGGGTTCTTACAACATGGGTGAGGAAGGGGGTGATCATCATTTGGCTGGCCCCAGGGAGAACTGCAGTATGATCTCAGCATGCCCATCCAGAGGTGTAGACAAACCTGTACACCCTCAATCTGAGCCTATCCCCAACACCCCACTGATCTCACTTCTGGGGGCCCAGAACCTTTAACAAAAGGTTGTATTATTGGCGAACTAGCAGAGATTGGTACATACCCGAGTCTGCCCCTGAGGACCATGGAGTTTAGGACTTGGGAAGGAGGTGTTGTCACTGTACCACTGTGCTGGCTCCAACAGGGACAGGCTTAGGAAGTGCCAAGGGGGGGGGGGGGGGAAACAAAGGCCAGGCCAGATCATCCCAGGGCAGGGAACTTCCTCAGGCAACCAGCAGGAAGTGAAAACAGCCCAGTGGGAGGGAGTGGGGAAGTACTGCTATGACCCTCATTGTTTTCAGCTTTCAGGTCAGCCAGGCAGGCCCAGCACAGGGAGTTCCCCATATTGGGACAATGGTGATGGGAGATGGGATGCCATTTGGCATGGGCAAACGCTGGCCTTGCGATAGCCAGTAGTGGGGGGAGTGGAGGATGACAGGGCCTTATGCATGGCATTTTATCATGAAAACAGGATGATCTATCAAAATCAACAAAAAACTATGAACCAGAGACACTTTTTGGGGGGTGGGGGGCAGGAGGGGAAGGATTGGGGTCAGAATGGGGGGGTTGCAATTGTATGGGGAATATAAAAATAAAATTTATTATTTAAAAAAAAAAAAGAAAATAGGATGATCTAAACTTAGCAGAAAACCAGCCTCATAGCCACAGAAGAACTGCAAGTTTAAACTGCAAAGGGTGATCCTGCTCTGGCCTTGACAAATTGAAGCCTCCAAAGGACTGGCAGGGCAACTTCTCAAACCCAGAAGCCTCTGTCCCTCTTCCCTAACTGGGAGTCGGGCTGATGGCCAAGAGCTAAGCTTAGCAGAGAACCTGCCTCATAGCAAGATCAAAAGTGTAGGCTGAATGGCCACTGGAGGGGGTGCGGGCAGGGTGGGAGAATGCAGGTGAGAAGACAGCAGCAGGGAACAGAATAAGGATTACACAGCTGAGCTCTGCCTGCTAAAACAGAAGCCCCAAGTCTGCTCTACTGGTGGTGGTCTCAGGCAGATCTGGGGGGCAGGTGGGCTTGGGGTGCTGAGTCTGGCAGTAAGCCAAGGACATGGTGGCACCCATGTGTCTGCTGTCCACCTAAAGCAGGGCCTTGGAGGTCCATGAGGCTCATGCTGTGACAATGTAGGGTCAGCTGGCACTGCTGGAGGCCTATCTGAGGCCACATTTTCACCTCAGTTCAGACAGGTGGGGCCCTAGTGAATCACCTGAAGTCCTTCCAATTCCAGCTGTCACCACCTATATTGTACACAACAGACAAGCGAGTGGCCCCCATCTGAGGGGCTCTGCTGTGAGGTCTGTGTGAATATACTGCCACCTGCTGGTCATGGCTGGGAAGGTCACAGGCTGGGCTCAGGCTTACTCTGGCTGGTCCTTGCTGGAGATGGGAGGCACCAGAGTTCTGGACCCAGGTCTACCTAGTGAGCACAGGTAGTCTAGACACCAGGTGTCACAGCCCCAGAAGGTACCACTCTTACATGCAGGGTCTACAAATAATTTTATTGAAACTGAACAAATAATACAACAGCCTTTCTAGAATAGGGGCCACCCTCCCCAAGCCATTCCCACACTCTTGAAGCATAGAGCTTGCACAGTAAGGAATTTTAAAGTCATTTCTATGGAGAAATCAGACTCTGCCCCAACATCATAGACTAGACTACTTACAGACTTTCACATTTTAGCATTCCTTTTATGGTTGCTCTTGCCTTTCTGTCCCTACCCAGGGGCTCCAGTACTTTCCCTTGACTGATTCTGAAGGGGTGAGGATACTATAGGGGAAGGGGCATTGGGCTCCTCAGTTATTGGCACCAGCCCTAGGATGCTGTCCCTAACTGTAGGATGGCCGATGGTCTCTCGTGGCGGTGGGGGCGCTAATGCAAAGGCAAGGGAGATTAGAGTAGGCAGGCGGGAGCAATTCCCCATAGGCACAGGCATCCACAGCCCTTCTTGATCCTGTCCTATGCCCTCTCACTTGGCGCAGGGGGTGAGGGGTGGGTGCAACAAGAAGTTGCAGTATCAGAACAGCCCAGGTTGGAGAGAGAAGTCTCTGACACCAATCCCTACTCCTGTTAATAGCCAGTAAACTGTCCATCCATCTGGGGTGGGAGCAGATGGGCAGGTAGGCAGGTAGAATCAGGCTTGTGCTGCCCCCAGTCTCTGTCCAACACAGAAGGAATCGAGGTAGCAAACGGCTGAAATGCTCTGACAGGGGGGTAAGGGAAATGAGGGAAAGGAAGTTCCCACTTGATTACAACTCCCACAGCCCAGGGGCTGGAAGAAGGCAGACCTTGCTTGTAAAGTGCTGTAGCCCCTAGCAGGGCTGGGCCGTAGGCAAGTTTGGAAGAAAGCAGGCCAGAAGTGGGCCCAGGAACCAGGCAGTCCTGACCAGTATATGCCCTGCATGCTCCTTTTAAGGATTGCTGGAGAAGGTGAGTTGGTAACTCCGCCATTAGCTCTCGCCAGCTACCAGCCACCTCTTGTCCACATACAAACCAATACCCAACCAACATTGCAGGACTGTCCTGCTCACAGCTGAAGGTTCCAGGCCAATGTAGTTTATTCAGGGTTGTGGCCCCAGCCTAGGTTCCTCAATGGAAGCCACACCTTGAGCCTGGGGGGTTTCTTGTTGGGGCCAGGGGTGCTTATGCCTGTCACCCTTCAGGCTCACACCTCATAGAGGATCACAGGGAAATCCACGTGGATGCGGGGGGGATCCAACTTCACGATGCCCTGCCATGGAAACAGAGGCTAATGAGGGTCAGCTCAGGGCCCCTGCTCCAGGAAGAAGCCTTTCTGTTCCTCCCAGTTCCACCCTCAAGACCCCCCACCCTGACAATAGACTCCATCTGGGTCTACCTCCACACATTGCCCAGCCCCTCACCTGAGGAATCAAGTTCTTATGCACCCGCCTCAGCTTGGCCCGCTTCTGCCCGTTCTTGGTGACGATTGTCTCCTCATAGAACTCGTGAGCCAGATCCCCATCCTCGTCATAGAACATGGAGCTGTGTAAAGGGAGAGGGGAACAGGCTGGGCTGGAACCCCACACCTGGTCATGGCAAATGCCACAGACCATATGAAGTATGGTCACCCCTAAATGGGGAGGAACAACCTTGCTGGAAGGAAAAGAAGATGATATGCCTGAAAAGTTCCTTGTTAGGATCTGGGATGTACTAGAAGAAAGTGGGGAGTGGACTGGTGGCCAGTGCTGCTCTGTCAAACCCGAAGTAGAGAGTTCACATCAGAGCACACTCATCACTGGTTTGTCCGGCAAGAGTAACCACTCCAATATTAAACCCTTCACCCAGGACTTCTAGAGTGGGCACAATGGTGGCCTGGACACGTCCGTCTCACTTCAGAAGACACTGCTGGTACAGGACCAATGCCGATGAGAGCTAGGAAGGAGCCTAAGGGAGAAAGGCTGCATCCTTCCTACCCACTCCTAGGAGGCTGGTGCAGCCAAAATGCCACTGCTGGGTCTCCCTGGTATCTACAGCTAAATCTCCAGCATCACCTTAGTGCCAGTCCCCAAGGGCCCACCAGGGCCAGGCCAATGTAGTGCTCCTGTCTGGGGCTCTAGGGGAGGAGGAGGAAGACAGCACTCTAGACCTCAAGAACATACCTGTCTGAGGGTCTTCTGCCTCAGGTCCCACCCCTTCTTTCCTGGCCATTACTCTCACAAGTCCAACCCCACCACAGTGAGAAATGGCAAAAGCCAAATCAGATCATTCCCCCTAGGAAGAACTGGGGGAGAGACTAGGTGCCTTCAACTTGCAGGCTGGGATGAAAAGAAGAGGTCCTGAAGGCCCAGGGAAGTCCTGTCTTAGCTTTCTGTGAGAAGAGCCTGCCCAGAGACAAACCTCTTCCCATAGGGCCACCGACAGAGCAGGCAGGCCACTAGGAGCCGACAGCACGGCGTTCCCCACCACCTGTTCCTACAGGGCCCCAAAATATGAATCATCCCGGTAGGTACAGCGGCGGGAGTTCCCCATGGCTCGGGGCGCCCGGCCGCCCGCCTGGCCTCCCCCAGGCGGAACCCACGCCCTTACCCGCGGCGCGTGAACACGAAGGGGGGCACGACTCGGCCTCGAGGCCGCACCAAAGCTTGCTCCGAGACCGCCGCCTCCGGGCCGCCGCCCCCCGCCGCCGAGGCGAAGGGCCACAGGCCCCGCGCTTTGGAGCCGCTGGCGCCCATGTCAGGGCCGCCGGCGCATGGCGGGCCCCGCGGCCGAGGAGCTCTCACAGGGCCGTGGGCGCCGCCATACCCCACCTCGGCCTCCGCTCGCAGGTGCTGCCGCCGCCGCCACCTTCCGCAGGCTCCGCTGTCTCCACGGAAACCTCACTTCCGCTTCCGCACGCTGCCGCGTCTGAGTGGCTGCTTTCCTCGTCGGTCGGCTGGACCGGGCCAACAGCCGGCCTCAGACGCCAGGCCTCCCAGCATGCACTGCGGGACGTCCGGTCCCAGCAGGCCACGCTCCCCCCAGCTGAGCAGCTCCCCTCCCGGTAGCGGGAGCTGTTTCTTCTTGATTTCTTCCAGGTTTGTGGGAGGGCCCGACGTCCCCAATCACCAGAATTCAGGTCCGTCAGGACCTCCCGACCACCAGATTTCCCCAAACCGGCACTTCAGGGTCTGACCCCAGGCTTTGCTGCGGAGTTGCCGTCTGGATTCATTCTAGTTCCACATCGATCTTATCACCACCGTCCTATGTGGATGAAAACCCGAACCTAAGGCTAATTAAGGAATTTGCTGTGTGTCGCATAGCCACGCTCAGGTGTGAAGAACTTCATATTCATTTTTTACAAAGCCACCAGAATGCATCCGTCATGAAGGCAAGTAACAGCTGCGCCCTAGGTGCCGCGAAGTGTCTAGTACTTAGTAGTAGCTCATGGGGGGTGCTGGCGGGGGTGGGGGGGTTGGGATGTGTGTGTGTGTGTGTGTGTGTCCCTAAACTCTGGCCGTACCTGCAATCTTTGCCTCCAATGTACACTGAGCCCCAGGGTGCTGAATGACGGAACACGTCATCCTTACTCCTTGGCCTTAATCCCATGTTGACCTTGTAAATGTGCTGTGACTCTGCCCATCACCCTTAGCAGCCCCTGGTATGAGTGGCAACTATGAGTGGCCCCTGGTATGAGTGGCTGAGGGTCCATAATAAAACATTCCAAAAACAGGCTTTTTAAATCTTTATTCAGCCAATTCTCTCAGGCCCTAATGATGACTGTAACCCCCACCCCTCTCCCCACAGGAGGCATTCAGCTGAGGCCACAAAATATTACATACATTCACACACATTATGAAAAATACTTGAAGGATAGACCCTGGTTTTGATTGGCAAGAAAGGCACAGACCTGGGTCAGTGCCCACACTCACAAATCCTGACCCAGGGACATTTTCCTCGAAGGAGGCACTGAGGCACTGTTGCTGCACCATGAACCAGCACTCTCAGATCCCAGGATGTGTGAGGAGTCAGAGGGCACTGCAGAGGGAAACCTAGATTCTTCCTAGATGCCTATCTGATTTTTAACACCCACCCCTGGCATTGATAGGGCTGTTCTGACACCCTAAGACCCAAAACATACAACCTTTCTCCATAAATGACGGCCCTCATCCCTGTAAACAACCCTATTCTGTTGCTGGGCCTCCAAGATTCTCGCATCTGAGACAAATTATGCAGACTTCGGTATTCTCTACCCTTGCTGCCTGGAGCAGCTATCCAGGGCAACCCTGGCCACCAAGACATGAAGGGCAAAAGGGTGCACAGCCATGCTCTGCTATACCCACTGGTGACACAGGGGGCCAGATTCTTCACTGTTCTCTGGGCTCGTTCCCCCAGCAACAGAGGGCCTCCACGCACACTCATTCTTCAGGCCACACGGGCCCTGTCACATTCACTCGGCATGCCCTAGGCGCTGCCTACTCTCCTTCCACCCAGGGGTACAAGAGGTCACCCCAGGGGGCAGGCATGAAGAGCCTCCTGGATCTTCTGGCGGCAAAAGGAGTATTTCTGCAGGATCTGGCGGAGGTGCTCCTCCTCTTCCCGTTGCAGGATACGCAGGAAGTTGTGTAGTTCGGGAACGCTGAAGGCATCCCACTGCAGTGGGGGACAGGACACAGGCTGTAGCAGACACGGCAAAGCCCACAGGCCCTCCCCAGAAAAGTTTCATGGTCATCGAACTAGGACAGGGTCTTCTGAGGTCAGGTTCTTGCTGAATGATCTGTGCTAGGATTCCCAACAACAGATCAAATAAAAATGGACCGCACAAAGTAGGGCATCATCTTTTGGAAAGGCAACCAAACCAGATGTTTTCCAGTTCCCTGTGAAAATGCCTACTCTTGAGTGGTAATCCCACCCCATACATTCAATTACTTGAAGCCAGGAAGCTTCCAAATAAAAAGTCCTAATGCTGAAGGTTGAGCGTCTATGACATCCTGGACCCCATCTGTGTGGTTTTGATCTAATCTGGGATCACCATGCTATCAGATGGACTTTTGTAAATCCTGATGATTCTCCAGACTAAGAGAGCAAAGCACCAAGACAGTTATTCCTGAGCTTCTTGGGACAGGCCCTAGACCTTGGCACAAATGGCCCAGAAACCTTTATTTTAGCTATGGAGCTCACACAGTCCTAGAGAGGCATTGTAAGGTTTATCCTCCAGCCCTATTCCTCCTCCAAACCTTACTGTAGCTGCAACCCACCAGCAACCCACTGCCCAGTGACAACCAAGAAACTAAGGAGGGCCATGTACTCACATTCACCTCCCCGGAGTCATTCTCCTTTAGGATGAAGCTTAGGGCCTTCTCACTGGGCCCTGCGAGGAGCCGAAGCCGCAGGGGTTGCTCATCATCTGACAGCTTCCGGAGGTACACTGAGGGCCAGATAGGAGGAAAGCAGTGTTTTAATAAGAGTCAGGGCCAGTTCCCTCAGCCCCAGCACGCATAGATGCATGCATATATAGTCTCCTACACAGTGGGCTAAATGGGAAGCCCACCTTGACCATGGCGCTCAGCCCGCTCAAAGAGGGCGAACTTCCGGGGGTCATCCACCACCAAAAACTTTCGCAGTAGGGCCTCAATGACCTCGCGTGCCCGGGTGCGTGACAGCACATGCAGGTGTTTGACAGCATCCTTGGGCAGGTAGAAGGAGGTGCGACGCCTCACAACTGTGCCACGCCCTGGACCACGCCGGGCATCCTGTAAGGAGGGTGGCTTCTTGCTGGCAGGCACTGAAACGGGGCGTACCAGCTTCAGCTGAACCTTGATAAAACCTGTGTAGGAGCCATCCTTGTTCTGAAGAGAAAGAGAGGTTGAATTATGACCAGGTTCTAGATGAGCTGGAACAGATTAGGGGACCACCAGTCCAGGTGGGGGTCTGGGTGTGAAATCACTGTCTAGCCCCAAATACCTGGTCCTTTGGACATCAAGCATACAGCTGGGTTCCTGCCCTCCCCAGGCTGTTGACTCACCAGGCTCATGAAGAGGTTGCTATTGATTTGGTCATTGTACTCTTTGATCTTCTGCTCAATCTCAGCCTGAGAAAGGTCAGCTGTCTCCCACGCCACGGACTCATCCTGAAAGATGCACCAGAATGGGCATAGGGGCCGTAAGGAATCCATCCCACTGCAAAGCACTTCACAGGCAGGGAGATGAGCTCTTAGTGGACCATTCTGAAAAATGGCCTCTGGCTAGCCTTTGGCAATTGATAACAAAGCCCTAGGCTTGATGTGAAAAATCCATCGCTGGCTAGGTTCAGGTGACTATAGGTAGAGACAGCAAAGGCAGAACCATTTGGCTTCTTTCTGCTACCTGCCTGGGGCCTTCTTAGCACTAAGAGTGGCCACAAGGATACTTCAAAACTAAGGCAAATGACAGTATAAGACAAGGGGCCAGGAAAAGATAAGGGCCTCTGGGACTTTTTGTTTATAGTAAAGCCACTTCTCAACTGTACAATCTGATTCCATCACTGTAGCTGGGTAGGGTCAGGATGTGTGCTGGAGAAGGCAGATCATTTTGCTACTATGCGCCAGCAGAGCCATGACCTATTGCAGGGTGGGAGCTGTGGGGTCTTCTCTGGGGGCAGGCGGGGAAAGGCAAGCTCTACAATGTTAACACCCCTTTGTGGGAACTTGGGGCCAACCATACATGTCTCAGACATAGCAGAAAACCAATGTAACATGCCATTTAATCTGCACAAAAGGCAGCTTCAGGTCAAGCTGCAATCTGTCAGAGAGGCAACCACCCAGTAGTTTGTCCCACAAGTGCCAAGCAAATGGGCTTCTGCACTGCATCCCTACTATCTAGAGGTTTAGCCTGAAGATTTTAGCTCCACCATTCTGTCCCTCCTCCACTGCCCCAAGGACTGGATTCTTGCCAGAAGGGTGGAGTCTGAACCAGGGTAGCCAGGGCTCTGAATTAACTTTCTTCTACCAAACTCCCTTGGCCCCATTGCATCAGTCTTACTTCCTGTTGACCCCAGATTGGTCCTACTTGGAAGTGTCTCAGACAGATGAGATCACTGCTGACCAATGCCTTGTCCCAGGGGACTTCCCACCAGAAGGTGCCCTGCAGAATAATCTCGTACCCAGGACAGAAATTCTTTTCTCTGACAGCTGCCTTGGAGCCCTCTAAGCTTAAACCACCTTACAGGGATGAATGGAGGGGATGAGAGGAGGTAGGGTAGAATCCATAGCCTTTTACCAGTCTGCTCTTCACCTGCAACTGTTGCTGTTTAGCAGCCAGTAATACTAGGAGCTGAGGACAGAGGCTGGGGTCTCATTGGAAAAGGGGTTGGGAACTGCAGCCTATTTGCTTTTCCAAGTTTCCAAAGGTGTCCTGGATGGAGAACACTAAGACTCTAGTAGAAACCTTGTTGGGGATAGTGAGAAACCCTATGTAAAGGCAGAACAAATGGTGTGGGTGGGTGTGTGAGTAAAATGAGAGCTAGAGGCTGAGAATAAAGGGTGGATGTGTTTGTTCAGGCCCAAGGAGCAGACTGGGGGCAGGAAGGAATGCTCCAAATGGGCAGTAGTACCAGGATGGGAGGGGTGATAGGGGCAGGAGAAAAGCTGAATCCACACTAATGTCAGGGCATGAAGGAAGAGAATTCCAATTACAAAGCAGGCTGGGCATAGGGATGGCACTAACTTATTCCCAGCTCTGAGCTCCAGGAGTCTGGGATTGAGAAATCTTCTTTCTTCCTGGGTTACCCAGGAACCCTAGACTGGGATGCTCATTCCCTTCTACACATGAACCTTCTTCTGCACATGAACATTCTTCAGTATTTCACTCATAAAACAATGGACTTGGATTGGAGGCACTGCACTGTCCTGCCAGGACTCAAGAGGAGGCTTTTTTTTTTTTTTCTTTCCCATTTTCAAAGCTGTCTGCTGTAGAATTCCAAAAGCTATCCCAAAGGGGTGCATAGTAGGACCACAGAATTCCCCTTCTGCACCACAGTGACTCACCCTCCACTCTGCCACTGTTCATAGTGACTGGTGGTTTTACTTCACACACAATTTGTGACTCCTAGCCTCCTTTTCAATTGGTTAATGTCTGTAGTTTCCTCACCTTTCCACAATGGAAAACAGTTCAGGCCTGATTGACAGAGTCAGTGCCAAGAAGCCACATTCAAACCTTACACCCAAGGTCTGGTTGAGCTTTTGAGGTAAGAATTTTTACCTAAAGAATCATCCACAACTCCCTTTCTTGCCTTACGTAAGGAATTCTGCCCCAGTGCTGCAAGGTATACGGAGAGGTCCCATGTCTTTTCTGACACCCTCCTGAGGTGTACTAGTCCCCAAAACAGTTGTATTCGCCTGGCAGTTAACACTCATGGCACACAGCACAGAGGTCCCTGACAATGAGGACACCTAGGAGACTCAAGAGGTAAAGCTGCCCCAGTACCACACCTTACAATTTTGGATTAGTAACTCTATCTCCCTTGAACTCTTTCAGGTTATTTTATAACCCAACCTTCTCAACTTTTGTTGGTCAAGTGCTCTTGGATGCTTATAAAACAAACTTTCCATCCCATCCATTCCCAAATCCCCTTTCTCCAGGTCCACTCCTGAGTGGGGATCAAAATCTTGCACGTTTCATCAGCTGCTAACAGCCCAGGGCTGGTGAGAGACGCGGGGAAGGGGGGTTCAGCAGGCTCCAACCGCAGGGCACACTGCAAGGGCGTGGACCTTCCCTCGCCTCCCTCCAAAGCACACTTCTCAATTCCCGGCGCGGCTCCTCCCCCTCCACTTCCTCTCCCGGTCCCCCGACGGAGGGGGCGGCAGCGTCCTTACGCGGACATCGAGGTGCTGGCCCAGACCACGCAGTTGGCTTTAGTCACTGATCTCCACCTCCCCGGTCTACCCCAAGCCACGGAGCTGCTTCCCCTGTCCTACCGGTCTGTGACAGACAGCAAGGAGGCCTCGGCACTCGACACCGGGGCGCTGAGAGCCGGACACACGGTTCCGCGGGCTGGCCCCGGGCCGGGCCGGGCTTCACGCCGACAGGAGGGCGGGCGTGCCCTGAAGCTGCGGCCGGGGCAGCTTACGGAGGAGGGGGGGCCCCGACGACCACCCTCCGCCCGCCGCCCGCGGCCCCCACCTGGTCCCGGCGCGGCTTGCGCGCCAGCGAGGTGCGCGCCGTGAAGTACTGCTCGAGCTCGGAGTCCGAGTCCTCCTGGCTGCAGTAGCCACTGCTCGTCGTGCTGCTCCAGGTCATCTCGAAAGAAGGCGTCCCAGCGTCCGCCTCGCCCATCCCCGCGCCGCCCGCCAGCTCCCCCGTCCCCGGCGTCCGCAGCCTTCAACCGCCGCCCCGAGCGCGTATGCGCGTGCGTGTCAGCGTGCGCGTGCGCCAGGGCCGCGTCCTCGCCGCGACCGTTAACACTGAAACGTAGACAGCCGGGACCTAACTTTAGTCTCCTCAGGGGGAGGAACTTCGACGGGCGGGGCCGCACATTCCTAGCCTCCAGAAATGACCTCATCGCCAGAGCAGCTCCGCTCTGGGCGGCCCGGTAGGCCCCACCCCCGGCAGAGGCACTTCCGAGAGTGCGCATGTGCGCCGCGCACCGCCTGACCGGATGCGGGTGTGGGAAACTGCGCGTGCGCCGAGCCTCGGCGGTTCGCGGCAGTCAGCGCGGCGTCGGTGCCCCCTGCACCCCTTCGAGCCCGGGCGCTGAGTTAGCAACTTTCTGCCGCAGGGTAATCCGCTCTGAGAATGCTCGTTGTGCCCGACGCCCGGGCGGCCCTCGGGAACGCCTTATGTGTAACTGGCTCGTCTGCGGGTCCCTGCCTCACCCGTACACCCCCCCAGTCCCGCGCTCACCACATTGGTGTCCTGCTCCAGCGCCGGTTCCCAGCCCAGGTCCCGGGGCCCGCAGCAGTCCAAGCAGACGAGAGCGCGGCACCGGTAGTGGCAGGTGAACTTGCAATCTGCAGAGAGGTCTGTCTGTGAGACGGAGGAGCCTCAGCTCCAGCTCGGAGAAACGTTCCCGGGATAGAAGCCCCTGGGTGAAGGCCACTGCCGGCTGGGCTCTGCACGATCTGCCTTGTCTCAGGAACTGTTATCACCCATTTTTACAGAGACTCTACAGTGTTTTGTCCCCCAGCGACTGGAAACTAGTGGGAAGGCCTCAGGCGGTTAGGGATCCAGGCCTAGCACAAAACTTCCCTCTTCCTGGCAACCCTTCTTCCACCCTTTTACTTTAAGGTAAATAAAAGCCTTTATTTAACCCATGCCCCCCTCTCGTTGTCAAGTCTCTTCCCTCACACCAAATGTATGAACACTGGTCCCCATACATCAATTCTTCACCTTCACTCTTTCCTCCATCCATTCCAGTCAGACTTGACCCTCCCTCCAGGATACCGCCCTGGTTAGGGTCCTCAGCAACCTGTACACTACTGAATTCAGCAGTCCCTTCTTAGGCAACTTCACCTGAACATCATTTGGTGCTTGCTCCAACCTTTAGTTCCCAGGAGGACTCCACACTATCCTGGTTTTCCTCCCCGCTCCCTGCAGCTTCTTTGCTGGTTTTGTCTCAATTTCCAGGGTGTCCAAGATGCAGGACTGATCACTCCCCTGCTCTGTGTATTTTCAATACACAGAGCCAAGGGGTTTCTGCTTCCATCACTGACCTCCCCATCTGGTAAATGCTGTGTCAGAATCTCATTTGGATACCTAATAGATATTTCAAACCAATATAGCCAAAATTTAACTCACCTTTCTTCTATTTCACCCCTACTGTCACCAGAATTCATCTCAGGAAAAAAAAAAAATCCTGTTTTCCCAGTTGTTTCAAGCTAAACAAAATACAACAAACCCAAATCATCTTATGTCTGCTTTTGACACATACTCAATTTCTCCTGTTTTCCATTTCCATGGTCACTTTATTTCTCCTTGGGAACATTACAGTGCCCCAGCCCTTGTTTATGTTTTGTATACTGTCATAAATCCCATGTTCCTCCTAGCTGAATTTGGTCAGACTTCTATACTGGAGGATAGGATTTCCAGTCTGGGATACTCCCCTAAGGTGCTAAGTGGGTCAGAGCAGTGGTTCTCAATCCTGGCTGCACACTAGAATCTGTTATATAAAAATCACTGATATCCTCCCAGTAATTGATCTACCAGGTCTGAGGTAGGGTGCAGGCATAGGGGTTTAGAGGGCTGGAAAGGCATCCCAAGTGGTTCTAGCAGTGTATTGGCAGTGGGAAAGCAACCTCTGCTTGGCGGGGTGATGATTCCTGGGAAGGCAGAAGGACCACTGTTGTGTGGCTGTTGGTTTCATGTATTAGCACCAGGCTGACTGGGTTGCAGTAGGTATTTCCTAAATAAAGACTCGACAAAATTCCTTCTTTCAGGGGGCCTAATTTTTTAGGTTCTAGTCAAGTTTCTAATCTTTTCCTGATCCCTTTCCAAAGTTGGGTGGATTCCCTTCACCCCAGGGAGTCTGGAGGGGAACACAGTAAGTGAAACTTTTGGAAGGGGCATATCTGAGAACATTTACCCAGAGGGTGGTAGGCACAAAGACTTTCTCAAGAACGGCTAAGGCACTTTAAAAAGAAACTTGAAATCAGTACCTTGTTATTCACAGACGGCCTCCTCGGCCCAAATGTGCCTCAGAGGCAGATGGCGCCTAGCAGCGGTAAGGCTATAAACCGCTAGCCGGCACTCTCATCCCAGATGCGGCAAAGGAAACAGACCTAGTCTGCTGGGACCACCCCCGCCGACCCCCTCCGTCGCAGCTTGACCTGTAGCAACAGCGCAAACCCTTGGCCACCTATTTCGCTCTCGCCAGCCAGCGTGCGGGGCTGCTACTCACGCGCGCACTGCAGGCCCTTGCGCACGACGCCCCAGATGAAGTCTCCACAGAGATCGCACCACGTGTGTGTGGCAGGCCCCGCGGGCTGGAAGCGGTGGCCGCGGCCCGGGACCAGCTGCCGCGTGGGGTTGCGTGCGGTGCCCGGCGCGATGCGCAGCGCGTTGGCGCGCTCCAGACGGGTGCGGCCCAGGCCCGTGCGCCGCGCGGGTGCCAGTTCTCGAAGCTCAATGAGCTCAGGCTCGGCAGACATGGCCCAGGCGGGCCGGTACTGCCGGCCCGCTCTGGGCACTAGAGCGCGGGGCGGGCGGGGCTCCGGGGCGGGCCTGATGCGGCGCCGCCCCCGGGATGCAGGGAGGGCAGCAGCGGGAGTGCGTGGAGGAGAGCCGCGCAATGGAAATCTGGCCGCTGCCGGGGCAAAGTCGGCCCGCGGGCGGAGTGAGCCAGCAGAAGCAAGCTCTCGAAGAGTCCCCGCTCCCCCTCCCTTCCCGCCTTCCATCCTGTGCGCAAGTCCCCTCCCCCTAACAACAACCGAGGCCACACGGAGACAGGCATGTTTCTGAGGCCAGCTTTACTGTGTTCGAGGAAGAGGGTCCCCACATCCGGCCCTCGCCGCCCCGCCTCAGGCCTCCTTTGTCAGCATGCTGAGGCAGGGCCCTCAGCCTACCGCAGGTGGGGCAGGAAGCCAGTACTGCAGCGCTGGGAGAGATGGGTCAGCAGCTGTACCTCACCTCCCTACACTCCAAGCTTCAGAAGCACACTCTGGGTGGGTTGTATAGCATGGGAGGTCTGTAGACAGCAGCTGTAGCCTTCACTTGGCTCTGTCACCCTGGGCAGCTAGGACACAAGCCTTTCCGTGCTTCTCCCAGTGCTTGACTTGGCACTCCCTGAAGGCAGGTGGGACAGTGGGGATGGCAGTGCTTGAGGCAGCTATGGGAGTGGGGCTCGGGGATCCAGGGTGGTAGGATACACTTACCTACAGCAGTACCACTCATTCTGACATCGTGAACAACGCTTAGAGGCCTCTGCATGGCAGAAGGCACAGCGGGGCCGCTCTGGAGCCACTGCCTCTAGCACATCCAACCTGTAGGTCTCAGCCCACCTGGGAAAAGGGTCAGGAGGGCCTGACTGGGCCTGGTAGATGGAAGCACAGGAGCACCCCTGCCCATGTCCACCCTTTCTGCATGCCTTTCACTCCTCCTGCGAGCTCAGCAGAACTCACCTCCGTGCCTGCAGCCGCAGGTCCTGCTCTGAGGGACTGAACACATGTCGCAGCTGGTGTTTGGCAATAGCCTGCCACTTGCCTCTGTTCTCGCGCTTCAGCCGCTCCCAGATTTCTGGGATCTGGGAGAGAGAAGTGGAGAGTGGCAGGGAGGAGTTGGCAAAGTGGGTGGTGGTCCTGAGCAACTAATTTCCTAGCACTTACCTGTTCCAATACCAGGTCTTTCTTAGGGGGCTGGGTTTCAGCCAGCGCCAAGTGGTTCAGGAAGGCCTGCAGGTCTGCCAGGTTGGGCAACTGGTCGAGTAGTGTGTCTGTGAGGAAGGCCCGAAGCTGCAAGGGTGTCCAGGGGAGGCCAGTGTGAGTTAGCGTTGACCAGAGGGCAAAGGAACAGAGAGGGCCTACGTTGGGCTGGGCCTACGTAGGGCCCATGTCCCACTAGTTGCTGCATCATCTAAGGTAGGAAAGAGGACTGGGGCTGAGGAGGGTAGGCAAAGATAAATAGCAGGACTGGGGTGGAGCAGTGCTTGGACTGGTGTGGGAGGAGTTCCCCACCTTGAGTAGCTGTCCCTTGGCAAAGCTTGTGAGGCAGTAGCGGGCCCGGGCCTCAGGACTTAGCAGCAGGTTGTACAGGGCGATCCAGACCTGCCCATCCAACTTCCTCAGCTTTTGCTGCTCTGAGGGGGTCACTGTCTGCCAACGGCCACCCTCAAATTGCTGCAGCTTTCCTGAGGAGAGGAACCAGCACACTGGTTCAGGAGTCACATGCTCTGTGAGCCAGCCATGTGGGCTGGGGGATTGACTGCTCCCTGGGCACAGGGGTTGCCCAGGCTGGGGAAGTGCTTGCTCCAGAGCACAGTTAGCATCATTAGTGGCCACATGGGCCTTGCCTGCTGGACAGCCCAGTCTAGGCCCACCTTGGGTGAGGCATCCTCCTATCCTCTGTGGGCTAGGGGGCAGAATTTGCCTGCTTATGTGCAAGATGCCCTCCTCCACCAATTCTGGAAGATATCTTGGAAGCTTGGAGCTGGGGGCTTGGGCAGGAGGGGGAGGATCTTACCTCCTTCCTGTCGGCTCCAGGGACTGTGCTCCAGCAGTTCCACCAGGAGGCAAGGCAGATTGTGGGTGCTAAGCATTCGGCTCAGCATGCTCAGGGAAAGGCTAGAGATAGGGGTAGAGAGAGATGAGCAGAGGCTACAAGCTCAGCCTCCCAGGCCTCCACTGCAGGCCCCAGGCCTACCTATCCACACAGTCTGTGATGTAACGCAGCACTGAGAGGGCCTTCAGTGAAATTTCAAATTCCATCAGCTCTGCCTGCTTCTGTAGCTCCTGGATGAGCCAAACACAGCTCAAAACTGCCTGCTTAGGCCTTGTGGAGTCTGAGTTTACTAGCCCCTGTGTGCCCAGGGAACCTCAGCCCACCTGCATGGGGTTGCTGTACTGGGGCTCCTCCTCCTCAGGGGGGGCACCACGACCACACCGGGCCACCAACAGAATCAGTTTTCGGTGGCAGTAGTCCACCAGGTCCAAGATGGTGTCCTCTGCTGACTCACACACCTCCTGGGAGCAGGAAGAGGGTAAGCATTCTAGTTCTCATGTCCTCCCTACACAACCTTCCAGGGATTTCTGCCCGGCCCTGGTCTGAGACAGAAGCCTGGGGGCAGGATTGTGCCTCACCTTGTGAAAGAACACTGTCTCCAGGAGGTTGATGATGGAGGCCTCATGGTGTACCTGCCAGATAAAGAGGACAGGGCCCAGGGCTGCTGGGGGAGAGATGAGGGCTACCATTTATCCTCTCTGTCCAGGGCCCTCTGATGGGGTGGGTGGGGTTGTGAACCAGGGCCCAGCTCACCACCATGTATATGGGAAAGGTGTTTTGGGGCTTGAAGTCCTCTAGCTTGCACAGCACAGGGAACACCTTCTGCTTCCACATCTCCACTGCAATCAGCTCCTCCACCAGGGTTGGGATCTTTGAGGGGTAGTGGAAAGGACAGGGATGAAGTGGGCCTATCTTGGCCTGGAAGTCCTCTCATTCTTGGCTCTGTTCAAATTCTCCTGAGCCCCTGGACTCTCCCATACCCCATGAGTAACCTCTCTCCTGCAGCCTAGACCTTCATTTCTAGTGACCCCCAACATTTTTGTGGGGATAGCCCCCAAGTTTCCCACTGCCCATACTCCCAAGGCCTTTACCTTATCCCCAGGCTGTCTTCCTCTCCCAGCACCTGCACCCTCTCTCCTCCTCGTCCGCCCAGATGTCTCTCTCAGGTCAACCCTCCTGCTCACGCACACCCTCTTGTCCCTCTTCTCTGGGTCCTCCAAAGTTGTGTGTCTTGATCTCACTCTTATTAAGGGCTATTCACCACCCTCAAGTAGAGGGCTCCATCTTTTTTTTCGCAGAGGAATACTTTTCTATCTTTGTCATGTTCCAGCAAGGCTAATTCCTGGTTTCTAACTCTCTCACCCTCAAGGGAAGGCAGGCTCCTTCCATGACAAAGTCCCACCCCCACTTCGGTGGGAGCCCCCTCTGGCCCTAGTCTATCCAGGAATGCCTTTAACACTCTGGGCCTGGGTTGTTCTATCACCTCTGAATATATCCTAATCAACCCATGCCTGGAACCTCGCCTGGAGTCCCAAGGTCCTGTCCATTACAGATGCAAAATCAAATGTATCACACCCTTCCTTCTTTGGGAGGGCAGGTATACCAGCCAGGGGGAAGAGCAAGTGCCTGAGGTGCTCCTGAGGGGTAGAGTGGTAAGGTGGGGGTTGGGGGAGTGGAAAGGCAAGAACTCTGTCTGTGGTCCCAGCATACCTTCCCATGGGTGACCAGCAGCTCTTGGATGGGCTCACCCTGGCTGGCTGTGGCATCAAGGATGGCCTGCATGTTCAGCTTCTCCAGGTTCTCATGCTGCTGGTTCCACCTGCCCCAGAGCAGGTGTGTGTGTGCATTTGGGTGCACATGTGTGGGGATGAAGTGGGGGTGGGGGTTTGGTCCTATTGAAGCCTAACCTGAACCTGAGGGGTTAGAGGGCGCTCAGGACCATATTCCGTCTCATCTCAGAGAGCTTTGCCTTCCCACTTGGGGGGCCCTTCACACAGGGCAAACCCTCCCCCCATATCAAGTCGTTCCCTCCTCCCCCCAGGACTCTGACCCCATGATTCTGTCTGACCCCTTGATGCAGCTGCCTCACCCTTCAGAGCCCATCTCGCGCAGCGGGAAGCTGCGCAGTCCCCGCACCAGCACATCGGCCTCTCCCGGCAGCAGCAGCTCTAAGTCGCCCATGCCCTGGCGGGGGACAGAGAGCAGGAACGCGAGGTCGGCTGACCCTAGGCAGCAGTAAGCGGGGAAGTGGGGTGCTAACGCACTTGGAGACGATGGTTTCTGGCGGGGCCTAATTCTAGGGCATGACGGTTGCGGAGCAGTTGGAGCGCGTGGGTCCTTGAGTCCTCGCCGCCATGGAAACGGCTAGCTCGGCGCCTGCGCAGTGCGTCCCGGCGCCGCCCCGGCCGCGTTCCTACCCGACCCGCCCCCGCCGGCGGGTACCTCGCCCGCCGGGTTGTAGGTAACAAGCCTGTTTGGATTCCTAGCGCTTTGCCCTCACGACCCGTGGCGACGCACGGGTCTCCTCTGAGTTCCAGACTCCCGTGGCCTAGGTCTGTTCTCGGACGTCGAGTTGCCTTCGCAAGGATGAGTAACCCCGGCCGCGACAGCTCTTGCTGCGCTGCATCTCAGCCCACGGGAATCTGATGATCCTCTGTGGCTTCCTCGCTCCGGGATTTTTGGCACCCAGCTCCACCTGGTGGCTCCACCCCGAAATACTGTGTAGGGCCACAACTCTTCAACCCCAGTACAGGTTGTCCAAACTGCTGCGGCCTTACTACTGGACCCACTTCCACTCTTCGACCCTCCTGAGCAACCAGGAGTCTTTAAAAGGTGTATATGACTTTACTCCCTTGCACACGGAAGGGAGACTAGCGCTCTATGGCTGCCTCTGGTCCTTAAAGTGCTTCGTACACAGCAGCTTACCAGCAGCTCTGCAGTGTGAAGCTCTTTCCCCCCCTCCTACGTCAGGACATCATTTTTTTTTAAAGATGTATTTATTTATGCAAGAACTGGTGTGTAGACCAGAGGTGCGGGGAGAGGATTCACCAGAGAGAGTGGGGAGCAGAACAGGTGGATCTACTAAAATACACTGCTGAGGGGAGCAGCAGGAGAGTCAGGAGAGGTCTGCTGTGCCATGTGGGCAGCTCCCTGGCCGGGGATTGAACTCATGCTGCAGTGGCTGGCAGATAGCTTGAAAGTGCTGTCTTTAACCCCTGCACCACCAGGGAGGCCCAGGATACCCCTTTTTGAGCCATTTCCCTTTGCCTCCTACGTTACAGTGCTATGGGCTCTCCTTTAGGTGTTTCATACACACCAAAGAGGTTTTTGCTTTGGGGATTTTGCACCTGTTCCCTCTGCCTGCAATACTTTAGTATTGGCCTCCTTTAGTCCTCAGTGAGACCTTCCCTACCCATTTAATCCAGAGCAGCCCAGCCCCCATCCCAACTCACTTTTCATTACACCTTTCTTACTGTTTCTGGCTGTTTATTTCAGTTTAAGTGGGCACATTTACTTATCCACTGAGGGTCCTGTGAATCAGATGGCGCTCCAAGGAGCTGGGACATTGCTGGTTCTTTGGTGGCCCCCGATTTAGAAGTGGTACTCAATAAAGGTAGGTAGCAATGGGTGACTTTAGTTACAAAACTGAGGGTCAACCTTGAGACAGTGTGGACTAGTCTGTTGGTCTATCCCTCAGTGCAACAGGCAGGGCTTAGAAAGAGAGTAGCCATAGCCGTATGCTTTATCCAACCTACAACAGCCTCATTTCCAGCAGATGATGATGTTGGGGTCATTTTCCAGTCGCTCATCCAACTCGTGGTAGCTCATGCCTGGGTAGGATCGTGGAGGGGAGGTCAGCAACCATATCTTGGCCACCATGCCTTGCCCCACCCACCTGCCCTGCCTGTCTCCACCTGTTTTGCAGCAGATCTCATCATAGCTGTGGCAACCTGTGTAAAGCCGGGCAGGGTGGCTGCGCTCCTCCCGAGACACCCGCACGGGATACTTCTGTAGTCGCCGAATGAGGTTCTTCATAAGCCCAAATTGGATCAGCTTCCTGTGGTGGGGGGTTGAGGGAGAAAGAGGGGTCACACCCTGGTCAGGCTGCCTTCCAGACTGCAGTCTGGAGGCCCAGATTGGCCTCCAAATCCATCACCTCCAGGAAGCCTGCCTAGACTAGCAGTCCCACATGATTCTGCTCACTGGGAATCTCCTGTTCCTTTTTGACCCAGGGTTATGGAGAGACAATGAGTGTGCTTGCCCTCAGGAAACCCCTCCTGCCCCAGGGGCTCCCCCTCTGACCGTTCATCAACATGTTGCAGCTGCTGGGGGTGGCGGCCAATGAGGTCTCTCACAGTTGTGCCAGGGCTGAGGCTGCAGTACAGCTGGAATACATCCCGGAGACTGGCCCTTTTGTGCCCTGTAGGTGCCAGGGGTCAGCTCTTTTGATGGCCCTGTTCTCCCCAATATGGCCTCCCCAAGAGCCTGCCCTTACCTTGCTTGGTTACGTAGGATAGACATGCCTCCTGCAGGGACTTGTCATCTACCAGATCTTGGACCTTGGGTGTCGGGCAGTACACATTGGAGTACTGGAGAGCAGCAAGAAACACAGGGGCCTGAGAGAAGGGCTTGGAGGTCTGACACACCCCTAATCTCTGCCAGGCACATGAGTTACTCTCCAGTTAACCAGAACCCAGACTCACCTACCTGGAGGATGGACACAAGTGTCACGACACCATAGTACCTGGGGGAGATAGTTGTGCTCAGCTTCTGAGGTCATGCCTTCTCAACACCCACACTCAGGGCCTCTGGGCCCTTCCCTGTCCTGGGCATGCCTTGCCCTACTCACAGCAGGTTCTGGATGGCTATGCGCACCAGGTTGAGCTCCACATCTGCTTCAGCTGAGATCTTCTGGACATGGCGGAAACCATCAATGTAGGGCAGGATCTGAGCAGGGCAGAGTCAGTAAAGGTGGAATGAGTCCTTTTGGGCTGTGACCAGCGCAGGTGATGGTATTCAGGGAGGGCTGGCATACCTGCTGTGTTGTGAGGTCCCACTGTGCGTTGAAGAAATCCTCCTTGTCCTTGGTAAAGACAGGCACATCATATTCCTGTGCTACAGGAGGGTCAGGTCGCTGCTCAATCACCTTCAAGTGGATGGTGTTGGACTCATCTGCAGGGGCCCCATTCATATCTTCAGTACCGTTTCTTCTAGGAGACCCTCAATCACCACCCACTCCCCCCAGAAACCCTTGGCAGGTACTTTTTGGATAGAACAATCTTTCCTTTTTTTGGAGCAAGAGACTGCGATCCGGAGAAGGGAAAGAACATGCCTAAGAAGCAGAGCTGGACAGGTCTGCTGGCGTCCCCAGCCCGATTGTGTACTGGTCCCTAGATATCACCAACCCAACTCATGGATATTTCCTGGCCACCAATTTGTTCAAGAGTCTTGTCCTTGGCTGGGCTCACCTTCCCCTACCACATTCCCATTCCTCCTGTACCCCTCTATGGTCATTGCAGAGGCTGGTCCATACCAATGGGCAGAGTGCACCGGCCTGAGGCATTTAGCTCCTCCAGTAAGATGGTCATGATGGGCACCAACTTCTGTTTGCTTTCCTCATTGGACACAAAACTGCTCTCCAGCTGGATGGAGTATAGACAACATGGTGGACACAACTCAGGAGCCATGGCTAGCATCCTGTCCTGGCAGGTTCCCAGGTTAGAGATCTAAGAACACCTTTCCCAACTCTGCCTGCCCATCCACCCAAGCCATAGTGTTGCAGACCTCCAGAGTGGTCAGGTAACCAGCCAGCTTTTTGACAATGGGCTCGAGGGCACAGGTTTTGGCCTGGGCATCACACACAAATCCTAGGTTGAAGAGCAGGGCATTACGGCTGTACTTCTTATGTTCAATGCACACAGGGCAGCCAATCAGTTTCTTCTCCATGGCTGTGCTGGATGGGGCAAGATATGGGAACAGTCAGGCTCCTCCCACCTCCAAGCCTGTCCACTTCTCGTGGGAATGCCCCTCTTCCCCCCTCAATCTAGGGTCTCACACAGTGATGAGCTTGTTCTGCAGCTCTGGTTTGGTGATGATGTACACCTGGACTGTATCAAACAGCTCCCGGGAGATGAAGTCCTCAGGGACCTGGGGAGGGGAATGGTAAAAAGCCCCTTAGTGGACTTTGGGACTAGGTGGAGTATGGAGGGTAATCCCCAAGACCTAAATCCTCTTCTCCAGCATTGCTCTTCTCTCTCATCCACGCAGGCCTACTACTTTGTGTTTGTGTTTTCAAATATACGCTATGTTCTCACTCATCTCTTGGCTTGTATATGCTGGGCTCTCTACCGGTTACACACTCTCCTCTAAAATTCCTATGCGGAGGCCTCCCTGGTGGTGCAAGGGTTTGTTAAGATGCAGCATTATGAAGCTATCCACAGCCACTACAACGAGAGTTCGATCCCAGGCCAGGGAGGTGACCCACATGGCGTAGCAGACCTCTCCTGACTCGCCCGCTGCTCTCCTCAGCAGTGTATTTCAGTCAATCTGCCCGTTTCTGTTCCCTGCTCTGTTTCTGGTGAATCCTCTCAACAACCCCCCCCCCCCCGCCCCAGTCAGTATCCCAGTTCTTGTATGCATAAATGAATAAATCTTTAAAAAATAAATAAAATTCCTATGCATGTAGGGATACTAGTGGACCATCTCTCCTGGGACCTGGAACCTCCCTTGGCCCCTACACTATGATGTCCCACAATCACTGCCTGTGTGATGATTGTCTGCCCCGCCACATCTGGGGCCAGGGACCTGGGTTTAAGTATCCTCTCCATTCAAGGTTCTCTGCGAATGAAAGAATGGCGTGCCGGCAGCATCGGGACCCACCGCCTCTAGGCAGTCGGGTGAGTGGCCGAGAGGGTCCTTCTTTCCCGCCCCAACCCCGAGACCCTAGCTGGTACCTGATAGGTGATCTTGGGTCCCAACGTAGGATGGAACTCGCTGAAAAATATGCATTCAATGCGGCAGCTGCTGCCCATGGCGCTAGCGAGATTCAGGTGGGTAGCTTCTGGCACCCCAACCCCTAGAAACACCTGTCAGAAAGAGGCCCCACGCCTGGGCCATCCAATCACGCACGCCTGCGCACTCACACACCCGTGAACGCGGCTGCTCAACAGCGCCTGCGCAGCGCGACTCAAACTTTGGGGCGGGGGGGAGGCTTGTCTCAGGAAGTCGCGGGTAGGTAGACGTCGCACCCGGAAGTGAAGCGACTCCGCGATAGAGCGGCGGCGCGCGCGGCTGGCCCCCTGTATCGTGCTTTCTCCGGAGGAAATCACCGTATAGGGCCGGCGCTGCGGCTGAGGCAGGTGAATCCTTAGCGTGTAGGGCTAGCATGACAGCGGAACGTAGGGAGGCTGCGCGTAGAGGGATTCGTGCTGCTATGCCGGCACAACCGGGGACTACAATATCCGTAGTGCTTCACGCCCTTAGAGCTGGCGCTCCTGCCAGGCGACGGCGTGATGCACGCTGGGATTTGTAGTCTATTACTTGGTCGTGCGCATCCTACCTGGAAGGTGGGCCAGTTTATGTGCAGGTACTTCCTGTCGCCTGCTTTTGATTGGCTTATTGTGACTGGCACTTATCTTGGTACTGTCCCTTTCTACCTTAACTTCTTAGAAGGGGGTGGCATTCTTGACCTGCAACCCTTGCTCCAGTGGGAGGAGTGGACAGCAGGCACCCAAGACCCTTGTTCACTCTACTATGCTTTCAGCCTGCAGCTCCCGACCTGGTTGACCATGACCCTTTCTGTGGAGACCGAGTCACACATCTACCGAGCACTGCGTACTGCCTCTGGGGCTGCTGCCCACCTTGTGGCCTTGGGCTTCACCATCTTTGTGGCTGTACTTGCCAGGCCTGGCTCCAGTAAGTAGAATTCATAGTTGACTAATGGGGAGAAAAGTGCCACTTTCCTGGGGGGACAGGGTCAATAGGAAGCCTTGGGTCTGACTCTTGGGAACAGGCCTGGCTGGTTCAGGGATGTGCTATACTGGAGCCAAAGTAGGGCAAGGGGCAGATGAGGTATGGGGGCTCTGCCGGCTGGGCCAAATCCCAGAGTATCTGACTTTTCTTTCCCTGTTTTGATTCTGCCCTTGGCTGCTTTTGGGATGGGCTGGGGGAAGAGGGGAGGACTGCCAAAAAGTGGCAAAAAATGGCCTTTAATCTAGGGAGGAATGAAGAGAAGATAGGTATTGGGGTCAGCTTGTTTCAAGAGGAGGTTCACATTTTGGTAGCATCTCCTCAGGTGGTGGGTTGCCCATTTTCCTAGCCTGTTGGGATTGGTATGGGTTGGGGCTTTTTTTTTTTTTTTAAAGACTTATTTATTTGTGCATACAAGAGCACAGGCCAGAGATGCAGGGGTGTGGGGGGATGTGGTGAGAGGATTCACCAGAGACAGAAGGGGGAGCAGAACAGGCAGATCTACTGAAATACACTGCTGAGGGGAGCAGCGGGTGAGGCAGGAGAGGTCTGCTGCGCCATGTGGGTTTCTCCCTGGCCAGCCAGGGATTGATCTCCTGCTGCAGAGGCTGTGGATTGCTTCACAGTGCGGTGTTTAACCCCTTGCACCACCAGGGAGGCCCGGTTGGGTCTTCTTGCCTCAGATCCATAAGGCCTCCTTTTCTCATTCCAGGTCTGTTCTCCTGGCACCCGGTGCTTATGTCTCTAGCTGTAAGTAGTGGGTCTGGCCATCTCTTAGTGGTGGGAGGGAGTATAAGTATGGTGGTCCTGAATCCTTATGGACACAATATCTAGAGAATGGGATATGGAATTAGAGGAGTTGCATGCTCGGATTCTTGCCTATGGCCTATATCCCAGACATTTGATACCCAGGGCAAATTGAGTTGGTTGTCTTAAGGACAAAATGAGGCTTTACCCACATCCAGTCAGGAAACAGCATGTATCTGTCCCTTTTACCTCAGTTTATAATGATACCTAGACAATGCATTTTCCCTAAAACATTTTCATTTTCCCTAAAACAATGCACCTATGCAGCCAGCTCTTGCCAAGAAATTGTATCCAGCTGTGTGTTAGGGAACCCAAGGTTGTGAATCATTTATAGCTGCCACATCTCAAACCTCATTTGCTTGGTAACACAGCTGAGATGGCATTTCAGTATGGCACCTATGAAGTAGGGAAAGATAGATACCTCTTGCTGGTTACTCGGGGCAGGTGTTCTGTCCCAGATGGAAGTCTTCATTCTTGCCCAACCAAATGGATACTCTTGTCAGTGGGGAGAACAAAGAAGGTAAATCTGTCCACATTGACTGACAGCTTAGGCATCTAAAGCCCTCGTCCTTTCTGCTGAACAGCATCTCACTTAGTTTTCCATCTCTTTCCCCAGTTTTCTTTCCTGATGACTGAAGCCCTGCTGGTGTTTTCTCCTGAGAGTTCGCTGCTGCGCTCCCTCTCGAGGAAGGGCCGAACACGCTGCCACTGGGCACTGCAGCTGCTGGCTCTGCTTTGCGCACTGCTGGGCCTGGGCCTGGTCATCCTCCATAAGGAACAGCTTGGCAAAGCCCATCTGGCCACCTGGCACGGACGGTCAGGGCTGCTCGCTGTGCTGTGGGCAGGACTGCAGTGCTCAGGTGGAGTGGGGCTGCTTTACCCCAAACTGCTGCCCCGATGGCCTCTGGCCAAGCTCAAGCTATACCATGCCACTTCTGGGCTAGTTGGCTATCTGCTGGGTAGTACCAGCCTCTTGTTGGGCATGTGCTCATTCTGGTTCACTGCCACAGTCACTGGTGCGGTCTGGTACTTGGCTGTGCTGTGTCCCATCATGACCAGCTTGGTCATTATGAATCAGGTGAGCAATGCTTACCTGTACCGCAAAAGGATTCAGCCGTGAGCACTTCCCAGCCTAAGGAAGCCTGAATTTTCCCCTCAGTGTAGGAGCTGGGCTGGAACCTCTTGGACTCTCTCAGATGAGTAGGTCACAGGGACACCTCAGCACTGGTGCACTGAGGCAGGAATCCTGTGTACTGCATTCTCGCTTGTTCGTCATGCTGGAGTGCCTCCCCTTTCCTCCTCTCTCTGCTGTCACAGAGAGCATATGGATCATGTGTCTGATAAAGTTGGGGTTGTAAGATTGCCTCCCCAGTAACTCGGTTCATACTTATACCAGGCATTACAGGAGAGAGAAAAAAATAAAACTAAAAAACGACTGAAAAGACTGCATGGGGAGAATAGCCCAGAGCTGGGATAGTTGTGCCTAATAAAAATTGGGCAGTTGGGCAAGATGGGTACCTGTCTCTGGATGCTCACTGAGAGGCTGAAGCCCCTCCAGCATAGAGTTCCTAGCAGGTCCTGGGACTGCAGCTGTGTAGGATAGAGCTGTGTTCTTCCCGTCTCCCAGCTGCCTGCAGTGCTGGTCTCCAGACTGGTGGGTAGTTCTGGATGATGCCAGGGTGAGAGCTGGGGAGGGACTGTCTCCATAGGCATCTCAGAAGCCCTCTATTCTGGTGGTAAGTCATAAGAACAACTCCTTATGTAGATCCTCTGGCCAGGGCCTCCCTGACTCGGGGTTAGAGGGAAAGAGAAAGCAAACAGCTGAGCTGAAAGCTCTGGGAAGGTGGTCCGATGGTGGGCATGCAGTTGGTGGTGGAGGTGGGGAGGAAAGGGAGTGGGGCAGTGAGCGGGCTTTTGATACAGCTGGAGTTGCACTGGGGACAGACTACACCTTCGAACCTAGGTGAGAGCCCCTATCTTGACTTCTGCAGTTGAGCATAAGGGAACGGCACAGGTGGTCTGACAGAGCATAGGAGTCATACCTCAAAGAACTGCTTTATTGATACTGCAAGGCTGGGCTTGGCTGCCCACTCAAGTGGTCCTGTAGAAAATACCTGGTTGCTGCGGCTCTTCTGGTGCTGAAGCAGCCACGGCCACAGCGCAGGGAATCAGAGATCTTCTCGTGACATGAACAAAGTCTTCCTGGGGTTGGATGGGATGCACAGCCCAGTGATGGCTCCTGCACTGGCTGGACCCCCAGAACGTTTTTGGCAAATCCTTGCCTTGGCTCGGGGCTCTCGGCAACCAGTCTTAGGCATGAGGACTGGCCCGGGAGCTGTGGCACAAGTGTCCCTGCAGCCACTTGCTTGGGGCTGCCTGCTGAGGCACAGTCTTACCTCAAATGGCCCTGGCTGGCTGATGCCTCAGAGGCCCCATTCCTGGCATAGTGGTTGTCCGGAGTTGGAGCCAGGTAGCGAGAGTCCTGGGTAGTGTTGGCGAAAAATAGCAGAAGGCTGTAGAAACCCCCAAGAGGCCTTCTTCCCTCTCCTCAGAGTGGTCAAAGCCCTGGAGAAGCTGAGAGGGTGTCAAGGGGGGCTTGGGAGAGGTGGTGCTACACTCAAGGTAGTCAGGAGTTACAGCTTTTGGGGGGCTGCCTCGAAGGTGATCAGGCTGGATTCTGGGGCAGCCCCCTTTCCTGGGAGTGTGGGGGCCGTGTCTGAGGGCAGGGGACTGTCCACCTTGGCCCCAGCTTCTTCTTCATCCTCATCCATGCTGGGCCAGACGGACTGGTCCTCCACTCTCTTTAGCCGTTCATTGAGGGCCTTCAGGGCCAGTTGCCTGGTATCAGAGGAAAGATGACAGGTCACTGTGTGTGGACTTGGCTCATGCCCTGCACGCTTCGCCCATGGAGCTGACCCCGCTTACCATGCAGTGTTCTATTTCCCCATACAGGGCTCAGGACTCCCCAGAGGTTGGGGATGTCCCACTTCCACTCAGCCATCAGGAGGACCCAGAGGCTGTTGAGCTTCCCTCCATAACAGGGGAACCCCCCAAGCTGAGAAGGCCAGCTGGTCGGCTGTCAGCCTGCCCACCAGGCAGCCCCAGGAATGGTTCTGAGGTTTTGAGCATGGTGCCTCAGAGAAGGCAGAGCCAGTGCCCCTGGGCAGATGAGTAGGACATCTCTAGACACTGGAGTTTCTGCATGGGCACTGGCATCACATCCAAGGAAAGGATTATTCCTTCTCCCCCTCTCCTTATTAGGGGTGTCTCAAGCCTCTTGGCAAAGGTCAATGGAGGAGGGTGAAATTCAAGCACCTGCTTTGGCTTTCAGCCAGGAAGCAGAGCCAACTTGGGTCAACCCGCCCCTCCCAACAACTCCGTGCTCTCCTCAAATCAACCAGAATCCATGTTAGAGCAGCGACTTTACTGAGCCCTTGCAGGAAGAGAGGAAAGAAAAACAACCATGTGTGGCACAAGCCAGAACCTACAGGTTCCGTAGGGTAGACCCCGAGGACCCACTGGGGAAGGTGGAATGCTGCCAGCTAATGCTTCCAGGGGTCGTCACTGTGGACGCCTGATGCCTCAGCATGGGTGACAGCCTGGAGACACTCCTAGATGCAGCAGACAACTAAAACCCTCCACCATGCCAAGAAGCATGACATGACAGTAGAGGATACGGGCACAGAACGCCTGGGCACACTTCCACCCTGCCTTGCAGCCTGCTACATGACAAGCTGGCACAGACAGGGCCGTTCTTCCCTGCTGTTACCCAGACTCCCAACCTAGATTCCTTCATCAATTCTGTCTAAAACGTGCCAAGGTACAGAGGCAGTGACATGTAAATCACTTCCTCACAAGGGTCAAAGATAGGAAACCGTCTCCCATTACTAGTAACCATCCGGATCTGGGGAGTTCAAGCTGGCCGCACCCCCAATTAAGCTAACAACATGACTATGCCAGGAACTCACCTCCAGATGAGCCCCACTCCCTCTGCACCTATCCATTTTTTTTTTTCTGGCCTGGACAGTTTTTTGAATGTCCAGTCAGCAGGCCAAAGCCTCTTACTGAAGGGGTCACGAATGTGGCCTAACACCACCTGAACAGCTGCAGGGCTACTCAGTATCTCCCAGGCCACCCCTTCTGGCCCCCTCTTAACCAGGTAAGGTTAAGACAGACCTCGTTTTTAAGGATTTATCCGTCACAGAGACAGACTGTAAGGCCCAGAATTAAGCCCTGCAGCAGGTGTGCTTTTCAACAGCCACCACCGTGGACCGCAGTAATCTGTGGCCCTTGCCCCGCTGGAAACTCCTTCAAGTGGGGGGATGGGACCCGCACTCAACTCCACAGCCCTAGTGGAGAACAAGCGCAGGGATAACGCTTCAGTTAAATTTAAAACGCAAGAGCGAAAACAGAAGCTTTGACAAGTACAGAAAGAAGGAACAGGCCTGCTCCAGATTTCACTACTCGAGTAACTGCCTCAAAAACCTCCTGAAGAATAACGCTGGGAATGGAGCTGTGATCACTGGTCAGTCTGAAGACCCAGAGAGTAAGAGCTGGATTAAAATACTGCCCTGCCCTACCCTGGCCAAGGTGCAGCTGGTGACTAATTCAGCAGGGACACCTGATAGTGCAGGTGGCTTGGTTTACAGATAATGAAGTTTGAAATGAAGTTTGTCTCCATTCCCTGCTGTGGTCAGCAGGCTCCCTTGGTGGGTCATGTGGCCTGTCCTCTGGATTTGGTGACACAGGCCATTTTGGGGGGCCAGGGATAAATCTACTTACACCCCAAGCTTCCCTCTCAATATTAAGTGGCAGAGAAGCAAAGCATCTGAATGCAACCCCAGAAAGAGGCCACAGCTTAGCATTTGTCAATTGGGGTGGCCCAGAGAGCATCTTAAGGTGCCCAGGTCTCCTTCCCTGTCCTTCCCTCCCTCAGGAAAAAGAACCAACAGCAGACTGTGTCTGGCTCCCATAGTACTGCTGCTAGGATTCCACGATTCTGAGACAAGGCCATGGTTATGTGTATGACTCTCCGTTAGCCTCTCACACAACACGAAAGGGAACTGGGCGCTTCTTGAGACTAACTAGGTGGCCTGAGTTGTGAGAAAAGGGAACTTTTATTCTCTAATGTTGAGAAACACCTACTGCAGCCAAGATACCGAAATGCTCAATTTCTCACTGGGTTTTTATCTCTTTCTGAATCTGCCCCAACACCTGACACTAGGCTGCCACCTATATACAGCAAGCTCCTCAACAGATGGAATGTGACTCCATCAAGAAATGTGCTCATAGCTTGACAAGGTTTCAGGAGATTCCACAGTACCTTCTCCGCTCTGCGTCTTGAGGGTCTGTGCCTGGGAGGCTGATGGTGATGGAGGACGGGGCACCCACATCATAGCGCTTCACTGTCTTCTGACATATCTTTACTTTCACCAAGAGGCCATGCACCAAGTTCGCCAAGAGCCCCACCACGGGCTGCAGGATCTCAGGGAAGAAGGTGGCAAAAGCAAAGTGGTCAGCCATGTCCCCTCGGCCTCGGCTATGGCGCTGGTAGAAGCGAAGATACACCCAACTGGAGAGCAGCCCGAAGCCATAGGAGGCCAGTGCGGGGCTCTGGAGAAGCGTGGCCAGCCGCAGCAGCAGCAGCAACCCCAACAGCAGCATGGGCACCACGCTGACGCGTACTTGGGGCACTCGCAGAACCACACAATCCCCCATGGTTTGCTTGAGTGCCACCAGGACACCACCTAGGAAGCCCAGGGCGCCGTGGATGCGGATTGTGAAAAGGTAGACCAAGTTGAAGGAAGCCATGTAGGTGAGGAGGTAGGCGAAGGCCCCCAGCAGCCCCACTGACACATTCACCACTGAGAAGAAGATGAGCAGCTCCAAAGCCCCCCAGAGGGGCTCCAGCAAACGTCCAGCCACAACCACTGTGGCCAGGCTGATGGCCACATCCCACACATGCTGCTCCATCAGCCCATGGGTGGCCAAGGTCCAGATCCAGAAATTGGGCGGAAAGAGGTAGCCTGGGGTGACCGCCAGGCAGCCCGTGTCCACGGCAAAGGACAGCAGGTAGAGGAATAGTACCGTCGCACACAGGGCCTTCACCACCACGCTGGCGCTGGCCAGGATGGCCCCCAAGTGCTGGCGAGCACCCGGTAGGGCGCGCTGCATCTTCCCGGCCGGCGTCGGCGTCTAGTGGGCTAGGGGGCCTCCCCGGGGCCTCGCTCCAGTCCGGCCCCGTCGGGAGGCCCGGGCCTGGCCTAGTCGCTGGCCTATCGCCCGGGTGAAGACTCCACTTCCGGTTGGGGTCCCAAAGGGCCAAGCCGGGCCTGGTCGCGGGGTCGGGGCCTGAGCCCCCGCCGGGTATCAGCAAGGCCTTGGGCGGATTCGGCGCGCCTGTCTTCCAGCCCTGCGCGCCGCGCACCAGGCCGCGGAGGCTGGCGTTGATCTCAGGGCTCGGCCTCCTCCATTCACCCCGGGGTCCTAAGATCCGTAGGGACTGGAGCCTAGTTCTGGGTCCGAGTCAAGTCTGGTCAGCGCCGGTCGGCCTGGGTCTTGGCTTCGACCGTCCCTCCTCCCCTCTCCGGCGCCGACAAACAGGGGCGCTGCGCTTGCGCGCCCCGGGAGGCTGCGGGATGTGCTCGGCGCGCCGGTCTTCCGGCTCCACAGCATGCCGGGACACCGAGTCCTTGCCCGGGCCGGGGCCGGGAGGAAAGCCAGTTTCTGGGTAAAACTACGAGTCCCAGGAGGCTGTGCGCCCGGCCGTTCCCGGCGGTGGTGAGCGTGAGCTCGGGAGGTGTAGTTCTCGGAACGCCCCGCCGGCCGTTTCCTCTGGGTCTGGGGGAGATTGATCGAGCGCCGCTGCCTCTGGAGAGCGCGGGTACCGGCTGCCGCACAGCTCCGTGCCACACACTTGTTCAGTGTCCCGGGGAGAGTGGCTCTGGTCGCGTACAGCTGAGCGGGTGTGTCCTCGGTAGGTGTGTGGGAGGAGCGCGGGTGGCCCCGGGTGTGTAACGGTGCTCGAACTCCTGAAACTTCCCGCCGCCCGGTCGATGCTTGACCCAGGTTATGTGGGGTGATTGGGTCCCGACTAAGTTGGAATTTTTGCTCTGCCATTTGGCGGCTCTGTGACATTCGCCGAGTTCCTGAAACCGTTTGAAACTCAATTTCATGGAACTTACAAAATAGCTGTGACGGGACCTACCGTGAGAATCCAGGGGACGGAAGTGTGTATCTGCCAGGCCTCCCTGGCTGCACAGGGAGTGTGTGGCTCAGGCTGTCCTAACAAATGAGGTGGCGCCTCATTTCGAACTCAGGTCTTCAGTCCCCAAAGGGGAGAGGCAGGGTTGCTCTCTGTTACGCTCCTTCTCACCAGAGGCTTCTCATCCCTGACCCAGAGGAAGAGAGGAGTCTCTGCACACGCGGGCCAGGCCTGCCCCAGGTCCACTCTTATTGCATCAGTGGCATCTGGCCCGTTGTGCCCTGTGCAAGCTGGCTTTTTTTGCTATGAGTTACTTTTTAAAACATGTGAATGTAATTAAAATAATTATGTGACAAAGTGCATTTGAAAGGTGCAAAATCCCTTCCTTTCATCCACTGATTTCAATACAAATGCCAGTGAATCATAGGTTATTAAGGATGTTGACACACTATCTTCAGGGTCTGGGTTCCCACTGGAAGTCACCCCATGGCAGCATTTCCAAGTTTAGCAAACCAAAATACAAGGGGTCCTAGTAAGATTTGAATATTAGATAAACAACAAATAATTTTTTAGTATAAGCATGTCCCAAATGTTTTTAGTATAGTTTTGTTCTATGCAATACTGGAAAACATACTACATAACGTTCATTCTTTATTTGAAATTCAAATTTGGTTGGATGTTCTGTACTTGGCAACTCTACCCCAAGACTTCTAGGCTATTTCAGGCATAGGAGCTAATTTAGGGGTTATAAGTCCTTGCTCTGTGGGTGACCCCTGTGGAGGAGTGACTAAAGGTGTTTTCTCTAAGGCCTGAAAGGTCCTCCATTTATTCAGCATTGAGGTTTCCCCAGCCATAGGCTAGATTTCCTCCCTGAAATCCTTGCTCATTTCTTGCTCTTCTAATAGGGGGAGAAAGGATTTCTGTTATCCCCAAACCACAGATAAGTCTCATTTCACTTATCTGACTTAACAGGAATAAACTAGTACCTAACTCTAAGGTTGTGGGGAGGACTCAGCTGGCCCACCAGGTGAGTGTGGAGTATGTATTTTAATAGAAGTGAGTGTCAGCAGCACCAGGAAACCTCTGCTCTGGTGGTTGTAAGTCTATCTTGGAAAGAACTTGGAAAGGTCATACCAATTAGTGTTGAAATTAAAAAAGCTGCGATTAAAATGAACAAGATGTTGGACTGGATCGAGGGAGACCTGACTCAGCTTTGGTTTCCAACAGGAGCGGCAACAGTCACAGGGAGCACAAGGCCATTCTCCCTGGGCCAGGATAGAAGGTTGTGCATGTGGGCATGCCAGTTCCTGGCCTTTCCAGAACATTAGGACTGTGCCCTCACGCCCTCAGTCCTGGACTCAAACCAGGTTCTCATCCTTTGCTCCAGGTAATGAGCCTGCCTGTTAGGCCCTGGTGATCCGACCTATGGCAGGAACACCCGCTAGACCTGCCTTTTATATGTCTACTTTCCTTCACCCTCCTGGCCTTGGGCCTTTAGGAGGCCTTTTATTACTTTTTTAGACAGCCTTTCTCAGAGGCTTTGAGACGATTATATAAGAGATAGCATCTGGCACTGAGGAGGCCTGGCAAGTGTCATGCCCTACACCTACTGGCGGCCTGGATTGCTGTGACCTTCACTCCCAGATGAGCAGTAAGTGGGACTCTGAAGTCATGGTCACTTGTCTTCACCCCAATCCTCACCCCAGGGCAGACACAGTGGATGGGAACCATTTGAAGTGAAAATATGAACATTATTTAATAACTGATCTTCTGTAATAAACCATTTGAAAATATTTTACAAGGAATCACACACACGATATTTTACAAAGTTTCTTGACTTTTTTGTCACTGTTGTTTTTCTGACTTGTCTGTACAAAATAGAACAACCAAAAAAAAAGGGCAGAGAAGAGGAAATGGCCCCCCAATCCCCCAAGCCTGAGGTGAGGGGGCAGCCAGGTCAGGTGGGTGATGAGAAGAATCAGACCCAGCTGGGGGTTGGACAACTACCTGATGGGGATTGTTTTGTCTGTTTTTCTGTTTTTTAAACTTAAAATATATATTTTTCTGTATATGTTTGATTCTTTTTTATTTTTATATTCTCCATTGAGCACCTGACTACACTACGGTTACACACACGCCCCCACAAGACACGGCTGGCATCTAGGCTGGGTGTACAGCATGGGCGCCCACCCTGCCACCAGCAGCGGGCATGGACCATACACACACACTGAGAAAGCAACAAGCAACATGACATTAATTAACGGAGCCATTAATTAATGCATCACCCTCCCCCCTCCTCCCAGTCCATCCGAGCCCCATGGCCACTTTCCCCTGCCCTCAGTCCCCCACTGGTCCCCAGGCTGGGATGCCCTTAAGGGACATCACCAGAATGAATGGTGTGAAGAGATGTGCCTGGGCCCAGCTTCTGTGTGTGTAGAGTGTATGTGTGTATGCACGTGCAAGTGTGTGTTCAGCAGGGAGAAGCAGATAGGCCTCCTGGGGGCAGGGGATGTGTGTATGAATGGGAAGGAGACAGGGGGTGGGCACAGGCCTGAGTATGTTAGGGCCAGGTTGTGGGGGGCCCAGCCAGGAGAGATCAAGTCACCCCTGCTAAGGCAAAGGGCAATGTCTGGTAAGGGTCCCTCTGCCGAGGGGTGCAGGCAGGGGCATGTGGTCCCACTGGGGGCCTGACACTAGTGAGAAATGGTTACAATGAGCACCTGGCTGGGTGAGGGGCGTTTGGGGAACACTGGCGGCTAGGGTGGGACAGAGGGGTCTTCACCCCTGCCCCAGCATTTGGCACTGTTTTTCTGCTTTGACATTCAGCTTTAGAGGTGGAGGACGGTTGGGTTTGTCGCAGGTCACATTAGAGGTGGGTGGTGAGCAGTGGATTGAGTGTGCAAGTGCCAACTTTCCCACCAACCCCGAGCCTTGTGTAAGGCTTTGTGAGCCCCCACCTCCACCCTACCCCATGGTGTGTGTGTGTGTGCGCGCGAGTGTTTGTGTGTGTGTGTCCTCCACCGTGTGTCTAATGGGAGTCCATTTTCTGCCCTCCGGGCTCCAGGTGTGTATGGGGTTGTATCTGAGCCAGTGCTGCTGTCACTGTCCTGACACCTGCAGGGTTTGGGGGTGAAGGAAGGGAGCTTTAAGCCTGAGAGGGACAGAAGCCCATTGGGGGGCTGCCCCAGGACCTCTCTCCTGCCTGAACTTAAGCTGGGGTGCACAAGGTCGCAAACTGCCCATCTCAACCTCCTCCGTGATTCTCAGGAAATCCAAATTTGGTCCTGGGTGGGACAGAAGGGGCAGGTTAGGAGAAAAGGCCCAGATCTCCCACACAAAGGGAGCTTTGGGGTGGGGCAGGGTGGGCAGTGGAGGCCTGGTTTGGCACCAGTACTGTGGCTTCCCTGTGCCAGCCTGGAGGGGGTGAGTCCGGTGGGAAAGAGAGGGCACGGGGCTGAGGGCGGGTGTTGGGGGGACAATTGGACAGTTCAGCGGCGACTCGTGGCTTGGGGGCCAGAGACCTACGGGCCCTCCTTTGGGAAACCCCACTTTAAGGTGCAGACTCTAGGGGAGGGTCTAGCACGCTCAGGTCCCTTCAGTGAGGGAGGGGGCGAGGCTCTAAGGCGGGGAGTGTGGGGAGGGTGAGAGGAGGGTAGGCCTGCGGGGTGGGGGCGGCGTTCAGAGGCGGCGCGAGGCGTGGGCGTGGACTTGAGGCTGCGGCCGCGGAGGCAGGCCCAGGAGCAGCAGCAGCTGCAGCGAGACCAGAACGCCCAGCGACGGCGGGAAGGAGGCTCCGCGGCCGCAGTCTGACGTATCTTCCTGCGGAAAAAGACCAAGAGCAGGTCGGCCGGGGCGGGCCGGGGCAGGGGAGGGCCAGGGCCCCGCTAGCCCTGGGGGCGGGGAGCTGGATGTCAGGTTCGCCGTCCCTCTCCTCACCGTCGCGTTGTAGTCGAAGCAGATGTGCGGGCCTCTCCGGTATCGCGGTCTCTGCACCAGCTCACACTGCTCCGGGCCGTCCGCTGGGCATGGGTGGGGAGTCAAGGAGGCGGCGGCACGGAGGGGGCGCGGAGGGAGGGAGGGGGCGCGGGCGGCGAGGAGGGGCGGGGGCAGGATACAGTGTGTCTCCTTCTGCAGCAGCCGACCCGCCTCACACTGGCTGCACAGTGGCTTCTCCGCCACCACGAAGAGAAGGTTGGTGTTAGTCAGTCTCTGTGCGTGAAACAACCTGGAGGCGGCACAGAAAGGCGGGGCGTTGAGACTCGCCCCGCCCGGCCCCCGCCCAGGCCCCGCCCCTGCCCCGCCCTGCCTCCCGGCCCCGCCCCTGCCTCCCGGCCCCGCCCCTGCCTCCCGGCCCTGCTCCTGCCTCCCGGCCACGCCCCTGCCCCCGGCCCCGCCCTGCCTCCCGGCCCCGCCCCTGCCTCCCGGCCCCGCCCTGCCTCCCGGCCCCGCCCCTGCCTCCCGGCCCCGCCCCTGCCTCCCGGCCCTGCTCCTGCCTCCCGGCCACGCCCCTGCCCCCGGCCCCGCCCTGCCTCCCGGCCCCGCCCCTGCCTCCCGGCCCTCCTCCTGCCTCCCGGCCACGCCCCTGCCCCCAGACCCCGCCCCTGCCTCCCGGCCCCGCCCCGCCCCGCCGGCCCCCGCGCCCGGCTCCCCGCCGACACCTGGAGCAGTTGCCGCAGTCGATGATGGCGTTGTAGGAGACGTTCACCGAGCCGAAGTAGTACTGGGTCTGTTTCATGACGCAGCTGCTCTCGCGCGCGTCGGGGTTCCCCTCGGCCTCGGCGGGGTCTGTGAGGGCCCAGAGCGCCTCAGCCCCACCGGTACACCCCACAAGATTGGGGCTTCTGCCTTGCTCAGCCCGAAGCCCCGCCCTACCTTTAGAGTGGGTCTCTGCCTAGGTTGGGGAGTGGGGTTTGAGGAGGGGCCGCCAAAGCCCTACCTACCTGCCTGGAACCAGCTGTGGTAGATAAGGCCATAGAGAAGCTGCTGGAACAGGGACCTGCAAGGCATGGGTCACCAAGTGGGAGTGGTCAGCAGAGGCCAGTGCCCTGCCCCAATTCTCTGGAGCCCTCTCCCTTCCTCCCAGGACTCACCAGGTGGCAGCTGAAGTCCACCAGGCCAGGTTAAGGAAATCTGCAATGGTGGGCTGCAGTGGAGAGAGGGGCGTGGCTGCCACTGCTGCCCTGGACCCAGGTTACCCCTAGCTCTCCAATCAGAGATGGGGGTCATCTGTAGGAAGTTGTCCCTCCCTCCAGGCCAGGTATCACTGGGGCTCACCACAAAGACACCCCGTGGTGCGGCACCCAGGTTGCCAGGGGGCTGGGGGGCACAGGCTGCCTGATAATCGTAGGACTCCTTGCGGGTGTAGAAGGAGTTATTGTAGAGGGCCAGCATCAGGTTGGCATCCACTTCACTGAAGAACCTCCCCACCTGGGGATGCCGGGAGGGAGCTGTAGTCATAGGGCTGGCAGTGCCACACCCCCAGAAGGCTCAAATCCCACCCCCTCCTTCCACCCTCTTTCTAATCCTCACCTGGTCCCACTGATGGTTCTGGTTTGACAGCACCAGGAAGCCCCCATCATCGATGAGGACACAGAGCAGGTCCTGAGAGGTGGGGAAGATGGAGGAAGATGGGGAGGGGCTCAGGGCTTAGACCCAGACTTTGCTCCCCAGGCCCTAGTAGTCAGTGGTTGAGTAGAGGGGGTACAAATGCCCTTCCCCAGTTTTGGGTAAAGCTGTGGTCAGGGGGGGATGTTGAGACCCACAGGCCAAGGGATGGGCTGGGAGTTGCAATTGGGACTAAGAAATCCAGGAATGGGGTAAACAAAGGTAAACACGTACCTCATTATTAACCTCACAGTCCATTTCACAGTGGCTGCTGGGGCCGCACTGCTGGGCAGAGAGCAAGGACCATAAGGAGCCCACCAGTTTTCCCCTTTCCATCCCCCTTCACACACCTGGGTCCCCATGCCATCTGCAACAACCCCTGCCTCCCCATAGGCACTGGAGCCACTCCGAGTGGGAGCACCGGTAGGGTCCTCCAGAATGGGTACTGCTGGGTGTGCTGCCTCCACCCCTGCCCAAGTACCTTCTGAGGCTGGTCCTGGTGGGTACGATTGCTGGCTAGCACCTTGAACTTCTCAGCCCAAGCCTCTAGGTCCAGCTTAACACCCACCACTATGGGGGAAAGCAAAGGGCCATCAATACCTGCCTGCCTGGGCAGTACCTTTCCTGGCCTCTGTCACAGGCATTTACCTGCTGGCCTCAGTGTGCGTCCGCCCAGACTGAGTTCCACAGCCGTGCTGACGAGGATGCCCACCGTGTCATTCTCTAGCTCGAGTGGCCTTAATAGGGCTGGGAGTGGGTGGGGCAGGGTGGTCAGAAGTGAGTGGCCACATTCATCGCTCCACGCTGGGCCCTGCAGACTCAGGAGCCCCAGCCCAGGCTAACCCGAGGCTAAGTGCCCACTACCCAGCATAGTGTTTGCCACAGTCTAGTTCTCTCTTCTTATCTGTCCCAGTCTCTGCCAACCTGTGTCCCAGAGCAGAGAGGGGGCTCTCAGAGAGCAAGGTCTAGGTCTGCCTGAGCAGACAGGAAAACCTCAGCATCCCACCTGATGCTGGGCACCTAGGAAGACACTCACCATCCTGGTGGGGAGGCTTGAAGATGTAGCCATGGTTATCTAGGCTGCGGCGGTAAAAGCTGGCATTGAAGGGCTCAGGGTTCTCCGTCCAGTCCTCTGCTGCCCTGATCACCCGAAACAGAAGTTGGTGGAAGGGGTGGCTTGTGGGGGATAGTGGTCTCAGCAGAATGCCTCTGGGTAGCAGGATAGAGGCAGATTCCCAAGTGGGGGCAAGATGTTGGGTAGTGGGGTAGGTCACTTACTTGTTGGGGAAGACACGGGTGATGCCACCATCAGTGGAGGCGAACACAGCAAGAAGGCTGTACCTGGGGGCAGCAGGGAGGTGAGGTCACAAGTCTGCCTTCTGCCTGACAGGGCCGGGGCCTCTGGGCCCATCCCAATTTCCTGCCCCTGAAGGTTGGGTTTTGCCTACGTGTTGAGATCCTGGTCCCTCCACACGCGCTCCACCAGTTGCTGTGTGATGCCTGTGTCCAAGATCAGGTTGTGTAGAAGGAAGTTGTTGCCTGGAATGGGAGGGCAGGCATGGAGGGGGCATCTTCTTGTGTTTTCCTGCCCATCTTCCTCCCTATGCCCAAGATTCCAGGAGGAGCCTTCTTTATGACCCAGTCCAGGTCCTGCCCGGGGCTTGGGCCTGTACATTTCCACACCTCCCCAGGCTCTGGGTTCCTTGGGGCTACTCCCATGCTCCTCGGACACTGCCCAGACCCAGATAACCCCCCAGGCACTCACACTGTTTGGAGTCTGGAGTCACTTTCTCCATGAGCTCAATGAAGTTTTTCAGGAACTCAGTGTTGTTGTCTGAGGCATTCAGGTCCTTGCAATACTCTCTGGGGGTGGGGAGGGGCAAGAAGAGTGCGCTTGGGGGGCTGGACAGGGCAGTGGGGTCAAGGCTTCCCAGCAGGCCTGTCTGGCTCTGTACTGAGAAGCCCAGGTCTCAGGAAGGCCTTGTGTGGTCCTGCAGACTGCAGCTACTAGGTGCCTGGCAGGCTGCCAGGTCTGAACAGGGGAAAGGTGACTTGAGAATGAGGGTCTGTTTCCTCCACCCTGGCAGGTTCTCCCTCCTGGGCATGGCCCTGTCGAGGCTTCCACGTCTCTTGTGTAGCTGGACCCAGACAGTGTACCTGAGAGGCTCTGGAAAATGCCTCCTGGCCGGCTCCCCCGTGTGCTGGAGTGTCCCGTGGGCGCAGTGGATAGAGTACCAGCACCTAAGCTGAGACCTTATCCTGCTGCTTTCTTTCACCTTTGGGCACCTCACTCAGGCTCCATGAGCTTCACCTTTTTTATATCACAGCTGATGACAACAAGTTGGTGGAAGCATGTGGGTCCAGAAGCTGGCTGGTCCCTCTGCCCAGAATGCTCTTCCTCCAGAGATGGACAGGCCAAATCTCTCACCTCCTCAAGGCCCTTGCTGGGCTCAGGCTCAGGGTCCAGAGGGCATAGGGGCTGTGGGATACGGGAGGCCCACTTGGTGCTTTACTCCTTAGGAAGTCTTGGCAGGCAGGCCTTCTGCCCTGTCAGATGGAGCTCTCTCCTGCCCATCCCTCATTCACAGCCCTGCCACTAGGGATCTTCCCTGCCCACATGGTAGCAGCTGTGGGAATTTAAAAGTATGTGCTCCCTCCCCAGGCTGTGCTGGGGCGCACAGCTTGGTGACAGCACCCGAGACTAGGTCTCAATGTCCACTTGGTCCGTGCCCCCAGGCCCTCTGCAGTGCACAGCCTGCACTTTTATGTGTGGAGGTCACACCTGATATACCTAGGGGCCCCAAAAACTCTGCTCGAAATACAAGTCACCTGCAGCCCCTTCCCCACACAATATGTGCGTTCACCTTTGTGGGTTACTTCATTCACTCACCCAGCACATGTTTATTGAGCCATCAAGAGCCAAAGACACAAAGGTGACAAAAACAAACACAGTTCTTGCCCTCAGGGTCACGTGGGCGACACAGGCCTTCTCATACGTTCCCACTGGACTCTCACAAACACACACGATGACTCACAAATACAAACACACATCTACAGAGTCACAGAGAAATTGGTGGGTGCATGCACACACGTGCGCACACATGGAGGTGAGGGGAATCCAGAGCCCCCGTGTGGTGCCCGAGAGTGCCCATGGGTCTCTGTCAGCTGCACCCACCTGCCCTCACAGCCAAGGTCACAGGAGAGGGCTTCTGGGGGCCTTTCGGCCACCTCAGGTATGGGCCAACGGGCAGAGAGAGTGCACACAAGGTTGTGTGTATACATTCTAAGTGGCTACTCCAGGGACGGTTCAGGTTGGGCCTTGTTGGGCCCTGACCCCTCACTTGCGAGAGCAGCTCCTTAAAGCCTTTACCCCTTCCCCCCAGCCCCGACTCTCCTCAGTAAGCCACCACACCTAGACTTGGCACTGCTGACAGGGGCTCTGGCTAGCTCGGCCCCCAGACCCACACGAACACTGACTGACACAGGACAAGGACAGGTGCAGGGTGGAGGGGTGGAGAGGGCACCACAAACCAGAGCAGCAGCTGCCTAGTGAGGGGCTTCTGCAGACAGGGAGCCCAGGGCAGAAA